TGAATCATATAATAAAACAATTATTGCTGGGGGGGTTTCAGTCAGTACGATGATTTAGCAACCTTCGAAGTACATTATTTACCTCGCCCTTCGGGCTCGGTGAATATTGTACTCCTCAGTTGGCTAAATCATGGTCTTGATCTCAAAAACAGCAATAATTGTATAATATTGTACAGAAAACGTGAGAAAATTTTAACTTCAAAGCTGTGTCTATGCCCCTTTAAGGTTGACATTTTTTTAACATGCTTATATAGAATAAGAGTTATTCCTCATGGTACTCGAAGCATAGAATTTTTTAATATGAAGTTAATATCCATTATATCACTACTAACTCTCTGCAAATTTCTAAAAGATCTCGTCTCATGACAAAGAAAAGAAAGATCTGTTTGTGAAACACTGATGCCCCCGTACGGCAACTTATAGCGAAGGTTAAACTTTCTCAAAGTTCGTACCCAAAGTAAGTTCTTGTCCCGAGGAATATTCCCGTGAAATATGAAGCCCTAGCAGCAACCATTAAAAAGATATGGAAAAGGTTAAAAATTTTCAAAGGTAAGTCAAACATCAAGGTCAAATGGTCAAAATTAATGGTGCCCAAGGAAAGGCCTTCTCACAAGAAATACACATGTGAAATATGAAAGCCCTAGCACCAAACTTTCAAAAGATATGGCCAAGTTTAAAGTTCATGAAAAGTAGGTTAAACTCCAAGGTCAAAAGGTCAAAGTTGTTGGTATCCAAAGTAAGGTCTTGTCACAAGGATTACATTTGTGAAGTATGAAAGCCGTAGCACCGACCGTTCAAAAGTTATGGCCAAGGTTAAAGTTTTACAAAAATAGGTCAAATTCCAAGGTCAAAAGGTCAAAGTTGTTGGTATCCAAAGTAAGGTCTTGTCACAAGGATTACATATGTAAAGTATGAAAGCCCTAGCACCAGCCGTTCAAAAGTTATGACCAAGGTTAAATTTGGGTTAAATTTTGTAATACTGGTCAAACTCCAAGGTCAAGGTCAAAAGGTCTAATATGATGGTACCCAAAGAAAGGTCTTGTCACAAGGAATGCACATATGAAATACGAAAGCCATAGCTCCGACCAATCAAAAGTTATGGGCAATGTTAAAATTTTTGCGGACAAACAGATAAACAGACAGACAGACAGACGGACGGACAGGGCAAAAACTATATACCCCCGAATCTTCGATACGGGGGCATAAAAATACGCAAAGATTAGAATACCCCATTTGAAAAGAAAATATATTAAAATTTATATTTGTATTAGTATCTGTGAAGACAGTTGCATGGTCTGCTGGTGACCTGCATGTGTCAACTGTCACGTGAGCACGATTACGTTCAGTTGAACCAGCAGAGAATCGTCAGATGACATTCTTAAATTCGTCGCTTTGTTATGTAAAAGAGTCATAAATTCGAAAAAAGAATTAAAAGGATGCTTTGTGGCAAGTTTGGTTGAAATTTGCTCAGTGGTTCTTTAGAAGAGATTGAAATGATGTAAAGGTTTACGACAACAATGACGACGACGACAGACTATGGACAGTTTTCATCAGAAAAGCTCACTTGAGCCTTCGGCTCAGGTGATCTTAAAAGCATTGGGTATACATGCAATTCAAAAGTGTTTGAGACCTATATCAGGCAAATTGCTTATTTTTAACTTCTGTTGTATTAATTTCATTGTATGTTGCAGAAAATTGGCATTAATTGAAAATATTGAGAGCTGAATTTTGTTACAATATTTTTATGAAGAGTTGGTAACATACAGAATTTAATTCCAATTTGCGTGTATATAGTACACATTTTTAGAATAATGGCAATTGAATTCTTAGCTTGACTGCAAACAGGGTATTCATATCGCAAAACAGAAACATGCGTGTGCAAGCAATCTGTCAAAAACTACGAAACATGGAAAGTAATATATTGTGAGAAAAATTATTTTCTTGAAATAACAAACATAAAGTACTATTTGTAAGAAAAAAACAATTTGTAATGACAACATACTTCCAAAAGATACCCCCGTAACATAACTTTACTATACTTAACTATAGTTTATTATGAAATACTGAAATATTGTCTTCCCTCGTCATTATATCGGCGATGTAACCGAGGGAGATGGTGGGAGGGGGAGGCCTTAACCTAACACTTTTTTGTAAAACCCCACTTAAACCCCAACTCATCCACTCATCATATCTTTTGACAATTTACATATATTATTTGGAATTCACAAAATTCATCAAAATGTAATAATTGGTAGCTAATTTAAACCAGAGGTCTCTGACGAGACTGCAGCACTACTGGTGTGCACTAGATAAAGATGTGTCTTAATAAAGTGTACTTGTGTGAAAAGTCTAATCAGACCAACACTTTGGGAGGAGGAGACACCATGGCAACATCTTTTGTCAAAATCAAAAAATTATATACAGAATCATGTATCTTCGCGTAGTCTACTTGTATACCAAATCCAATTGAGACGGGACAATAACTGTAAAAGGACTAGAGTTTTGAAAGAATTTCAAAGAATTTTCTATTTTTAGTAACCATGGCACTATTGGTTGTATTAATGATGTCAGTATAGTCTGCGTGTATACGAAGTTTTATTGAAATTGGACCAAAATTGTAGGAGGGGTTGTGTTTTTTGTTTGTTGTTTAACGTTCCTCTCAGAGAATTTTTCACTCATATGGAGACGCCACCACTTGCCGGTGGAGGGCTTCAAATTTATACCTATACTCGGCTTTGAGGATCTTTTTCGCGCCAACACCTACTGCAACACGGGACCTCGGTTTATACGGTCTCATCCGAAGGACCGGTCTCCACGTCCCGCAGTGGATTCGAACCCGCGACGTAAGGATCAGCAGCTCCTTACTCCGCGACTATAGAGCAGACGCTCTATCCACTGCGCCACGCAGTAATCAAGTAATCATGGCACTAAATTAACAAAATTATGTATAGATTACTTATTTACCAAGTCTTGAGATCGGACCATAACTGTAGGAGGACTAGCGTTTTGAAAGAATTTCAAAGACATTTCAATTTTTTGTAAACATGGCAACATGATTTGTCGAAACCAAAAACCTTTGCACAGAAATGTGTATCAGTATTGTCTACTTGTGTACCAAGTCTTATTTAAATTGGATCAAAACTGAAGAAAGAGTAGCGTTTTAAAAGAATGTCAAAGAAATTTCCATTTTAAGTAACCATGGCTTGTTTTGTCGAAATCAAAAACTGATAAACAGAATTATATATCTTAGTAAAGTCTACTTGTGTACGAAGTCATTGAATTCTGACCAAAACTGTAAGAAGAGTTGTGTTTTGAAAGAATTTCTCAGACATTTCTTTTTAAAATTACTATGGCAAAATTGTTTGTTAAAATCAAAACAGACAGACAGAATAAAATATAGTCCAATTGTATGCCAAGTCTTATTGAGATCTGACCAAAACGGTAAGTAGTCCGTAGCTTTTCTGATGCTTTTCTGATGAAAACTGTCCGTAGTTTGCTTTTTTAAGCAAGGCAACATAGTTTGTCCAAGTCATAAAACCTTTACGCAGAATTAGGTAGCTTAGTATACTCTACTTGTGTACCAAGTCTTATTGAGATTGGAACAAAAGTGTAGGAGATGTAGCGTTTGAATTGAATTTCAAAGAAATTTCTATTTTAATTACCATGGCAACACCGTATGTCAAAAACGAAAACCGAAAAAATAGTATTTTGTATCTTAGTGTAGTCTACTTGTGCGAAGTTTTGTTGAATTTAGGCCAATATTGTTGGAGAAATAGCGTTTTGAAAATAGTTTAAAGACGGACGGACAGCTTAGACAGACGGATGAACGATGGAGTCCTTACCAATGGCTGGTCTTTGACCAGTCGAACTAACGATACAGTCATTTTTAAAAACGTCTGCTTTTCCTAATACTGTATAGCCCTTCGGGTCAAATCTAAACTGACCCTTGTTCGGTGGAAAGGTTTCTTATGTGTATTATATATAATAGTAAACGGTAAGGTTTGACATAGTAAATCTTCTACAGGGATGGACGTCACGGTAGCTGGGTCGGTAGAGCGCTTGCTCCGTGATCGGAAGGTCGTGTGTTCAAATCACGACCGCGACTGACCTTTGCCAAGCGTTCGGCACTTTGAAGTGAAAGTTGCGGGTCCTTCGGATGAGACCTTAAAAACCGAGGCCCCGTGTCACGGTAGGCGTTGGCACGATAAAGAATCCTCACTGCTCAATTGCCCTGAGTGCCGAGTAAAGGTCAAAATATGAAGCCCTTTATCGGTATATGGTGACGTCTCTATATGAGTGAAAAATTCTGAAATGGGACGTAAAACAACATACAATTAATCAATCAATCTACAGGGATGAATTATTGGGAGGTCTAGAAGGGGGTAAATATATTATTACAGTATATATCAGTTTATTTTTGATTTATTCCACCATAAGTAATTTCGCTTTGTGGGTGTTGGGTGTATATGTGGGTGAGAAAGAGTCATTTTTGACCATCAAACAATTAAACAATTTAAATTGTGAGACCATCCTTTTCGAAACCACTATGGGATTAAAGAAGTAAAGAAAAGCAAAGTTATATCAAAGTGGCATAAACATAACTAAATATATAAAATTTTGCGCATGGCTTCATCATTTAAGAGTAAACTGTTCTGGAAATGTTTTTATAAAAAACTGAGAGCTATTACCTGTCGTTCATTTATGTATTGATTTCTTTATTGGGCAAGATGTGAGCCCAGGTCTTTTTAATAGCTTGTACTTCCTCGTTGATTTTTTTTTTTTTTTTTTTTTGGCTTTTGTTTTGAGACTTATTATACTTGCAGATCAAATTTCGTTAAAATTTATGACGTAAATTTAAAATTTTTACCCTTTTATAAACTGTCATTTTAATCTTCCTGAAGATTTCGCTTTAAATACAGAAATAAGGAAAAAACACTCACAAAACATTTAAAGAAAACACCATTTTTGTACGACATTACATTCACTCCCCTGTAATTAAAATGGCGGAAGGAGAATCAGGTATGTATTTATGATTTTTTTTTCTTCTGAATAACCAACTTATTGTAACTGGGTTTTTTTATATACATGTATTTTATGGAGAAAGTCTGATATCTTAGATTTTTATAGTAGTTTTTATAGTCGAATTTTTAATTGAAATATAAGTTTCGGTTAAAAAAAAATTACGAGAAATAATAGACTGCTCTATTTCCTTTGTCTGGTCTTGTTTTTAATAGGTAGTTGGTCATGTACAAGGTTAATAAGAGTTTTTAAAAATTAGATTCCTGAGTTTTTCTTACTTGTTCTTTGTAAATGTAATCCTCTTATTAATAAGAATATCTAATTTGCAAAGAAATAACTGTTTACGAGCTGTGTTGGTAAAGAATTTGTGGGCGAGTCGTGGTCAAAATTTCGATTAGTTCAGATAAAGTTATAAATGGCTTTTCCTCCTAAGGTCAATTGTTAAAGGGAAAGGCAAGAAGGTTTGAACCGTGGAGAACAATTTTATGCAAAGAGCAGTGGCGGATAATAGAGGAGGTGATGGGACGACGCCCCCCCCCCCTAAAATTGTGAAAGATTATATTACACATTTTAGTTTATAAATTTATAAAATACCACCGATCTTGAACAGTTGCATTGAAACAAAGAGGCTGATGAAACACCCTGTATTTAAATTTATGTCATGTGATCAATCTCGACCCTTTTAAGGATTGAAGATGGGATGTTATATAACATCTAAGCTATAATCTAATTCAAATTTATATCTCGTTTCAATACAACTTTTTAAGAATCGATTTGCCTATTTTATAGCGTAAAGTTTGAAAAGATAAGTAGATCTAATATTTTTTTCAAATTGGTGTAAAAATAAGTAACATTTTTCTTCACATTAGTATTTGTGACAATAGCAGAAACTCTCCAGCACGAATCAGGTGTTTCATACGTATTTTTGTACAAACAGTGAATTTCTCCTCGCCTGTTATTCTTGGCTGGAAAATCAAAAAGTCTCGTTCTAAAGGTGTAATTCATTATTTTCTGGTTAAACAGTAGAATTACAGTAGAAAACGCATTCTGAACACATTGGCAGGTTTGTGCGGGCATTTCAAAAAAAGGCAAAGTGACAGCAACAGTAATGAAATGTCCTCAAAAATACTTGGTAGAAAATGGTTAAAAAAAATTGGGGGGAGGTCGGTTATATAATAAATAAGTTTAATTTTAGTGCAAGTTTTGTGCACAATAATTTGCAAATTGTTGTTGTTGTTTTTTAAATTGATATTATTATTATTTGCATGTGCAGTTCATTGATTTTTTACCGCAGCGCTACAGTTCAGTTGTGAACGTGTATATCAGAAATCAGCTCATTTAATTTTGTATATTTATAAGATATCGTGATGAAAATAAATGATACGGTATACATTATAATTTAAACTTCTTTATACGATATATATATATATATATATAGTTTCGCAAAGTTTTAAGTTTTATAAAATTTTAAGAAAGTGAAATTAATTTGCCTGACAATTTTTTTTATTTGAATATATCCATCATTTACACATTCGCCATGAATCTTTTTATTCATGCAATTTATAGCATAGCTTTAAGAAGATTTGTATGCATGTAATATATGCATTTTTTGGGACTTACGTTTCCTCAGACTATTTGCAAATCTATTGATTCTTACAAAAATGAGAAGACAGTACACTGAGACCAGGAGCGTCTTTGAAGTAGAGAAGGAAAGGGGAGTTCGAATCTCTTGCTCATTAATCAAATTTCTAATTCTGAGGCTCACGGGGTGTGGCCCCCTGATCCCCAACAAGCCTTCGCACTGAACCTTTTAGGGGCTTAACTTTAGGCGGTCCCCAGACGCCTTGACTATAAAAAAAAAAAAACAAGAAATAAATTTTACGCCACCCAAGCTGAAATTTCAAAATTTATTATTTGACTGAAAAATATTATATGAAAGTTTTTATTCTGAGACAAACAAAATGTCAAGAGCTAAATATTATTAATATTATTATTTTAAAGGGAAGATGAGCTTTTCTTCGCTAATATCCCAACAACAAAATGGTCAACCTTTCGATCAAGGATCTCCTCCTGGCTACTGTCCCCAGCAGTATTCAGGACAACCTGGACCGGTAACAGTTCAGCCGGGGATGGGGCAGCCATATGAATACGTGAGTATTTGTTTTAATTTTCTTTCGATTTACATGTAACACAAAGAGAAAATTTATCAAATATTACGTACAATCAAAGGTATTTCAATTTCATACCTGCAAAATTATCTAAATCATAAAGGCATATATTCCTATCAAAAGAAATAAAAGTTTCTCTAACATTAAGTTTCGGTGATAGACTGAGAGTTTAACCCTATCTTATATCTTTTGACGTTGCAAGAATACTTGTGCCAGATCACTTAAAGGTGCTTAGACACAGATCTGAACTTAATATTTTCTCAAATGTTCTGTATAATATCACGACTGATATATGCAATAGCATTTCACACGAAAATATAATTAAAAACTTATTTTATCTGGAAATTATTGGAAATACGAATTGCGGGACGCGTTTGATTAACACATCTTTGCACTTCCGCAAATTTTAACTTTATTTTGTTATGTATTAATGAAAATTATTACATTTATAATCCAGAAAATTCAGAGTAGAAATGTTCGAAAGCAAAACCAACTCACCAGTATTGACAGTCCGTGGTCTGTGATGTGTACAGAGTTTAACAAATTGAACACACCCGTGAAACGTAAACTGTTTTTGTAAACAGGGCACGAGCTCTGTTATTGTTATTAATGTTTACGATTCACCGGGTGTGTCCAATTGTTAAACTCTGCACACACCACTGAGCACTGACTGACAATACTGTGAGTGGGTTTTGCTTTTTCACATTTCTACTCTGAATTTTCTGGATAATAGTTTGAATATTTTTCATTAATGCACAACAAAATTGCCACTTTTCTTAAGTATTAAGAATAAAATTAAAATATGCGAAAGCGCAAGGATGTGTCAATCCAACGCGTCCAGAAATTCGAAGTTTTAATAACTTCGAGATGAAATAAGATTTTTATTATATTTTAGTATGAAATGCTATAGCAACATATAAGTCATGAAATTATACAGAAAATTTGAGAAAATATTAACTTCAAATCTGTCCAAGCACCTTCAAGTCTTGTGCAAGAACGGAAGAAAGTTGTAAAAAGAGAGGAATTTAACACTTATATACAGAAATGTCTTGCTTAGCATTCTGGCAACACGACTGTGATTGTACAACAACAACAGATCCTAACTCGACCTCCAATGAGAGACTGGAGCACCGGTATTTGCGGCTGTTTCGAAGATATGGCATCCTGTACGTTTGTATCAATATGTTTTAATATAGAAATCTATGTTCTTGTAAAGGAAAGGGAGAGAACGAGTGAAAAGGGGGCTTCAGAAGAGAAAAAATTATGTTTACTTGACATGGTGTGAATTTAAAATCATAGTCATCCAATGTTGAGGTCTCTAACAAAAAAAAAAATGAATGAATAATTATACAATGTATGTATAATCAACTATCGAATTTGAATTCGTGTTGTACAGAAGGGAATTTATGTTTTATTATCAACGTTATCAAGGTTAGATCACCTTAAAACTTTTTATACAGAGTAGTACACAGCAATAAATTTAACAGAATAGTAGGGAAGAATTTGAGCAATATAATATAAACCAAAACAGCTTTTTTTTTAAATCAATATTGTGAATAATAATTTGAAAACAAGCGTCTTGCAAGTGTTTTAATTGATTTTTCGGTTTTGAGATAATATTTTGTATGGAAATCACTACTTCAAACATCTATATAATTATATCAATTAACAATTGTTACTTCCATTCATATATCGACTCTATATATCCCAGTGAAATCAAAATAAAAGACACCACAGAGTCTGCCACTTCTGCTTCACGTTTGGACTGTTTACTGACTATAGACTTTAAGGGCCAACTAATGTGTAACAACTAAATTGTATGACAAACGAGATGAAGTCAACTTTATGCCAACTTTAAAATAATGTTTGTTTGCCCTCTCCCGACGCAGGATGAAAAAATTGGGTCGGTTGGTAGGTAAAAAATTTTTTTTCTCGGGAAATTTCAATTTCTATGCTAAATTTTTAAAATCTATCGTCCAGAATCCACGTTTTGAGTCGGGCTATTTTTAGCCATTCGGTCGGGAGAGGGCAACCAAACAATTTTTTTTTAAGATGGCCTTACTTATTTACTAGTATTAAGTAATATTCCGCTATCACCTGTATATGAGTTTACGTCTCCCAACTTATTAGACAGTTCTGAGTACGATCGATTTTTAAATCGAAGTAGGCTACTGACAGATAAGTTGATGTTAAAGGGATTTCAACAAAATCGTTTAAAGTCAGCATTTCGTAAATTCTATGGTCGTTATAATGACCTTGTTAGCAAATATAACCTATCATTGGGCCGTATTTTCCCTGACTTGTTTCATACCAATTGTTAGGCCTGTGTTTTTATACTAAATTTAATTAAGGAATGTTTCGTCTTCTTGATCAATACATATGGCTCATGGCGGTCAACCGTTGTGACCGGTCAACATGGGATGCTTAATCCTCCTAGGCACCTGATCCCACTTCTTGAATTTCCAGAGGCCTTTGTTGAATGCTCAATTCACATATTTATAGTACTCTGTGGATTTTGTTTAGTTCGATCACTATTCGTTATTTTTACCTTTTTCATTTATACAAAAGAGGTAACAAGTAAGAAATGAAAAGATTAGTATTCCTCTATCATTCTATGCCCGAGAAAACTGTATTGTGTAACAGATTGCTTTACTTTCTGACAGGTTGTGCTGTTTTTTGGTGTACGAGTTGCTATGCATGTTACCTTTCGAATAAACTTGGAGAGACCTGTTGTCTACCATTAGCCATCTCTGGATTCGGTTCTTTGATTCCCCTCCGAACCAAAGTCCGCACAGCGAACAACATTAGAGTAAGCTTGAATAAATTACATGAACTCTCTTGATGTACTATTTTTAATGCTAAGTATTTCTCATAATTTGATTAAAATACGAATTTTTAAAATATGGAACAATTAATGATCAATTACCAGTTATTAATAAAGCTATTTTTAAAAATATGTTTGGCGTTAAATATCAGTTCCTTTCATCATGGATGATATTATGTGTTATTTCTTAAGGTACTCAAAGCCTAAATCTATTTCATCTCTTCTATCACTCCGAAGATGTTCCCGTGCTTTGATAAAATAATGCGCATTGGTAAGTCATCTCAAAAAAGAGTAAGCATAAGATTTTAATATTACAGGGCAGTATCTGTGAGGACTGTTGCATGGTCTTCTGGTGTCCAGCATGCGTCATGTGTCAACTGTCACGTGAACACGATTACATCCAGCTGAAGCAGCAGCAAATCTTATGAACTTGATTAGTGTTTTATCAAGTTTCATATATCAAATCTATAACTGGTATATCACGTTTTTTTTTCTTAATCATATTCTATAGAAAATGTTTTCTTGAATAAGGCCATCTTTAAAAATTTGTTTGGTTGCCCTCTCCCGACTGACTGGCTAAAAATAGCCCGACTCAAAACTTTTTTTTTACCTTCTGGAGGCAATTACTTTTTTTATGTATTTTGGACGATAGATTTTAAAAATTTAAAATTGAAATTGAAATTTCCCGAGAAATTTTTTTTTCTTACCTACCAACCGACCCAATTTTTTTTAATCCTGAGTCAGGAGAGGGCAAACCAACATTATTTTAAAGTTGGCCTAATGCACTTTTTTTTTTAATTATGAGCCAAGCAGCTGATTGATTGACTAATTAATCGATCGTTTGTCTAATTGATTTTTTCATTTCTGCATAACTGTGTATGAATATTTTTGTAAATAAATTTTGCAAATCAAGGAGAACATGTTTTTATCATTAACTAATAACTCAAATTGGTGCACAACATCATTGAATATAGAAAATTTAAAATTCCTCAAAATAGGGATTATGTCCTCTTCCAAGTGTAATAATGAATAAAAAGCAAACAGAAGGAAGTTTTCATTTTAAAATCTTTTCATGAACCACTGGGCCATGAATACGGATTTAATATTTTCAAAACTTCTTGTGAGCAACAAATGAATGTCATTCATATTGATATTTAAACATCCCTATTTTGTGTGGATTTAAGTTAGTTAAGTCATTACCTGTTAGAGCTATGGCGGGGTCACAATATGGGGTCATTTTTTTTCTGGGAATAAGGAAGAAAACTAAGAATTTACTGATGTATTTACAATATAAAGTACATATAACATTCCAAATATTTTAAAACACTTAGATAATAAAATCTTGCATGTTCGTGTGTTCTGTATAACTGACAATGGTGTCGTGATGGAAAATTCCAAGGTTCTAAATGTTCACCATCATTTCAATTACTGTTTTGTTACTTAGTTTTTTGGGGTTTTTTTTTTGTTTTTTGTTTTGTTTTTTTTTTTTGGTTGTTTTTGTTTTTGTTTTTTTGTTTGTTTTTTTTTTTTGTTGATGTTTTGTTTTTTTTGGGGGGGGGGGGGTTGTTGTTTTTGGGGGGTTTTTTGCTGCCATTTGCGATATTTTTTATGAAAGCTTTCTTATCCTTTATTTGTTTAACAAAATGTCTAACATTCCATGAGAACTTTTTTTTAAAAAATTGATCGAATTAATTATTTATCAATTGGCGTTAAACAGATTTAATCCAGTTAAGTATTTTTCACACATTAAATCTGAACACTACTCGTAAATAGGCATACGCCATTTTAGATATTACTATCTACGATAGCAGCAGCGGGGTATACTCTTCGCATTCGTTACACCTGACTGCTTTATTGTCACGGGTATCGGCGTGGAACGGAGACCCGTGTTCGTGCTGGTTATCTTGCATTACCTTTGTTTACATCTTATTGCAGTTACGTGTATCTAAGTGTTTGTATACTGCTTTGGCCTGTGCAACTGTTGTAAGTTTCTTTGGTATCTTTCTCTCCTGCATTAGAAATAGGTACACAGTTATATTTTGTCGCTACCGAGTGCTGTATAGCATACATCCTTCTACACCGGTGACAATTGATTACACTGAATAGTGACCGAGTCAGTGGCTTTATATAGGGGCCCTCAGGTATAGCGAGAATCCAATCGAATATGGTGGACACATTCCTTTTACGAATCGTGTTCAGCTTTAACCACGACAAGGATTTACGGGTGATTCCAGTAACAATGCTGTTGATCTGATATGTTGATTTAATTGTCAACCCAATGTCACCCTTTCATCTTCTCTTTGTGTCACATTTATTTCTTCTTTATGTTAAATTTGTTTTACTCAAACTTGTTATCTCTTAATCAGTTGGAGACGGATCGTCGTATTGTCAAGACCAAACTGTAGTCGGAAAGCAATGCATAATAAATCTATAGAAAAGATCCAAAGTTGTCTTGAACATCGTATCTTTATTCCTGCTTGTGGTAAAACGGTTTCCCCTTATCAAAAGCAGTGGAAGCATTAGGACAAGAAGCGCCATAGGCCGCATTGGAAATACGTTACTTAATTGTCGTGTACTCATTATATGAAATTATAATTATTCAATAATTAGTAAACGACAATGGTATCGAAACCAAAACAAACCTCTTGTGCAAAATGACTTAAGTTGTCCAACAATACAAGAATTCATCCATGACCTGCTTTCCTTCAGAAGGGTAACTCCAAAATTTCACTGAATGTGAAGAAGATGGGCGAATACTTGGCGTGCAGTCTGCAGGAATCGTGTGTACGAAAAATCTATGGTTTAAATGTCCACGACTTGATGGGTTGACCATTAGTGGACAGACCTTATAAAGTTACGCACATTAGAAAATGTTTCGATTTAAATTGAAATAGTTTGCAAATTTGAAATATTTTAGTCTACTTATCTCAATATTTACGATAACACAATAACATTTCATATAAATAATAAACACCTAACAAGATAAAAGCGTATGATAAATGAAATGAAGTTTCAGTAGGTTTGAAAAATTGCTTTCGCTCCCCGTGGAACTGAACCAAAATTTATCTCTCGTAAAACTTTTATAAATCAGTAAATAAAATTCAACTGATAAACAACTTGATTGTTTGTATAAAAAAAAATATTTAAAAAAATTAAATGTTCCATGCGAGGATCGAACCAAAAACTTCTCGACACCTTAGTGCGCTGGACTGGTAACGCATACTACTGAGCTATCAACGCTCCTAAAACAGTAAAAGAATTTAAAATGACAAAGAAGCGACGTATTTATACATTGGTATTTTTTTTGTTGGAAAAAGTTCATTTTTTTATAGTCTCTGGGTCTTCTCTCCATTTTTTACAAATGTTTGTTCGTTTCTTTCAATGCAAATACACACACATGTCTTTTTTTAAATCGTGGAGGGATGACCCAGAGATAGCAAAGAAGAAGGTATGGTTTTAGCTTTATTGTGCCCTAAAAATTTAATGTTTTCAAAAAGTTTTGAAACTGGCTTAAATATTAGTTGAGTATATGACTAATAAATCAGGAAAGAATATAGCATGATGGAGTACCATTCTGGATATTTGACGTCATTTGTTTGATGCATTTCTTTATTTTAAACCGAAAAAGCCTCAAAATGACCCATTTCAAGGATTATTTCCCTTAAGAGAATAGTGTCCACAGCCGTCGCCCACATTAATTTCTAGATATGTTTTGTAAAATTCTTTGAAAAATCACATATCTCAAAATCTTTGTGGGCGATGCCTGTGGACAATATTATCTGAAAGAAAATTCCATTGAAAATTGATGTCTTCTGCAACTTTTTATGAAAATACGGGAAAATGCACAAGTTTATGATGTCACAATTAGCATTTGGAGGGTCATGTGAGAAAAAAGATTTGTATGATCTTTCTGCATGGAATTTTAATAATTCAAAAAGCATGAGTTTTAATTTTTTACATCACTTTTATTTTTAAGAAAAACACAGGGCAAGATTTGTATTGAAACCGTACCTTGTTCTTTTTAGAAAAACGTGTTTAAAATGTAAAATTTTGTACTAAATGGCTCATCTAGCCATGTTTCAAGTTATGTTTAAGGAAATCAAAATACACTGTGGGGAAAATATTTTCCTTTCCTATTTAATAGGAATATAATACATCAAAAGAATGTAAAGGTTTAATTTGACAATTCAATATAAAGTTTTCACTTTTCAAGTGTGCCCTGAATCCTGCCGAATGCCAATCAAAAGCACCCTCGTTCTTTTATAATTCTTTATATATATATATATATATATATATATATATATATATATATATATATATATATATATATATATATATATATATATATATATATATATATATATAAACATTATATATATTTTATCATTATAGAAAACTTTTTTATAAGCTCAGAATTAAAGTTCTACTGGATTACAATCTTCAAGGAACTACAACAAAAAAGGAAAACTTTTGTTCATAAGGATATTTTTTATTTTGTTTGCTCGCACGTACTAATAAAATACAATGTAGAACTAGATTTCATCAGGAAAAATATTAGCACATTCCTGAATAATAGGGTTTTAAAAAAGGAGTTACTTATCAAAAGAGTAAGATAACACCATGTGATGAAGATAGTTACTTGTTTTCTCAAATCCTGTGTGATAAACCTTCCACATAGCAAAACAACCTCCCTTTTATGAAAAAGAAGCCTATATAGTAAGCCCCCCCCCCCTTCCGAAAGATTTACCTTGTAGTAATATTCTTCGACGTAGTAATTCTCTACATGTTTAACATGAGTTCATGACTATTCCTTAAGATCAGTCTCTTAAATCGCCTCAGGTACAAGTGTTTAGCAAAGATATTCCTATTCAGACGAAGTTATGCAGCCTTCGATTTTTATGCAAGCAATTTTTAAATTGAGATAAAGTGATTGGAGGTTAGGGGCTATTACCACTTTTTGCAAAGCGTCCGCTAATGAACGACTTGCCCCCCCCCCCCCCCCAATTGTGGTACGGGTTGTTTAATAAATTTTCTGATTTGCTTCAATCGCCTGCGCATTAAAGTAATAAATGACGCAATTGGAAAGATTAGTCACAGAGATGGTACTTTGGTACAACTTCCTTTTTACATGTGTAATGTTAAATAGAACACTATTCATTAACTATAGGCATATACATGGAATATTACACATTACTTTTAGATAGTTTATACAAATGTTTTACAACTATGATTAAATACACAATTCATCAAAATGTAATGATTTGCAGCCTTTAAAATATAGGGCTGTTATTCCGATGGGCACTAATTGTGCCCCTTTCTTAGCCCACATGTGTTTATATTCTTATGAAGCAAATTTTATTCCAAAGCTCTACATGAGAAGAAAACTGTTGCTGTGGCTTTCAATTCAAGATTTTGATACAATATATCGACGACGCTTTATCAATTAATGATAATTAATATGTCAACTCGATATGTCCCTGTGAACTCGAGATAAAAGACACCACAGAGTCTGCCACATCTGCTTCATACTTGAATGTTTTGCCGACTAAATACGTTGTTGGCCAACTAATAACTAACTATATGACATAAAGGAATGACTTTAGGTTCACATCGTCACCTTTCCCTGTTTATGAAGTAATATTAAATACTTATTCTGCATATGAAGTTCATGTCTCCCAACAGATTCAAAGTAAAGAATATGTTTTGAATTTTCAATTTTTAAACCGGAACAGGCTATTCACAAATAAGTTCATTTTACAGGATTTTCAACAATCTCTTCTAAAGTGAGCATTTTGCTAATTCTATAGGATCGTTATACTGACCTTATTTGCAAATACAACCTATCGTTGGTCATACTTTGACTGACATGTTTCCCACCAATTGTAAGACCACTGTAAACATCAATCCGTTTACCTGATCAGTACAGAAGACTCACGACTGGTGTGACAAGTCGTCGAGGGATGTTTACTCCTCCTAGGCACTTGATCCTATTTTGGGGGTTCCAGCTCTATCAGTTCTTTTCTTGATAATTTTTTTCCGTTTTCGACTTTCTGCAGACTAAGGGACCGTGTTGCTCTATACATAAAAGTTTAAGTGTTTGTGTATTTAAGGGGAAAACTTATTGAGAATTCAACTATTATATTAACTAAAAGGTGGATCTGACATATATATTCTGTATTGTAGTTCTTGTAGTCAAACTTTTATATATATTAATCTTTGGCGGAAATTTTGACATTTAACTTTTGCTTAGTCTCTCTTCTATGGTTTTGATTTTAATTATAGTTGCTTATGTGTAAAGTTATAAAGTTATTTTTATAAAATCAGATCGATGAAAGCTCCTTACTGGCTCTTGTGAATTCGGTAAAAGTAATTGCGCGAACAAATTACTGCTTCAGCGCAAAAGTTTTTAAACTTGGGAAAGTGCACTGGTACACGTCCCCTTCATCCTAAATTTTCTAAAAATTAGGTTACATGTATTAAAATGAAAAAGGAAAAAATATCCTGATATTATGATTTATTATATGATTGAATAATTCCCATCTCTCTGATTGGCTGAGATCCAACAATGTTAGAAAAATACTACGTTATATTGACCTGCACGTGACCTTCCAGGTCAATATAAGGAATTATTTATTCTATATTGGATCAAAAAAGATAGGGAAATTCCAAATTGATGCAAATAGTTTTGGAAAGTTATTTCACTTGCACCTGACTTCCACTCATATGAACATAACATTAAGGCACAGATTCTTGGGTGAGGGTTTGGGTGGGGTTGCAGGAGGCCTGCCCCTCTCCCTACCTTTTGAGAATGTAATAGATGCTTCGTCAGTCTCAGAAAGGATTTTGGTGATCTTGTTAAAGCAACCTTGCATGAATTAGACTTGATTTCAAACAACCAATATCAAGGAAAACTGGGGGGAAAAAAGCTTTTAAACGCTTCAATACCCTCTAAAACTGAAAAGGTGTATGTCCACAGACGATCGGCAAGAATTCAATACATTTCACTTTCACAATTTTGCTATACCCTAGAATAGTGTCGTGTTATGCATAGGCGTCGGAACCCCCCACTTTTTTCGCAAAGATAGACATAATATAGGCATTGAAAATTGGGGCTGACCTTTTTTTGTTGGTTTAGCCCCCCCCCCCCCCCACTTTCAAGTTTCAATTAGCCACCCCCCTCCTTTCAATTTGCTTCCGACGCCTATGTTATGTCACTCAAAATTTTCTGATATTACAGTATACACTTATCAACAGTTTAAAGAAATGCATTACGAACACATTCATGATTAGGAGGGTTGCGCAGTCATTTTAAAGAAGAAAATCTGAAGCAAAGTGACTACCCCAGTACCAAATATCTACAATAGTTGTGTCCTAATTAAGGGGTTAAAAAACTTCTGCTATGGAATCAAAATAGACCTCTATCTTTTTTAACTATTTCTGAATTGTCATTGACTTAGAATTGTAGAATCCGCTTACAGCGGCCAACTCAACTCTTATAATTCTTTATATCTGAGCTCCATTAATCAAAAAGGTTACATATATTTTACCATCACTTCAACATGATTTGTTACAGATATCAGAATGAAAACAAAAATAAAGAATTTTGTAACAAAAAATAAAACAAAAACAGACAAAAATATTGCTTGCATATATTTATTCTTCGAACATTAAGGCGGAGAACTAAGTTTTCATTCAATTGTGACAATGCTTTTATGATTTTGAAGATATCCAAAAATAGACCCTGATCAAGTATTGCGTATCTGCTATGTTCCTTTTCCTTTAAAGTTTGTTGCCCGTTTTCCTCTGTGCCTAACCATCTGGTAGAAACAGTCAATCTATTGAACTGATATCCTCTCTCTCCATATGAGAGGGTGCACTTTTACCAGACGAATTCTTGATTCTGACAGAAAAATTGTTTTATTCAATTATTTTTCTGATCCGGAAAGTTGGGGGAGGCGGTTCAGCGGAGGGGTAATGGTACGGATGGTGTCCTACGAAGGTTTCCAAAAAACGTGGGTCATATTTGCGGGTATGAGGATGGTACTGGCGAGTGTTGATTGTATTGACGATTTTCTGGATGATGTTATCGGATGCGTCCCTTCCCATATAATCCATTTGGTAATGATTCCACGCCTCTCGTCTTCTGTGATCGTCCTCGGTACAACAGCACTTTCCATTAGACACAGTCGCTGTCTCTTTGTCTTCATCGGGGTGAAGGTAGCACTCACGTCCCCGCCTTGACTCAGTATTCTATAGTATAAAATTAAAGAGCAAACTTAACATGGAATTTCAGATAAAAGTACATTAATTTACGAAGAGTATGACCAAATCGTGTCTATAGAAAAATTGGATCTTGATTGCACACAACCTGATAAGATTTTCGGAGTAAAAATTTATTCTTATGGTTATATACTTACGTAACTGTAGTATTCATCCAGTGTTCTGGGACATTTAGCCCGCCTCTCCATTTCATAGGTATAGTCTGTATTCTTTTCAATTTTAGCCTGCTGTAAAAAAAAAATTGGGAGGCAATAAATTTTACAAATGCATGAAGATGGACTTTGGGCAAAAAAGCAGAAAAAGTTTGTTTTTTTTAGATTTACTATTTACGTGTCTTACTGTAAAATAAACGTCTTTGGGGAAAGCTACCCTATCAGGACAGTGGGCTCTCTTCACAAACATAGAGGAGGGGCACATGTCCTCTTTAGATAGATTGTATCCAAGGCCTGAAGCTCGGTCCTTTAATTTGGAAAAAAATGAAGATATAAATTAATAATCAATCTTTTTTTAAGTAAACACATGTAAAATATATTTCGTTTTCTGTATTTCTAAATAAAAATTGCTCCACGTCTGCTAAAACTGTGAAGAAAGTAAGCTCTGAAAGTCAATTTTGTTCTTAATGCGTCACACAGGAGTTTTAAAAGACAACTTACAATTCTGTAAGCGTCCTTGGTATATGGTTTACCATCTTTCATTCCCACCTCGATTACCACATCATACGAATCCCGGTCGTTTAGATCCACGCCTTTAGGAGTGGGTTTTGTTCGATTCGTCTCACAGCCCAACGGCCGTGCTTTTGGAATATCCTCTGGAGATACAATCGAGGAATAAGAAAACTACAGTACATGCAATTGTAACAACAAGAACAACAAAATCAACAAAAATAACAACATATATATTTTTTAATATTAATATATTTACCATAATATTTCCGATACGATTTCATGTTAAATAATTGAACACTGAAAACATCTTATGCATCAAAAATGTTCATGTTTATTTAATTAATTCCAAGAGACTAGTAATATACCAGTAATTTATTCACACCATTCAACAGACTAAACAGTTTTAATTATATTAAACGTCCAAAAAAAAAAAATACTTCTTACAGAGAATTCAATATACATCATGAAACATTTGAAAATGAAGACATGAAGTTAAAATTCACGGTAATGTCATGTTGCAAACTTTGAATTTACCGGGCGGCAATAAATACAAATTACATGTCAACTTGTAAATTTAGTATTTATTTCCACCCGCTGAATTCAAAATATTCAAAATGGCAGAAAACATAGACCAATTTGTAAAGTAACTTGATAACAATCCTTATAAAAAGTTTACTAGTATATCTGTTTCTCGGAGAAACTGACCTTTGCTTGTCCAGCGATTGATGTACTTCATGAGGAGTGGAACTATGTATAAATCAATAACATCATCCATCTTTGTGCAAGACACTGAAGTCGACGTAAAGTCTGTTTTAAAATAAATTGATACATGTAAATACGTCCATCAACTACTGTATGTACATATATGTACATATTTAGTTCACAGAAGAGAAATGAAAAATGAATTGATTTCATAAGAAATATATAACATTTGATTACCTTCGATTCTTTTGTTGTTGACAACACGCTAAAATAGGGTGTGATTATGACGTCATCTTATTGTTAATTTCGTCAAGTTGAGGCGAAGATTGTGACGTCATAGTGACTTTTATTTCGTCAGAGAGAGAAAGAGAGAGAGAGAAAAAAAACGTTGGGGATGACATTTGAATTGAAAATTCGGATTTCTTCCCGATTTTATACGTATGATCTTGTTTATTGTTTTTCATATTTTAACTTTCATTATGCATAATTATTTTGCAAGGAGCATTGTTTTGCAATATAAATGAAGGTTAATTTATGCCAGTTTAATTTATACCTGGCCAGTCCATTTAAAGCAAATACAGAAAAGGTTGCAGGAAATTCATTTTTTAAAAAGAAAAGCCAAATGCTAGAACTCAATAGTGTCATACTTTCTTAAATTAGATATGGTATTTAATCCACATAAGATATTTCTTTTCTTTTTTTTTTTGAGTTACAAAAATGTGAGATCGTTCAAGGTTACTACAACTCATCTAAATTTTATTTAATTATTATTATTTATTAAATTGGGGGGGGGGGCAAAAAACGTGTATATGCACTTGTCATTCAGAGATAATTTTACCATGGGTCTTGTTAAGTAATCATTTTTTCTTTTAAATCTTTATGATATAAAGTATTAATAAATACCGGAATGGCCACATGCACTGTTGTCAATAAATCTACATTTTAATTCGTCAGAGAGAAAGAAATGATTCAGGCAGTAGTCAGGTTAGTGTTGTTGGCCCTATAGGTCTCTCGTTTTCCCTTTTATTTCCTCTGTCATCTTATCGAGGGGTCTTTACCTTATGCATTGATCTTTTTAGACATCATGAATAACAAGGTAAAGGAAAAATCGGCTTTTTAAAAAATGGTGCAAAACCCCGGCGGCAACCGCTCACAAATTAGTTATCTTTGGTAATTTACTGGTCAAAACACGATTTCAACAAAGCTAACAAAGGGAGATTTTTGAGTGAATTACAACTCAGTCTTTGGTATTGTTCGCCGTCTCGCTTGAAAGGTATTTCCTTGACCTTGTGACCAATATGTGGGGAGCTCGCCTTAAACGCGCGCCACATCACTTACAGCGTATGGCAACGGATCAAATCATGTCGGGTATGTACATCTTTATATTCTAAACTTGGTGACTGTTTTATAACTACCAACATAGCTGCTTCAGACAAAAGATGTAGATTATTCCAAAATTCTTGATCTTCGACTGTTCGATTATCGTGTTTCACGATTTATTTTTCATATACATGTACAAGTATACAAATTTGAATTTGCATGAGGAATCTGCAGAATTTACTTATTCTCGTGGATTTACATTTAGGCCTGCTAATTAATGATCCTGTTGATTGCTAATTAATGATCCTTTTGATTCCATAAAAGCAGTTCGTTTGAACCCCATTTTAAAGAATAGATAGAACCCATCCTCAAAATAGAAAATTTATGGTTCATGTTAACTTTACTTTGGTATATCAAGATTGTAGTTTCATCTCTTCAGTCGATTTCATTGGAATAACAAGCCTTGTTTTTGGTGAAAGTCCATCGAATTAACTTGTGAACTCGTATTCCTTAAACACATAAAAGAAATTAACATTGTTAAATATCTGTATTCAGTTATAGAATGTCTTAATTTTATGCAATTTATATAATTTTAATTAACGCAGCTGCACATCTGAGTTTTAATTCTTACCTTTGACAGACCTTACAAAACAACAGGAGGCCAGCGCACCACCGGCATATGACGCGCCAATTACAGTACAGCCCGGATTTACTCAAGCAGCTCAACCAGGCGGATATGCACCACCAGTTCAACCAGGGCCTTACCCCCATCCAGCTCAACCCTCGAATTTTGTAAGAATACCTTTATTCAGTCCAACTATGATCATTTATGTATAAAAAAAATAATGCACCCATAAATCTTTAAAAAAAAAAAAAAGAAGATGACCCTGTTATATTTCTTAAAAAGGATTTCCACTAGTCTTCAGGATATGAGAAGGGGGTGGGTTGGGGTTAGTTCACAATTCTCTTTGTACAATAACAGATAACGTGGTGAAGGATATACATAACAATTTGAAATAACTAAAATAAGGATCCATTGGATGTCCATCTGTTACAGTGTTATGCCATTATACATTCTTTCACAGTGTTATGCCATTATACATTGATCTATGTTAACATAGTCTTTGGAAAAACGGGCCTCCCCCCCCCCCCCCTTCTGAATCTGTCTGTGAAGTTATGTCGGATTTTCTCTACGTTTGAAGAAAAAAATAGATTACGTGGGCCTGTTAATCTTTCTTTTAAAATAAGGTATTCTTTTAAATTATAAACCTAGCATTCCTCCTCTTCCAACACCACCGTGGTACTCAATGCACCACAGCCGGCTGTCCAACCTGTGAACAAAAAACGGACTTGGACCACGGACATTTTTGGATGTTTCTCCGACATGACAAATTGTAAGTGGGTTTAGCGCCAAAATTATGCATATTTTAGTTCTTGTTTAGCTACTTATGTTTTTATCTTCTTTTTTCGGGGGGGGGGGGGGGGGTCTTCGTAGCAAATTGAAATATTTAAAACGTCTTTTTTCTTATGACATACTTTGTAGGCGCTGCTGTAACGCTCTGTCCCAATCTTTACCTGTACTACCTGTCAATGAAGCTGGGCGAGAACCTTCTCCTGCCCTGTGCCTTTGGTTGCAGTTATCAGGTTTTGGTTCCTCTTAGAGTGAAAGTCCGAGCAGAAAACAACATAATGGTAATACATGTACCTCTATCATTGAATTGTAAGCCTTTGATCTACAGAAATATTTTCATGATTAAGGGTTTGGTTTTGTGTTCATCCAAGTGAAACTCGTACGAAATAAAAATCTCAATATCTTAATAAATACTTCTTGCTTACTCTTGAAAACTGACCTATGACACCTTCCATGGGAATGCTGTCTTGATATGTATGCAGTTTGATTGTCACTTGCAGTGTCATGCAGCAATAATGTGCATATTACACTTGCAGGACTGCACAGCTACAGGTCTAACAAAACAATAACATGACATTTGTTGTATATGTGCAGATAGTTGAACGTCATGGGTACAACTATTTGTTTCGTTCCTAACAATTCTGTGCGTACTTTTTCCATAACTGTCTGTTTTTCTTCAACTAGGCATGTCCGCCATGCGAAATCTGGGCGCTGCCATTCCGGTATTGAAACCAACTGACTATTTCTGTAATCTGATGTCTCTAGTACCCCGATTACACAAAGCAATTAGAGAGATATTTCGTAAAACATCTCCAGCTATTAGAATGTTTCGATCTAAATGTTTAATATTGTTTATTATAAAAGTAACATCGATGTTTACGTCATATCAGGGAATGCTCCGTCTTCGATTTTACAATGGACAGATAAATTAATACGCGCCCAGTTTTAGCAGTTCCGACTGAATTTAACGTCTGTTATTTCTTTTGCAGGTAAGGCTATTAATTACCTTTTATCAAATAAGCATATTAATCCTACAAATGTAGGACAATGTCATATAATATTGAAAAATATTGCACGAAAATTAAGAACTATAATCACTCAGCGTAGTTTATTTCTGAGGTCTGTCATGCGATATTCGGCTAAAGTGAAAGTAGGAGCTGGTAAGTCGATTTGTTGTGTTTATTGTGATTTATGAGCCTTATCTCAGAAATACGATATAACTCCTAGTATCAGTAATACATTTTGAGTGTGACAACGCCTGCGATCTGATGCACATCAATTTTAAAAAGGTTAAACGTTATACAAAGGATCTGAGAATTTCCACGTGTTTCTTGCTGACCACAATTTGGTAGCGGGCAATATTTAAGGTTCCTCTAATAAATATTACTATGTTTCAAAATACTAAAAGTATTCGTTATTGTATAAAAATATAGTTCAGTCAAAAACATGGTTTCAAATATTATGAGTAGAGTAAAGAACTAAATTTTGTTTTCATTAATGAGCGATTTTTGTGTAAGATCCTTCATTGAGCCTCAGACACACCAAGTTAAGTGTCCAATGACAGCTAAGTGAAGTGGCTCTACGTAGTACACATATATGGTAAATCAGATGTGTTATTTGTTGATCAAAATTTTGATATTCAAATTTTATTACTTTTTTGTTTTACTTTTTGTAAAAGAGATGCAAGTATTATTAATTATTTATATAAATAATTTTCACATAACTTTGTACTGTATACAAACCATCATTTTGGACTTGGTCCTTCTGATTGCAGATTAGTGCAGTATATGTAGTTCTCATGGGGAAAAGTAAATTAAACGATAAAAATTTTCAAGGATGTCAACTTCATTTGCTTATTGCTTGATATGTAAATTTTTGAATGTTCATCAATTTGATGAAGAGTGCAGCAAAATTGAAAAATAGCTTTTTTTTTAAAGATGAAAATTGCATAAAGTATTAATAATTAATATTCTCTAGTTGAAATGGTTAAGATTGAAAACTTGAATTTCTGCAGCTGCATTGGTTTCATCAAAAAGGGAGTATAATAAGGGGGTCTTACCTGATCTTAAGTTACCATTGAGCATGCTGAATCAAATGCTACCAAGCATGCATGTTTATTTTTAATTGAATGTTCATTTTATGAAAGTTTTTCATATGCTCAATCAGACTTAGGTTGTTGGTTGGACTTGTAAGGAAGAGATAAGGTGCTGGGGGTGGGGTGGGGGGTAAACCTTGGTATTGATCCATAAATACCATAATATTCTTGTAGAAACCTCTAAGATTTTTCTATAAAATTGAAGAAAAAAAATGAATGTACATGTAGCCACCACTTTATCTCAAAGGTTATTATTATTATATTTTTTTTGAGGACCTGCATTTTAATGGTACAGGCAAACCTTGTTATTTCTATCCTGATGGGACCAATAAAAAAAATCAAGAAATCTGGTATAGTTTGACACATTGAGGTTAAAATGCTTAAAGAAAAAAATGGAAGAGACTTTCAATGAAATATGAAGATAACAAACAATAATCAAATTCAAATTCACATAATTTCGAGAGATGGAAGCAAAACTCTATTCTTATAATGTCTCATAGAAAAAAGTTTTATCGGACACAGTTTCAGGAAATAAATACCATTCAGTTAAAACACTGACACCCTTCAACATGTTCAACAAAGATTAATATGAATATCTAGATTTAAAAGAATTGTTTTTGAACTTTTTTCCTAAAATTTATTATAACTATGTTTACCATGTTTACAGAATGCCTTGTTTCACAAAAAAGAACACTGTTGACAGATATTTTCTCTGGACTGTCAATTTCTGCATTTCATAATCATGTGATACCTGTGTTGGAGCCCTCCCAAAAACCTCCCCTGTAAGGTAAGTTTTATATCCCAATGAAATGATTCTGTAAATTTAATAGACATGTGTATAAGGGTATAAGGTAGGTGTTATAATCACAGTGAGCTGACTAGTCATTTTCATTTTGTATAATTGGATTCAGATGTTATTCTATGTGTACAGAATGAAAGAATGTACAATTTTTATGATGAGAAATATATATGCGGTTGGATGAAAAGAAAGATTTTGTTTAAGTGAATGTTGTGTATGTGTCCATCACATTGTCTCAAGCCATGGTTGGAGTCCGCCTACAGTTCTCTCCTACCCGAGGCTGCTTGAGTGAATTAAGTATTGTTATCATGAATAATCAAACCTAATATGTGTGATGTCACGTTATAACCCAATAAAAGTAATTGTTTATATTGCAGTTGACTTTTAACAATAAAAAAACAACTGTTAGGTAAACAGTGACTGAAAAAAGGAAGTCACTTCAGAGGTTATTTTTAAATAATTGAAAACTTCAATCTCTTTTGGAAGGAACTGTTTTTGATCATCTTCTTGTAGCTTACTAACACACATGTCATCATATCAGGTTTTTAAAATTCTGCCATCAAATCCTTACCTTGTCATTTAACCTTCAGATTTTGTACTTGTTTGCTTTATTTCATTATGATCTTATATGCTTGTCTCATCTACTTCCCAAGGCAAGATGACATGACCATCACTTGGGTTTACCTTAATTGATGTTATTTATGTTTGACCTCTTTGTACATACAGATTAGACTCATTTATCTCTATATGGATTAAACTACTCAGATCTACACTAATTGTAAATTAAAATAAGATATATTCAGTCCAACAATCAGTGTTAACCAACATTTACAATGTGACGATCATTGCTGAGGGATGTGTAGCCTTTGACCCTGAAATTTACATGTCTATCTTTGCATACTTTTTACTTAGTCATGATGTAAAGATTTAACTTTCAATTCAAGTTCCCTCTTTGAGAGTGATCAACAGTATTGTTTTTTTAGTGGTATGTTATAAATTATTTATATTTAATATTTTACAGATTTCAAAGTCAAGGAGATCATTCAAATGACAGAGGGTTTGGTCCATGTTGGTTTGTCTCAACAGTTAATCTTTTGGAAAGCAGTGTTGGAGAAAATATCAGCAAAATGTGAAGACTGTGATTTAGTTTCATATGATATGACTAAAGAAAGTTAATATTTTTGATTTCATGGTTGTATGAACAAATGCTATGAACTTTCCAAACATCATTTTAAAAAAAAGTTAATATGATGACCAAACAAAAATACATATTAATTTGAACTTTCCACGAGTTTACAATGAAGAACATTTTGGGATCTTGATACAGGATATTATAATAGTGTTTTATCTAATTTATTCATATTGTTTAGTGCATTAAATGCAAAAAAATGTTTTAAAGTCACTCTTGTGAAACCCATGCTAAGAAAACAGGTCTCAAATATCTTAGAGAGTTATATTAGAGTTATATTGTTAGAATTGAAGCTTATTTATAAAATTATACCTTATATCTTTAAAGAAAGTTTCACAAAAAATAGTCAAACATATACTGATTAACATATTAAAAGAAATATAATATCCTGGAAGTGATTGAGAATAAAAAAAGGTCATTTATCATCCTTTTCTTTTGTTCTTCTTGGTGACTTTTTTTTTTACAATAATCAAAGACATTTACATTTTAGCTCATCTGAGCAGAGGCTCTATTGAACTTTTCTGATCAAAGAGTCTCTGGTGTCTGTCCATCTGTCATCCATAAAAATTAAACCCTAAAATAGGGGTATCAAAGTTTGACATGGGAATAGATAGGAAAAAATCATCCTTTAATGAAGAACAAGGTAATGATTTACTCATAATGTATGCAAGCATCCTCAAGTAGTGAAGATTCAAGTTGGTCAAAATCATTTGCCAGACTTATTATTACAATAATATTAAAATATTCCCTATTTGTATTTTTTTCATTTTTTTTTCTTCAAATAAATCTGAGATCAGATTTTATATATAAATTGGTAAATGCATGTATACATGTGAAAAAAAAACTTTAGGAAACATATAAGCCATGTTAGCCATATTGATAATGAAATATCCTCATGTTGTGGAATCAGTTTTGGATTAGACATGGCCTTATGACCCAAGGTGGGGCCACACTATTGGCTCAAATTTGTTTTTATGAGAATTAAGGGGGATAAGAATGTCTTAGAAATCTGAAGAACACCAAGGTAACTCAAGTGAATGTTGTGGGCCAGGCCTCTTATTTAAATTGCCCACTTTCATTATCCCTGCAGCTTTTTAACATCTTATTTGGCATATTTTGTTAAGGAGAAAATTATTTTTCTAACATTAATTTCACTGTGTTTTGTACACATCATAGAGTAATATTTTAGATACATCTGGGCTTTCATATAAAGTGCTATTTTAGATCAACAGTGAGTCTCTTTAATTCTATTTTTAACACATTGCCATGTGGTTGGGACTACTTTCATGGCTAACATTTTCTTGTTTAACAAACAAGTATGCATTTAAAGAAATGTACCTATTGTAGTGAGTTTACATTTAAATCAAAGGTTCTTCACAAATAGTTGTAGCCACTTAATTGGTTTAACTATTTCATATTTTTTTGGATTTTTTGGTGCACTACTAAAACCTGTGGCTGCGCAGTCCTGCAGGTGTATTGTGCACTTCATAGCTGCAAACTGCTGCAAGTGTCAATTAAGCTGCATATACCCAGAGATTGTTTTCATTATGAAGATGACATGGACCAGTTTTCAAGTGTTAGCAAGGCTTAATTTTTGAGATATTAAGGTTTTTATTTTTAGTGAGTCTCACTTGGCTGCACACAAAACCAAACCCTTAATTGATAGAATTATACAGGAAACATCGAAACAATTACCTTTCTTTGATTTTCTTGATTTTGTATGGCTTTTATTATTTTTTCTAACATGTCGGAAAGAATTTAAAATGCCCAAAAACAATATACATGTACATATATCTGCTTGAAATAAAATCTTTTCTCTGTCATATAAATCTACTGTATTTTCATTCAAATACTAGTAGACTGCAAAATAAACATGTTTTAAACAAATCAGCGTCGTGAACAGATACATTCGCTTAAAGAATAACAAAGCTATTATAAATGGACAGGATATATTTCGAACGAGTGAAAAATTATCTGTTTTAGGGTAATATCTGTGAGGATTGCTGCATGGTGTGTTGGTGTCCCTGTTGTGTCATGTGCCAATTACAGCGTGAGCACGAATTCCTCATGAAAAACAACAACAACAAAGTCATGTGACATATATTACTTCCTGCTGACGTCACAACAGATCAAAAACTTTTTTTGTACGATATTGGTATTTATATTTGATATTGGTGATACGGGTAAATATTTATGATTGTATGTATATTTATCCAAAGTATTCTTGAATTTTCTTTATATTAATACACAATTAATATATTTGAATTAATAAAAATAACATGCACACTGTTGCATTTTACTTTACATAATTTATACGCACTGATGAGTATTTTTAGGCGAGTTTAACAAGTCGAAAAACGGCTGTCAGATGTGTGTGCGCCCCTCTCCTTTTTCATTTAGTAAGAGATATGGGTAACAGATGAAAGTGCTGGACGTTGTATTCGTACGTCAGATGTCTGTAAGGTCGATTATTTGATCGATAATTAAATTTGACCACATACCCCCCCCCCCAATATTTCATCAAAAATCTTTTCTTCTGGTGCCTGTGGCATACAAGGGAATCCACAATCTTAGGATATTCAGTGGTATTAGATTGGCATTGTTATCTAGACGAATATTTTCGAACCTCACAGGAAAAAGTAAGAATATGGTTGGTATTTGAAATTAACCTCTTTGGATATGACCCTCCTCCCTGACAAACTTCCCAGGTCCATCTTTGATTTGGTGAAAAAGTTAAGATAACGAACAGTGATCGATCTGGAAAAAAAATCACAAACAATACAAATCTGTGAGTAGGGTTTACAATACGGACATCCGGGAATTCCAGAGGTGGAATCAGGTGCCTAGGAGGAGTAAGCATCACCTGTCGACATGCCACACATGCACGCCGTGAGCCCTAAGTATTGATCAGGTAGACGGGATATTTCGTAGACAAATTAGTATAAAGACAAAATACTAACAATTTGTATGAAAAACGTCAACCAAAATACTACCCAATGATCGATAGGTTATATTTGCTAGCAAGGTCATTATAACGACCATATAATTTACGAAATGCTGACTTTAAACGAGGTTGTTGAAATCCCAGTAACATCAACTTATCTGTCAGCAGCCTGCCTCGGTTTAAGATTGGTCGTACTCAGAGCATACTCTTGAGTATCGAATAAGTTGGGAGATGTAAACTCCATATGCAGGTGACAGTATTACTACATAAATAAGGAAAGTTGGTGATGGAAAAGCTAAAGTTATTTCGTTTGTCATACAATTTAGTTGAAGTTGGTCCTTATCATCTATAGTCAGTAAAACATCCAAATATGAAACAGATGTGGCAGACTCTGTGGTGTCTTATTTCGAGTTCACTGGGATATATCGATATTGATATTGTTGATAAAACGTCGTCAATGTGTCATGAATGTCGAGTTGAAGGCCACAGCTAGTATTTTCTCCTCATGTAGAAATTTTTGAATAACTTCTGCTTAATATGAATATAAAACAGACCGGCTAATAAAGGAGCACAATTAGTGTCCATCGAAATTCCAACATATTTTGTTGGAAGACCTGGTCTCCAAAGACTACATAAATGTTGTCAATGAGGAACTCCTGTATCCTTTTAATATCAATTTAAGAGTACTTGTGTGTACAATCAGAGTGATTTTTTTAAAAAAAAAAAATAATTTTGTAAATGACCAATCACACGATAGGAAAATTTCCTAGTTCCATTTTTATTGAAGAAGCAATTATCTATAATATCAAATAGCCAAGTTTTTAATTTTTCATGAGGAACATGTTTGTATAAAGTGTGCAGGTTTTGTGTTTTATTGTTACCGACTTTTGAAAAAAAAATTGGCAATTTTCATTTTTCTAAAAATTTCTTTGGAGTATCCACATTTGATTTACACACTTCTAGAATGTACATCTGAAGTTTCTCCTTTACAGCAGTTAATATTTTTGTGAGGAGTAAAGATAGGGGCTATGCAGAGCATTTGCTGAAACCGGCAATATGAATATATCTTTGTTTGTAAGGATTTTTGAAGCTTTATGAAGCTTTTCCTCGAACTCAAAGATAATACCAAGTATTCATCGAGAAATGTATCTATATTAACCTTTCATAACTCATGTTTGTGGGGGAAAAAAAATACATGTACAAGTTATTGGTCAAAGAATGATGCCATTGATAAACCATTGCAAAAACAAGAGAGAACGATGTTTTTTTTGGGGGGTGGGGGTGGGGGGGGGTGCATGGCTGATAGTCAATCTAATTAAAATCAGACTTCTTAGATCCGCGCCGTATACACTCTTTTTACGCAGAGTGTATTCGGCGCGGATCTAGGAAGTCTGATTTTTATCTGAACTGATAATTTCTGATTGAGCTAACAGTCAATTCTAGATATGTTAAATACACCACAAACGATTGCTTATGATCATGATTTGTTTACCAGCAGTACGAGTCCTTAAAAGACGAGAAGTAACAATTTGCTTTTTTTTCCTTCAAACTTTAATTCATGAGAGACCAAGAAACTGAGTTATTATCAGAACTTTTAATCAACGAAGATGAGTATCAAAACACACATTTCAAGCTGACAGATTTTATTTCATTTATAAGATACAGAATACAATTGGTATCAAGAGGTCCAACTCCGTCCAGATACTTGATTACAAGTGCGTATACTTCACGAGCAATCATCTTTTAAGAACTGGTCCTTTAAAAATGTATATATTTCCTCATTCCTACTTTTCTTCCAATTTTTGAGTCGCATTTGACACAACAGTTTTAACACTGGCTTCTGTCTGAAATGGTCAGGGTACATTAGTCAATTCCATCGCGAACAAAGAGAGTTGAATTTTTACCATCACGAACAAAGACAGTTGAATTTTTACCATCACGAACAAAGACAGTTGAATTTTTACCATCACTGATGAACAGAGACGGTGAATATGAGTTTCCGGCTCCTCCACCCATGACCGGGGAGTTTGAAGAAATACCATTGTCTGAGCCAGAATGGATTCCAATCACAGGACAACCTGAAAGGATAGCAACCATTGGCCAACATGAAAGACCCAGAGGAGCAAATACAATTGACAGAGTACCATATTCTGGAAGACACGATAGGATGCCAATAACTAACCAACCTGGAAGAGTGCCAATGTCCAGAGAAACGGAAGGAAGGTATGTACAAGACGAAGCTAATGTCCAAAGGGGTGGGCAGTCGAAAACAATGCCAAGATCTGGACAGCCAAGTCCAATGTATCAAGCTGACCAGACTAGAATGGCTCCGAAACATAGAAGTCCGGCTCCATATGCCGACCAGTACGGACAAAGACCACCTCCTAGAAGCGATCATGGTACCCCACCACCTGTGGCTCAAAAGCCTACTCCGCGGCAAGCATTTAACTACGTAAGTGATTATATTCATCCATAACTACCTTCTTTTGTTTGGTTAATTTTTTGAAATATTTTTTCCCATTTTCATTGGGGGGGGGGGGGGTCTGACTTTCGTTTTTACTTAATATTACGTAGAAGATCAGTGCAAATTGAAAATGTTTTAAAATACAGTTAGGGTGAACTCACCATACATCGGACACCCTTGTACTTGAACAAGTTCTAGCGTTACTTAGAATGGCTAAGGCTAATGAATTGGATACTTTTGAAAACTTTTTTCAAGCCAATTATTATCAACAGAGGATGAAAATGGGGGGGGGGGGTTGCTGGTGACCTTTATAGAAGAACTAATATTTTAACTTAATCAAATAAAACATTAAGCACCAAAAGATCCAATGCCATTGAATCTACCCTTTCTCTGCAGCTTGGTCAACCCAACGCCATAAAATCTTCTCGAGACTGGAGCTCTGGTTTATGCTCATGCTGTTCCGACATGAAATCATGTACGTGAGATTATGGTTCTATTATTTGAAAAAAATATTCTCATTTCATTGGAAAACACGCTATTCATGTGAAAACGATTTTACATTAAAAGGTTGTGGAGTACTATGGTGCGGATGCTTTTTCTATCCGTGCTATTTGTCCAAGAAGCTAGGAGAAAATACGTGTCTCCCTCTTGCTATGGGTAGTACGTGTGCTTTGATTTCTCTGCGTACCAAACTCCGCACTCAAACACGCATAGATGTAAGTAACCTCACTTCAACATCACTTTTTACAGAGTTTTTCCAAGGGTATGTCATGTAATCCTATATACGGGAGAAAATGCATTTGTCTGTAAACGATCTAAAGAAAATTAGATGAATAATAAATTGATCTACAAATCTTTTGCTTGTCTAAGCGCATGATTTCAACATGCTTTCAGGGAACCATCTGTAAGGATTGCTGCACTGTCGTCTGCTGCCAGTGTTGTGCAATGTGTCAAATGTCACGTGAGCAGACTTTCGTAACCAATCACCGCATCATGCAGATAAAATAAGACTGTTGGAGAAAAAAAAACTATAAAATACTCTTACTTTAATTCTAATGTATACACATATTTTCTTCTTGAAGACTTTTAGGTACATCAAATGCGTTTATGAAATTAATCATTTGCACCCTTTCACTTTATTATTGTTCATATTGATAATGTTAAGTTAATTAAAAATTTTTACTTTCATTATTAATGTTGAGGGATAGAAGATTCCGGATAAATTAAGTAAGTACAGTGTATTTGCACACTTAAGAGATAATTGTGAATACACTGTGTAAGTATCATATTTAAAAAGTACTTGACTGTATTAAGGTTTCATGAACATGTAAGTCTCTAGATTAAGAATAAAGCTAAACAGGGAGATAATTTGCCTCAAAATTAAAATGACCAGATTTGGAGCTACATCAATCTATCAACGAAGCTTCTACACAAAATACGGTAGTTATCAATGGAGCATTCTATTCTGATATACAGTACATACAGCTCACATACTCGGGTCATTTGATCATGAGTCTGATCATTTTGATGAAAAGCCATCACAAGTAATAAATTAAAGTTTTCATATAAAGTTAAATTTATATAAATTAAATATATGTAACTTAAGGAAAAACTAACTATACTGTACAATACACAAAATACAACTACAGTGTGACTTTTATCTAAATTACTGATTTAAATCAAAAGCATTGTGTTCTGTCATATTTTATAATTTTGCTACAGTTTCAATGCAAAAAAAATCAACTCGCAAGTTTTTGCGAGTTACCTAATTTTTAACTCGCAATTTGGGAATTCTAACTCGCGTTTTGCGAGTTATATATAATGAATTTCGAACCCTGTAATTGACCTTTGCTATGACTTGTTTAAAATAATAATGAGCTAAAAATACAAGCCAATTCCTTTAAATTTATTTGTACTATAGCATGATTGATTTAAGGAACTCCAGAATTTTATTACGTTTGGGAAATTCTTAAAAAAAATAAAGAAAATGTACCCCCCCTTCCTTGTTTTAGCAAGTAATCGGAGTTATCTCTCTTGGTCTTAATACAATATACGATTTCGTAATGACGGAATTACTTTTACTACCTCCGGAACTATTGACAAGAATTCTCCAGAACATCCCTGGAAAAGACTTTCAGAATGTGTGCCTATCATGTAAACAACTTAGAGACCTTGCTTACGATGAGTCGATCTGGAAAATAAAATGTGAAGAAGGTATTGTATAATTGTACAGTTCTGACAATAAAGTTTGTCGTTTGCAATTTCTATGGAGGCCCATAATTGCTAGAATTGTATACATGTATTTCGAATTCCTTCCTTTCAATTCTAAATTGACGACAAACTTGCAAGCCACTGCTTTTTGTCAAATTCCATGATAACTATGCTAATGAATGAAATCAGTAAAAATATTACCTTTTTTCTAAATTCAAAGTGAGTGTAATTTTGTTTTTGTTTTACAGAATATAAATTTAAATCCATTACTGGTTGGAATGTGACATACCGAGATGTCTACCACAAGGGTAAGGTTATGAGGTTTTCCCCAAAAAATTGAATAATCGAGAATTGTTTATTTATTTATTAACTTATAATATTATTTACAGGGACGTAGCATCGTTTTGAAAAAGGGGGGCAGAAAAAAATTCAACATACCTGAAAAAACTTGATTGTCCAAACTCGAACAACCTATTGGGGGGGGGGGGTATTTCAATAGTAAAAAGTTATGTTTGGAAAAAAAAAGGGAGGGCAGGCTTCCTTCCCCCCCCCCCTTTGCCAAGTGCCTGATTAATTTAACTCGGGGCAGGCTCATAGTACGTGGGGGGGGGGGGTCCTGAGAGTAGCTTTTGCTGTAGTTTTATTATGTAAATTTTCATTTGGATGCTGCTTCCTCCCTCCCCACTTTTTGTTGCTCTACGGTTGACAATTTCCAGCATTTAAAAATACCGAAAAAGTTAAGGTCACCCCCTCCCACACCCCCATAAAATTGAATTTTCAAGTTTGAATAATAAACTTTGTTTTTTAGGTCACCTGAGTCACTCAGGTGGCCTATTGCTATCCGTTTTTGTCCGTCGGCGCTCGTCGTGCGTTAACATTTGAACATTTTCATCTTTTCTGAAACCACTGAATCAATATTTCAACCAATTTTTGCATATATTACTGTATCTATGGGTGAAGGGGGACAAAAATTAGGAATTTCATGATCTCTGACTCCCTGGAACCTGAGGGGTGGGGCTAAAGCCACCAAAATTAATGCAATCTTTAAAAATCGTCTTTACTCCTGAACATCAAGCAGTCAAACTGGTGGCATGATTGAAATAAGAATTGAGTCTTCTACCAAAATTATAAAATTCATGACCCTAGAGTCAGGGGTTCTGGTGCTAGGGCTATAGAGATCATATAGTGAAAGTGCATCAATTCTTTGAAAATTAAGCTTCATCTCTTCTCCTGGGTACATTGAGCAAGGGTGTTTCTTCCAAAATTTTGATTTTCATGGCCCCTGGGTCAGGGGTTCTGGAGTTAGGGTGGGGCTCTATTGATTAATGTATAGTGAAAATGCATTAATTCTTTGAAAATCTTCTCCTCTCTCCTGGGTATTAAACCGATAAACCAAATGCATGGTTATGATTAAGAAGGGTGTCTCTTCCAAAATTATGAATTTCATGGCCCCTGGGTCAGGGGTTTGGGTGTAAGGGCGGGGCTCTAATGATTTTATAGTGAACATGCATTCTTTAAAAATCTTCTCCTCGATTCTGGGTATTAAGCCAATGAATTAAGTGCATTCTATTGGGAAGGCGGGCTTATTTATTATATACTGAAAATGAAGTGTGAAAATGTGAAGTATGAAAGCCCTATCATCAACCATTCAAAAGTTTTTGACCTTGACCTAGGAGTTTGACCTACTTTTGAAAAACGTTAACCTTGGCCATAACTTCTGAATGGTGTATGCTAGGGCTTTCATACTTTACATATGTAATCCTTGTGACATCACCTTCCTTTGGATTCCAACCACTTTGACCCTTTGACCTTGACATAGGAGTTTGACCTACTTTTGAAAAACTTTAACCTTGGCCATACCTTTTGAATGGTTGGTGCTCGGGTTTTCATACTTCACATATGTAATCCTTGTGACAAGACATTCCTTTGGACACCAACAACTCTGACCTTGACCTTGACGTTTTACTTACTTTTAAAAAACTTTAACCTTCGCCATAACTTTTGAACAGTTGCAGCTAGGGCTTTCAAATTTCACAGGTATATTCCTGGAGACAAGACCTTTCTTTGGGTACCAACATTTTTTTATCATTTGGCCTGGATTTTGACTTGCATTTAAGAAACTTTTACCTTCGCCATAAGCTGCCATATGGGGGCATCAGTGTTTCACAAACACATCTTGTTTTTTTGTATTGCTTGTTTGTTTGTTTTGTTTTAGGTTTGTTTTTTTTTCGGAGGTTGACCCCCCCTTTTTTTTGAAACCGTCGCTACACGCCTGAAACTTCCATTCGAATAAATTGCCAATTTTAAATTCTTCTGCACAGGCAAAAATCATTATCAAGGAGAAAGTAGCGATTCTCTGTATAGAAATCACTCTCTTAGCCCAGAAAAGTATCAAATCAGATTACAGTGAACTTAAAATCCAAGCTAGGGCATAAAGATGCAAGGAAATGGGGAGGGAAGTACAAGACAGTGGTACAGAAAATTTTAAGAAGGAATTTTTTATGTAGTTTTGCGTCTTTACGGCGATCTGGTGGGGCTGTGGTGGAGAGATTTTACTCATTATGGAGGACTTATGCAAGTAAAGGTAAAAAATATTACAAGTCTTATAAATACATGTAGTATAAAAATAAGTAAGGAGAGAAGTACATAAGCAATTCTCTAAAATATACTAATATTTTTGACAGAAAGACACGAATTCAGTCTAACACTCTTCTGAGTATTTTGTTTTTATATCTGTTTGTATATTTTTTCATATTTATGTCTAAAATTAAACATTCTGAATCCTAGTTTGACAACGGATGCATTAAAGGTGTTGAACTTCTTGCTCCACTCAGTCCACACGTGGAGAGGCCATTGCGGAGGAAGACAATGTTTACAATTTCACTGACGTCATCGGGAAAATTGGAGATCGTTTCTGTACATAATACCCCTTACAAAGAAATCCCATGTTCTATTACAGTAGAGGAGGATGAACTGGTAATTAAAAATATTTTTTTAAAAAGTTGTTTGGTTGTCCATAAATAGAAACAATACACAAGAATGAAAGCGTTGCAACAAATTGAATATTACACTTAAGTGAGCTTTTTTGTTTAAAAAGTGTCCGTCGTCCGTCTGTCTGTCCGTCATCTCTCATGTGTTGGCTGTAAACTTTTTACATTCTCAACCTCTTCTCCAGGCCTCTAGACCATAAACTAAGAACAGACTTGTGTAAAAAATTGATTTTGAATAACTGGAGTTTTATTTAACATGTCTGCTTAAAAACTTAATGCATTGTTTAGATTTAGAGATATGATGAAAATTTTGTTTCATTATCAAAATTATGTTAAAGGTTATATTGATTTGAAATTTTGACTTATGCCCTGTTCATAAGAATGCGCATTAAATATTTAATTCGCAGTAAATTAATGCAAAGTAAAATAATGCGAATGAAATTGTGCTCACACGACAGTCAGTGCGAAGTAAACTAGGCCTAATGCGAATTAGAATTTTATTTCCATATAGTAAGGCTATTATGACGTCATTTCCAATTACATTTGACATAATATATCACAGTGTCTATAAACATGTTTAGTGATAAACTTAAATTTTATTTGTTTTCACTCAAAAATAGCATAAGAACTGATATCTGTCCACTACGGAAACGTATAACTGCCTTGTATTGTTGTGTTATACCTCAAAATAAAATTAGTGTCATCTTCCAATGAGATGTTTATGTCAAAATTATGTCGACTTATAAAAGGAAATCAGAAAAATTTGGATGATTTAACTGCCCTGTTCAAGCTTCGTTGACTTTGATCAAATATGATAGTTTTTTGTGTATTACATCTGCCAAAAGAACAAAAAAACCGTAGGAATATTCTCATTACTCTAAATAATCCGAATTTATAATGTTGACTCGATACCATTTTTTAGACTTTAACGTCAATAGTTTGATAAATTCTTACCTGTTAACAAGGAATGTCAATTCATTGTTTATCGTTCTAAATGGTAAGTTCAATGTCTGACAACATAGTTTTCATATGCCCCCTCCCCCAACCAATGGTTTATTTTGTTAATTCGGATTTATTTTATACAATATATACAATCTTGCATTTCATGAGGTTTTCAAAATTTTATTTTTAAAGGGGCAAGTATATGCCTTTAAATGTCAAGTATATGATATTTATTACACTGTAAAAACTTAACACATTACACATCCTCTTTCAAGGGGAGATGATTAAGAATAAGTGAAGATTTAAATGGCAACTTTTAAAATCTTTTTCTCTAGAACCTCTGGTGTGGAAAGATGAAACTCATTACATAGTGTAGATTCAAATTTGCTCAAGTCACAACCCTGGGGGTTAGGGTGTGGCTGCAAAAGGGGATCAAAGTTATGCATAGAAATCTATAGGAAATTTCTTTAAAAATTTTCTTCTCAAGAACAGCAAAGCCATAATTAGTCATATTAATACAGAAGCATCCTCAGGTAGTGTAAATTTAAATTTGTTCAAATCGTCACCCTGGGTGGTAGGGTGGGGCCACAACAGGGGATCAAAGTTATGCAGAGGAATATATAAGAATTATAAATATACTTTTCAGGAACAGCAAAGCCATAATTAGCCATTAATTCAGAAGCATCCTCAGGTAGTGTAGATTCAAGTTTGTTCAAATTATGACCACAGGGGTAGGGCGGGGCCACAATAGAAAATCAAACTTTTACATAGAGATATATAGGAAAAATATTTAAAAATCCTCTAAGTCATGATTAGTGAAAGAAATACGGAAGCATTCTCAGTTAGTGTTGAATCAAGTTTATTCAAATCATGCCCCCCTTTCTGGGGGGAAGGTTGGGACCACTTATATACTTCAACTTTTCAATACAGTGAGTTCTGCTTTTTGTTCGCCAAAGTGCTCCAGTTAAAAGTTAAAGAAAGGAAGAGATATTTTTTTTCTTACATTCTATACTTTTCTTATTTTTTACATTTTCAAATGCATATTGTATTGAAAACAATGATAAAAAGAATTTCCTTATCACATGTATATTCAGGATCGTATTATGATTTACAGAGAGGGAGAATTCTTGAATACAGGTGTCCTAAACAGGAACATAATTGGGAAACTATGAATCAGGTACAAGTATGAAGTATTGAACAGAATCATAAAGAGGAATCTGGTATAATTGAACAGATTAAGAATGAGGAATGCGTAAGTCAGGTTTTATGAAACAAAATGCTTGGTGTGGGTTTGAATTTGCTCAATTGTTCATGTATTCATTCTAAAGCCAAAATTTTGAGGAAAGCTAACTGGAAGCATGAATCGTAGATTTGTAAAGTAAAGACTTTGTTAGGCTACATTTTGATGAAAGCTAACTGGAAGCATGAATCGTAGATTTGTAAAGTAAAGACTTTGTTAGGCTACATGTATTTGTTAACAACCACCCCGTCTCTGATATGCATCCCCGGGCTTGTTTAAATTTTGAATTTTTTAAACATACTTAAACGTATTCAAGTATATGCCAACGGAAAATACAACAAAAATCACATGGCAATAGTTTTAGCTCCCACCCTAGCTCCCACCCTAAAATAAATTAATAAATGAAATACAAATTTCTTTGATATATGTACATGTAGCTCCAATAAAACAAGGAAAAATATTACACTGATATAGTCATGATCGTTACTTTATAGTGGTTGGAAGAGGAACTGAACTCTGAGGAAGCGATGGACATCTACCTACATTGTTACAGAATAAGAGGCAAAAAATATTTGTCCTCAAGGTAAAGAAATGTCTATATATGATCCAGTAATATGTTGCATTTTATGGAAATGTTATTATTCGTACCGCGTATTTTGGCTTATCAAATTTTTTATTGTTGATTTATATAAAGAGTGGGGTAGACATTTTTAAAAAAAATGTTTGCTTTAAGATACATTTTTGAATGGATGGTATTGAATGGATCACAATAAAATATGCCATTAAAAGATAATTTATGAGAAATAAGTCGTCAAAATGCCTAATAGATCGTCTATCTCGGAAAAGGGGGGGGGGGGGGTCCTGTCTTTAAGTACTTGTGCCTTTCATAATATATGTCGTACATTTCTGGATTTAAAAAGAAATTCCAGGATAGTTAAATAAATTGTATTCAATTAAAAAAAATAAGCATTTCCCATTTTTACCGAACATATACAATTAAGATAAAATTAATGAAATTGTAAATTTTTCAAGTCTTTTCCTGTGAAAAGTCAAACCATATAGAAACTGAAATTGAAGGACACAATTCACTTCACAATATATAAATAGGGTAAATATTCTTACTCTATCAGTACCATTATAGTTGAAACGTATTTTTGATTTTATACCAAAGGCATTTTTATCGATGGACACCATTAGCGGTTCCTTGGTCCAGACCTAATGTTCCCATACAGCCCGGTCTATTTAAGGGTACGTACAGCGCCCACGGGATAGAGATACTGAGTCTGGACTACAATGAAGACATGACAGAAGCCACTGCTACCAAAATTACTGTAAGTATAAATAGAAGAAGAACACCGTTATCCTGCATTATTGTGTCAAAATTGATGTTTCTCTTTTGTTTTATGTTGGATTGTTTCTTTTTTGATTCGCTTGTTCTTAGTATCAATGGTTTGGTTTTGTTTGTTTTGTTTTATTTTTTTTGCTTGTATATATTTTCTTCTTTAGTTTTACATATGCCGTTCTTTTGTATCTGAATTTAAAAATTTGGTGTATTATATCAGACATGAATTTAAGAAATGCAATACAATAGAGATATTTCTTAAGATGATTTGCCTACACTTTCATTTATGTTCTTGTCTTTTAAAACTACAGGGCGATCCGAATATACCAGCAACCAAAGTAAGTGTGAAGGCAGAATTAACATCGACTCTTGTGTTGACAGCGAGTCAGCAAGAAACTCTGTCAGCGCTCCTGGAGGCTTCTGAACCGAACACCCAACACCCTCTACCAGAGACTCAGCCATTTAAATTACCCGTGGACTGCTATGATCGCGATATTCCAAATATACCGAAAACGTGTACTTTCAGGTAGGGAAAAATGAGAAACAATGAAAGCCTATATACGTATTAGTATGCAGTTTAAAAAAATATATTCACGTTCTAACTATCTCACAATTACGAAAGCCTATTAGGATCAAACTACGGTAAAAAAAAAATTCAAAGGCGTTATAACGCCTTTTCAAAAGGAGTTATAACACGAAAAAAGGCGTTATAACGCGGAAAAAGGCGTAATACCACAAATAAAGGCGTAATTACGCCTTTCCAAAAGGCGTTATAACGCGAAAAAAGGCGTAATTACGCCTTTCTAAAGTGCATTATTACGCCTTTCCAAAAGGCGTTATTACGCCTTTTAAAAAGGCGTTATATTACGCCTTTCGAAAAGGCGTTATATTACGCCTTTCGAAAAGGCGTTATTACGCCTTTTAAAAAGGCGTTATTACGTCTTTCTAAAAGGCATTAATACACCTTTCAAAAAGGCGTTATTATGCCTTTTGAGGGCCATTATTATGTCTTTGACAGGCCCGTGCTTTTGAAGTGGGGGGGGGGGGGGCAACCTTCCATAAAATTGACAAGCAAACAAAAAACAAGAAACGAGCCCCCCCCCCCCCCCAAATAAACTGCCTAAACTTGAGGGGAATCTTTTTCTAACTTTTCGGTAAAACATTTTTTAAATGCAATGACTTGCCCGAGTTTAACCATACTGCAACAAAATGTTAAGGGACCAAGCAATCAATAAAGGATTTTTTATATTTAAACTATAGCAAGACTATTCTCCCAAAAAGTGGGGTGGGGGAGCCCCCCCCCCTCCCCACTCGCATTCGTACTACCGGCCTGTTTGAAAAGGAGTTATATCCAAAAATGGAAAGGCGTTATTTTAAAATAATAAATATATGAAAGATTGAACCAAAGTCATCTTTTTTTATGCAATATTTAGATTATAGTTTTAGTATTATAAATTATATTACGAATTATAGTATTTTCTATATTCCTGCACATCTCGCAGACAGCTGTTTTCATTTTGCATGCATATTAAGAGAAGTTAACACTCTACTTTTGAAAATCCAGGATATAGGCAGAGCCAGCTTTGGGCTTTGCTAGCCACGTATTAAAAATTCATGTCAAGTTTGAAATATTTTTCTCTCCTCTTGGAAAAAAAGAGGCAAACTATTTGCATAGGTATAATGAGCAATTAACCTTCAACCAAATTTCTGAAATCCATGCACCTTGGTAGAGGCGTCTGGCATCAGAGAAGGACTAAGTTGGTTTAACACTGAAAATATTTTACACATTTAAAAATCTTTTTTCCTCTAAATCTAATTATAATCAGCCCCTAGGGTGGGCTAAGTAAGTCATGTATTGAAAAAATAGAGGCGTAATAACGCCTAGCTTTTGGAAAGGCGTAGTAATGCATTTTTCGCGTTATAATTAAGAAATAAGGTATCATTTTTAAACATCTATCGGGATATAAATACGGGTTGGTCACGAGATCAAATTCCATAAAAGCCCGAAGGGCTTTATGGTAAATTTGATCTCGTACCAACCCGTATTTATATCCGATAGGTGTTTAAAAATGATACATTATTACTTATATTTACATTTATGACTTATTCATATTTTATATTTTCCTGATTATAATCTTTAACGCGTGAAATGTTTCATTTTTCAAACTCAACGGCACGTATTTGATCCATTGTTTGCGCGTCGACCCTTTATGACGTCACTGAGAATTTACGTCGAACGTTTGTGACGCGAGGAATCTTTTACAGATATAGATACGCGTTGCTTTCAATAGTGTTATATAAGGGAAAACATTTGCAAATGTAAATATCTCCTTTTGGAAAGGCGTAATTACGCCTTTATTTGCGTTATTACGCCTTTTTCCGCGTTATAACGCCTTTTCAAAAGGCGTTATTATGCCTTTTTTCACGTTATAACGCCTTTTGAAAAGGCGTTATTATGCCTTTTTTTCGCGTTATAACGCTTTTTGAAAAGGCGTTATAACGACTTTTAAATTTTTTTTTTTACCGTAGTTTGATCCTAATAGGCTTTCGTACACAATTACGAGAAAATTATCTCGAAATTATAAGAAAAGATCTTTTCTCAAGCCTCTCTCGTACGAGACAATTTTCTCTAATTACAAAATTTTCGAGATATATTTATTTTCGTAATCACGAGATAATTTACATGTAATTACGAGATAGCGGCACGTGATTTTTTTTTTATACTAATAGACTAAGGCACTGTAATATACTCCTATTATTGTAAATATTGCATTATTGCATTCTTGTCCATGTAGATTTAACACTACATTACATTGTGATGAATGCCGTTTCTTATTCTTACTTTCAGATTTTCAAATAGGTGTACAAAATCTGCTTATATCCAAATTTTTTCCTCAACGGCCCAATCTACTATCCCGGTCTGTTGACATCTTGTAGCTTTTGTTCGGCATATTATGACTATTACATGGGTGAACATTGCATGGACAAAAACATGCAAGGCGATGAAATGGGGGGGGGGGGGGGTGCTCAGATGCTCTATCTTGTACTTAAAAAATAAAAAAAAATGCATGGGCATTAGCCACAGGCTTTGTGTCCATTATATTATATAGAAATAAAGGCACAAAACCCGTGGCTTGCGACGATGAAATAGATGTTGCTGATAAGTATTTAATACCAGAGAGGTGGCGTTTTCACTCGGTAAATAAAGAAAAAAAATATAGTGACAAAAGCAGAGAAATAGCTTATTGAATTAGAGTACATGGCCGTAGGACCCCCCCCCCTAATTTTTCCCTTGGCGATTTAAACATAGGCATAGTCGTAAGAAACGAGGGGGTCGTGCCCCTCTCCCCAATAATTTTGCCGATATATAAAATAATATAGAAAACATAGCTACTATATGCTTCTGCCTCCTCAATAATAACATCTGATGACATTTTCTTTCTCTTTTTTTTTCTTTTTTTTTTGTTTGTCAAGGAATTTTGGTACTTGATAATGCCCCCCCCCCCAACTGAAAATGTACGGTTGTGCTCCCTCAAAGTGAAATTACTTGTACTTTCTACGGGCCTAATAGGTGCCTGTAGGCAGTGTTCACTTGTGCTTATTGCTGAATACATCAATGTAACCAATGTTTCATTATTTCAGATGCAACGCTTTGGGACAGATTGCCGCCGATGGATACGTTAATCCTTCGTTCTCCAAAGCCCAATTTGTAGTGTTTGACGAGAACACCTTTGGAATGATTTGGCTGGAACTTCTATCTTTCAGTATATATGCAAGAGTAAAGTACGAAGACATCAATGATTGAATTATGATTTATTTAAAAATAATAAAATATTTATAGTTGATATATGAAGTAAATAGATCACCTTAAACAGTCATTAAGGTCAAGCTCAATACGTAATATATATATAAAATATATACATTGTATACATTTAATATTTTGGGTAACGTTTTGATTTTCCTTGGTAAGAAGTGAGGGTATGCTCTGTAATGGAGATTCTGTTTAATCAAAACCGAAGGTCAAGTTTAAATTACAAAGTTCAAGAATTATGTGATGAGATTACATATGCATCACAGGCACTTGTTTCTGTAATAAATTTTTTAACCCATAGTATTATTATACTATGGGTTAAAAAATTTATTACAGAAACAAGTGCCTGTGATATGCATTGGCACTTGCATGCTGCTGTTATTACTGTATTTATTAATGATGTATATGAATTAAATTTTATATAATTCATCTGTTTGATTATTTTTACACTGTTCAAAGCTTTATACAGTGAATAGATATGCGGCCACTTTATAAAACTTTGATGGCATACATGAGCAACAAAATGTAAATGTTTATTGCAAATATTGTCATCAGCACAAAATATTGCGCCCATATCATCAGCCGTGGCATATGTATATAACTATATATATAGAGAGAGAGAGAAAGAAAAGTAAGAGAGACCATTTGGCCTGTAAGGAAAACTGACAGTTACAGTACACGTTTGTACACAGGTTTATTTTTCGTATGGAAGCAAGCAACTTACCGATTCCGAAGCCCGTAATTAAAAGTTAAAAATTACATTTACCATTCTTTGTCCTTTATAATTGCTTAAGTGACGTCAAAATAAACTGATGTCTTCTTTATACCATTCACTGTGTTGTAAGCAGTAATATTAGGCACCTTTTTGCCTCAAAATGATCATTAAAATAGTTGTGACCATGACCTTTCTGCAATTGGTTCGAAGTCTGTGTCTTCCCAATACAATTTTCCATCCAGATAGTAAATATGAGGACTTGAAATATATAAAATGTACAAATCTTTCCATTGCAATATATTTATAGCCATCATAATTATCAAAAAATGGTGACCTAAACCACCCCCCCCCCCCCAAAAAAAAAATTATGGGTGTCTCAACACCATTTTCCCTCCATCTAGTAAATATGAACTATGACGGAAATAAATGGTCAATTTGTTGCATCTCACAAATGTGAAATACCAGGTAATCCTCCTGCTTGTTGAAAGATCCTTTCAAGAGTCACCCTTCATCACAAACATGATGAGAGATGAAAAGATATACAAATGGAAGGCAGATGAACATGGTGATTACTATAAAGCACTTACATTTATCTTCCCTTTTTACAAGCTTGAAACAACGGGTGTTGCATCGTATGACACATACTGCTGTGTATGAAACTTAATTCTTTCTATTCCGTTCATTGAAATCTGCTATCAATTGAGGTGACATACAAATATGATGTTTCATTAATTTCTGTTGGAAAAATTAGTGTTCAACAAAAAATACTGAAACCTCAGTACTGCTAGTATGCTGTAAATACTGACATGTAAAGTTGCTTCTTAAAAATATGTTTGTATCCATAAATGCTGTAAAAAGAACCGTGTTTGGCATTCTACATCCATTATTTTAAAGCAATGAAGGGATAACATTTTAGTGCTTTTAAAGAGGCTTGGGTTGCCATGATAAAGGATGACTGCACTTAAGGACATACGAAATTTGCGACAAAATAAACTTTCAAAACATGAATTTTTCTTTTCATTGCAAGAATGGTCAACATCCAATCTACAACTTTATGTAATTACGTTTAATAAAAGTGTGTATTTACGAAGTTCGAATCTGTTTTCAAAGGCAGGGGTCATCACAATTTCTTGAATCTCCGTTCGATAATGAGGACGCCCACTTTTTTACTGACTTTATACATAGTCAGCGCATGTTTGTCTATTGTTCTACGCTTAACAGTAGTTGCATATTTGCATAAATAATAATGTGTCAAAAGGAGATTAATAGACAAACATGCGCTCATGGTTAAAAAGAGAAAAAAACTGCTTCTTCTTACATTCGCTCTCTGTGTTGTAACCAAGGATTGTGACTTGTTGAATATTATAATTCACCACGTGATTTCTTACCTCAGGTAACTTTGTGAATACTAAATTCCGTCACGTGACTTGTAAGGTAGCATGTTTGTGCTAACTAGGACATTGTGTTCGAACACATTAAGTCATCTGGCATTGGTATATAATCTGCTTTAATTCGTTGACATGCTCATATTGTTAATTTTGTTTTGAAGCTTTTGTCAGAAGTGTATTTGTGCCATACAGAATGGAGAGGGAGATTGGAAAGAGTGATCACGTTCTTTTTTCCAAACATGTCATTGTTATTTATCAAGTCTAATTTTAGACCCATTCTTACAATGTTAGCTCCACCTCTCATGCATATCTAATGTTCAATCAAGGGCAGGTAAGTGTAAAGTCACTATATTTGGAAAGCAGTAAGGACAAAAACATTGAATCATTTTATTGTATCACAGTCTACAATCATTTTAAGATTTAAATTTGGTTCCAAATTGACAGGATTCTTTCATAAACATACAAAAGTGAAATAAAGTTTAGATATAAAAGCAACAGAAGCAACCGAAAAAGACCCAAAAATAGGCGTTAAGTGCAGTCATCCTTTACTATACATGTAACAACTATGACATAATGTATTTTGTTTAATTTTCTTCAACATCAACAATATAAACAGTATAAATAGTAAAATAATTCTACAGTGTTTCCACTGTTTTAAATATGGGTAACCAAATAACAATTGTTGCATCTTGCAACTACATGTACATTAACTTGCACAACACTTCATACATAATCATTTTGCATAAAAATAAGATGGCTAGGGCATGAATACCAAATAGCAAACGTTTTTTCTTAGATTGCACAAATGTCCCATTCCATCATGTGACCAGAAATTTATAGACCAAGTTTGGAAGCTGGCTTTCCACTAATCAATTCCTTTCTTCCTTCATCATTCTAACAAATTTTATATAAGAAATTGTAAAGCCTCCATCACATTTTGATTCCTGATTAACTGGCCATGTTCTTTGTGATAAGCTCCCATCACATTTTGAATTCTGACCTAGTCAGCCATTTCCTCATGATGAGCCCACATAAAATTGTGATTTCTGACTAAGCCCCCATCACATTGCAATTTCTGACATGGCCCACATCACACTGATTTCTTACTTGGCCCCCAACACATTGTGATTTTAGATCTGGTCTCCCTCACACTGTAATTTCGGACTTGGCCCCCATCACATTGTGATTTCGGACTTGGCCCCCATCACATTGTGATTTCAGACTTGGCCCCCATCACATTGTAATTTCAGACTTGGCCTCCACACATTTACAGCTACAACCCGTGGGACACTCTTTGTTCTCCTTGAACCAGTCTATCATATGTGTGGTATGACCACCATGTCCACACCGCAGACAGAATATAGAGTTTCCTGGAGGAAAAGAAAAGGTATATACATGTATATTAAGCTTGCTTACTATATGTCCATGAGTATAGATGATTTTTAAAGGACTTAGCCCCAAACTGAAGCCTGCAACCTGAAGACCTAAATTCAATGCTGGTAAAGGACTAACTGTTGATCAGATTATATTTAAGCTAAAAGTTTGTCTCCAGGATGTACATGTACATGTGTTTAAAAGATTTTTGAAGATTGCATGAATTTTAATGGTTGTGGTTCTGGTGAAGCTGCTAAAACTATAAAACATTTAAAAGACAGACAGAAGCCAGACATTCTGTGATAATGAAAGCTAACCCGAGCCAAATATTGTATGATATAGAAACCATCTAAATGCCATTTCTGGACTCTAGATCTCTCAAACTTATGATTTTTCTCTGCTTTCATGACCTTTTGAATTTTTCAAGTCATCTACAATAACTTCCCATCCTTCAAAAGGCATAAAGGCATGCATATTTGAGGAATACACCGTATCAATTTTACACTGCTCATAGATCCAATATTCAACATATGATTATAAAAATCCAACACTGGGGCCCTAAACCTAAACACATTTATAAGGACATAAATTTGCTATTTTAACAGACAGCTTTAACAGTTGCATATCACTTTACCTGCTAGATGTTCAGGAATAAAGATAACCCATCATTAAGATCACTGATTACCTTTGACACCAATGTGACAGATGGAGCAGTTGAATGCCAGACTCTTACACGACCCACATTTGGCTCCACGACCTTCCTGACGGCAGTGATAGCATCGAACACCAAACTCTAATCAGGGAGAGAAAAAAAAATGGACATTGAGTAGTTATACTGCAAAGTTTTAGCATTTTGCTGCACATACTGTAAAAGACTTTTAAATTGTATTTTAGATGTACCTGCCATGTTGGATACTGTAGTGCATGTATAACGTGCATACAAACCATACCTATGCCAGTATGAGGTTCTGGTAAATGTGTCAAGAATTTCAACACAAGTTTAGCGTTGTTTGTAAATCCCCAATGATACAGAATATCTGCATAAGACTTCAGGAAGACATCATACTGATTCTGTGCATTTGGATCAAGCAGCCTGAAATTGTCCAACTTCAAATTACTTTCACGTTACATATACATGTACTTCAATCTGACTATGTATCAAAAACACTTAATCTTTCGAAGAAATGGTTGTTTCAAATTGAGTCTTGGCCTTTATTTCCAGATAGAAAATTTGTATTATTTCACTTAGTGTAAAGTTCAGTGCATGTTTTAATACTGATTAATTTCTGAACATGTCCACAAATAAGTAGAAAGCAAAAAAGAATCGGATACACAACACGGGTGGTCTTCTCTGAGCGAGCACTGAATTAACTATGATGGGTAGTGGCGGGAAAACTTTTATTGTTTCTATGAATTAGTGGTCATTATCTGTGCATGTGCTGGATACTGCATATTTAGCTCTGAATGTATCATGAGGACTTGGATAATCCCAATTATCCTACAGGTAAGTACCTTACTCTTGTCTAATTGTAAAATATACTGGAGGCCTGATAGACAATTTCAATACTAGTATTTAAGAGAATAGTATTGGTCTAAAGCATGTTGAGTGATTGCTGTCCAAACAGAAAATTGAGAACTACTCACCTACAGTTGCTTTCATGGAGTTTTGCCAGTCGCTCATTTTCCTTCTCTTTGATTCCATCCTCATCCTCAATTTTGTAGTCCTCAAATGAGTCCTCGAGGCAGGACAGGCTGTTAGATCGACGGATCTTTAGAACACCTACTGCAAACATTTCTCATGTCATTGTTCAACAAGGAAATTTTACTCCCAAATTTGCAAAGCTATCAAGACGAGCAAAATGCTCTCGCATCCAAAATTGTTTTAAAAATTATAAATTTAAATTCCATTGTTTAAATACATGCATATTTAACTGTGGCTACATTTCCATGAAGATTTACTGTCAAACCAGAGGTGAAAAAGCTTTAAGTACTTTGATTTACTTATTATTAGTTTGAAAACACAGTCACCAAAGGTGAATTATTAATAAACTGAAACTACAAAACAAAAATTCCCCACAGAGAATGTGGAATTTTAAGATATACTGCTACAAAAAAAAAGTTTAGAAAAAGTGAAGACCTAAAAACACCCCTCTGCAATATAAAATCATGCAAATTCATATCTGAACTTAATCTTGCATTTTCCCTTACATGAATCCTTAAATCTACCTAAATCTGCAAATTAAATCCTATTTAAATCATCTGATGTATGTAGGCATGAAGTAATGAAAAATTAACCTGCTTAATTTAGAAATGATAGGGATGGACCTCTTAAGGATATTATACCTGTCATGGCAACTAGGTCGGGGTGTGACGACACTTCTGACAAGTGATGTTGCGAGGGTCGAGATTGAACGGTAGTGGTGGGTGGGGGTCGTGATGACTGACCTTGTAAGTGACCGGTGAGTGCTAGAAATGAGCAGCATTAGTCAGGTGATGAAAGCATGACTTCAGACAGCAAACCTCAACAACTTTATCTCAATTTCTAAGCTCTTTTTATAGGTACATTGACATTACTCTTTAAGAGATTTCATATATGTTTTTTTAATTATTTTGAATTTCAAATCAAAACATCCAATACTGCAAGCCACAAATTATGATCTGCTCTCAAATCTTAAAACTTCACAGCTGCAGGAATGGATCAAAAGTTGTGGCTTGAAACAATGTAAAAATCATTTAAAATAAAAATGTATGTTAAACTATTCTTCAATATCTTTTTTTTAAAAAAAGGTTTTATTTCAATAATTTTATTCTGAATATTCTAATGATTTTCTAACATTTTTTTATGCTGGTTTATGTTTTTCAAATTAAAAATGAATGCAAATTTCCGAATACATAAAATACACTAAAGTTATTGAGATTTGTCTGATTAAATAAAAAAATTTGAGAAACAAACAAAGTGATGATTAATACAAAATATAATGGTTGTACAGCTTTATGAACAATATTTACTTTACAAGAAAAGCACTGCATTATACAGTATATAATATTTTCTTGAATAAGTTGTGTACATATATAGATTTGTATATACAAGAAGAATAAAATGACTGGCATCACATATATGGCCTCAATTCATGCCATGCTGCACTTGACATAAATCTTTTTTATTTAAGATTAGCATAGTGTTGAATGCAACAAACATTATAATGAACTTGAAAGCTACATGAATTAGAATGATAAAAAAATAAACAATGTGAATATACAGTAATATGCTTGTATGACCAGAGAATTGTGAATTTTTCTTCATTTCATGAAGATGATACACTCTCTGCTCTACTAAATTATTTCAGAATACATTTCTGCCATTAAAAAAAACCCTCATCATCAAGAGTTATCAACATCTTTATTTTTAGTTCAAGAATTTCTTTTGGGGTCAAATTTAAATTCAAAAGGTCTCTAAATTAAAGGGCAACTACATGTATTTCAAAGTAGCGCTGACAAGTATTTAATGCTCATGAAATTTTTTAGAATCATTCTGTAAAAAGACTTCCTTAATTACGTCTCATGCAACAGATTCTTACTGATGCACGAATTTTTCAATCCTTTGCGAAATCATTTCATTTACATTTAAACAATCCCACATAAACATATATACATGTATTCAAGGAATTAATTTAAGACCATAATAGAAGAAAATTAGTTAATTGCAATAGAAAAAAAGCAAAACAACCGAAATGTCAAACAAAGGAAAAATTGCATTTCAACACACCCACACATAGCTAGTCCAAAATGCCTCTACGTGGAATGTAAATAAGAATCCATATAAGAAAAAGGAGAGAACTTTATTCATGGTGTTGTCACAAAAATGAAAGCAGCAGAGCATGACCAGGTGGTAGTTAATTAATCACTCTAATTAATCTGTTAAAGATAGACATTGAAGACATCATTTGATCAATCTGACTCTCTGCTACCTAACCCCACCCCCACCCCCTCCCCCAAAGACCAAAGTTTTTTTTAAATCTGTTAATTTTGACCTTTCTAAATGCTTTAACATTAAAGTTGTAACAAATGTCAACAAGCATAAAAGTCAAAACGGTACTTTAAAATTATAGTTTTATCAAATTTCCACAAATACAAAGTAACTGAACATGCACTTTTCTCTTTAAAAGATAATGAATTTATAATACATGTACTTGCCATTAATGCATGGTTTATGTAAGCACATTAGCATTTTAAGTTAAAATTTGGCTCCCTTAAAGCAGATATGGCATTAGAAGCAGAATTGTTTTATTTTGCATGATGAGAGAGTCAGATGCATCTAATGTTCAGACAACACACTTTCCTGACTTACTCTTGAAGCTCTTCAATAGATTAGACCCGGAGGTTACCGTATGATACGGACTATACTGTCGATAAAAATAAACCAAATATTTGATCAAAAATTTTCATGCTAAAATTTTTTTTCCCCATTTCTTTTTAATGTTTCAATCTCCATGTGTCCACTCTTGTAGGTTTCTGCTAAAATGATCTAAAAGACAAAAATATTAATATTTGCAAAATTCCTGATTCCTGGGTTTATCATCAATCAAAATTAATTGTTTTTTCCCCCGATTCTACACCTGTAAAATAAAAAAATATCTATTGCAAGCAATGAGGCTAGAGGAAATGCAGATGTAATGAAGTGAGTTGGTTTGAAAAAAAGCTATTTTCTATGTGCTGTTTCTTATTAAATATTCTATATAAATCTTCATCACACAATGCTGTGGTTAAAACAAGAAATTTTTTTTTTTGATTTGTGTGAGAGTAAGGTCACAGGAAATAGAAGAAAGCCAGTACTAAGTCAGAAAACATTTTGTATTAGGAAGTCAGTAACATATATTTCACACTCAAAATATCCAGTAGTCACTTCTAAAAAGTGATCATGCCATATCACTGCTTTTAAAAATCTAAACAGTTTTCTGTATTTAATAAAGGAAGAAAATTGTTTTTGGAAAATAAACTACGATTTAAAAATATAAGCACTTGAAAAAAAAATTAACGATTCCTATTTTTAACTGAGTTTCATTTCAGCTAATCTACTGATATTCTGTTATATTTCATAACAGCTCTTAATTTAATCTAAATTCATTTATCTTGATCTATTGTTACTTCTTAGTTTTGTTACTGACTGTCTCTAAAGAAATATATCGGGTTGATCAATCTCATAGATGGCGAGGTCTAAATAATAATATTCTACTACATCTAACAAAATGTGCAAAAATGGTCAGTGGCGAGGTACAGGAGCTATCAATCAAAGAGCCAAGACAGGTATCAGAAAACTTCACATGGTGTACATGGCACAGTGGACAAGACAGTGATTATCAGTATCACCCCAGTATCTCTCTCCATTACAATTCAGTCATCAAGGATGAAGAGTTAATGGACAGAGATCAGTCATGATACAAGACAATGGACAGAGACGTACTAATGACACAGACTGAAAATGGAAAAGGTACTATTAGTAATCTACCTCTACATTAGACCTTCTTCCAATACTACTCTAGTGTTTTTTTATTAGTTTTTTTTTACCCCAGCTATTTGGTTTGTGCAGTTAAACATATCATAATTTTAGTTAGTTTGTGGTATTACTTATATTTTTTTTGCAGATGTTGTTAAAAAGAAAGCAAACCACAAAGAATACGAAGATATTAGTAGAGAACTTTGTAAATTGTGTTAGATAATTAACTCTTTCCATGTGGCAAGTAAATAATTGTGAAAATGTAACACTTCTGTACAAGTACATGTATCTTAATAATGACAAAAAAAAAATCTTCACATTTAAACGACTTTTACAAAATTCAACAGCATCTAATACAACAGGTTTATATACTAAAATCCAACCATTACAATTGTTTTCCACCCTCTTTGACAGAACACATGGCATTCCAGGAACTACAAGTTACATGTCATTAAATACACCGTCAACAGCTGAAACAAACAATGTCAGGTGAAATGATTTTCTGAGACAAACTTCAAAATGAAGGCCCAAATGCAGTTTTGTTTTTCCTGGAAACCCATCATTTTGGATCATTTTCCTAAAATCACTTCCCAGTTAAGAGAAAACTTTGTTTTCAATCAAGTTTCTCTTCAACTGTGTTTTAATGTTTAAGAGAAAACTTTGTTTTCAATCAAGTTTCTCTTCAACTTGTGTTTTAATGTTTAAGAGAAAACTTTGTTTTCAATCAAGTTTCTCTTCAACTGTGTTTTAACGTTTTCACCTGACATAAGGAAGATTATAGGAGACACTTACGCCAACCACTATCTGTAGAACTGCTTAAGAAATCAGGGTTGTCCATCTAAGACAAGAAATGAATAATAATCACACATCCCAGTCATGATGGGGACCTACTCTCAAATAAGGACTCTACATTACTGGTATTTTGTGAAATGTGAAACATACATGTACAATGCTTGTGTTACAATAAAGTATTACAGATTTATAAAGTGAAAATGCAGCTGCAATGTAAAAGTCAATATTTATAAGAATCTCATGTACAATTAAGAATTTCATAAAATGCACTTTCAAGAAATCCATTAAAAACAAATATATATCATACAATTGCATACTAGTATATCCTATTATAATTCCATACTGAAATCATTTAAGGTACCCGACCCATAACAGCCTCAGATTCAGTGAATCTGAATGTATAACAGGTATATATTGGCTGAATACTCAGTATATGCAGACATAATCTTTCCACCACAGCATTTTTTTATATTCTTAGTATTTAAATTTTTATTTTCAAAAATTTGCTTGTCCCCATAGACATCAATGCATATCTTCATTAATTAATTACTGCTTAGGTAATTTTAATTTTTGAAAATTTCTCTTGGTAAATCCATTACTACTCTAAAATGCTTTGAATTAATATCAGAGTATTTAATACAGGATGGATATTTAAGGTTAGAAAATTAAGCCCTAATATGGGTCGGATACCTTAAATCAACAACAATCAGAAAATGTCCCCATTTTAAGAATTTGATAAATTTTAAACCTTTAATAAAACAAGATTAAAATCTTGCCTGCTCATTTGTTTAGAGGTTTTAACTTACATTATGTGGAACATAATCCATTGATGTGGACTGGGGTAGGGCTTTCTCCTTCTTGGGGGGTTGCACAATGGCATCTTCTCTGTTCCAAAAAACACACACCAGCATGGCTAGTGTTTGTACATCATGGATTTTCATGTAGTAGTCAAATCTGTAACATTGGTATCCTGTGACATTTTTTTTAACACATTACAGTTTAAAATGACATCTGCTGTATTACTTCTGTAAAATAGCAGTGACAAAGACAAAATCCTCTCTTCTCCTACTACCAGCAGAAATGATAAATTAGCCGAGAAAAAAAACAATGAAGAATGCATTAGCCATTTGATCTGATTCTGGAGAGTATTTTCTCATAGTTTAAGAGATTTTTGTCCACATACAGATATTTGATCATCTCTTTCCCAAATGGATGTTGTGCCCATGGAGGTCCATCATCTGGATCATCACTAGGTTTGAGTTTTTGGCTCGCTGATATTCCAACCATTGACCATAACTATCAATACAGACACATATTTCAGAACATTTCAAAACTGCTTTAATACAAATCATCCTCATTGCTAAATCAACAAGCATTCTGAGAGTATTGCATTAGCAATACTAGTCCCCTACCGGCAAGTGTAATCTGGTTCCCGTTAAGAATTGAAAATGCCACAACTCAGTCAAAAATCAATGACGCGGGACGAAATGTGAACTTGATCTATAACTAATCAAGGTAAAGTCACATACCAAAAATCAGCTCAATATCTGAAAGCGTTTAGAAGAAAATTGTGGAAAACTCCTAAAAAAAATTGAAAAGGCCGTAATTCCGTCAAAAATCAATGAAGCGGAACGAAATGCAAACTTGATCTGTAACTCATCAAGATACACTCACATACCAAAAATTAGCTCAATATCTGCAAGCGTTTAGGAAAAAAGTGTGGAAAACCAAGTGGGACAGACTGACAGACAGACAGACAGATGGACAGACAGACTCAGAGGAAACCTATAGTCCCCTTCGGTTTCACCGGTAGGGGACTAATAAAGTGAGTGCTTTAAAAAAATCAAAGACTTTGAGAAATGATGGTTTCAGTCATATAAATTTTGTTTTCAACTGACTTAAAATCTGAAACTACTCAAAATTTTGAAAAGTGAATCAGGAGAATTAACTTGAAACTACATCCAATTTAAACAATGTCATTTCTCTTCTGCTTTTTACGATACAAAATTCAAACCCATCTGACCTGAACCAAATCCTTGCGACCAACAGCACCAGCAGCAGAGGCATTGTGACTACACATGGCTTGGATGTTAGATCTGTCAATTCTACAAGGAAAAATGTTTGTATAAGTGGAAATTGCAGGGTTTTCACTTGCAACAGAAACTCACAATACCTCTAGTTTTTGTGAATCTAATATTACTAGAAATATGGCCATAGGATATGAATGCCCTGCCCAAGGTACATTTGTATTGCAACATGAAAGCACACTTGAATGTTTCACAAATTTTAATCATTATTTAAAATTTGATGAAAATATCTTGAAGCCTTTTTAAAAACTAATGTTACTGCAACATGAAGGAATAGAGAGGTCAAGGACATAGATATACTCAAGGTAAGAAAATGACACAGTTGATTACTCACACCAATTTGCAGGGACTGACAAATAGATTTTTTAGGCACTTGTCCAAGGACAGGTGTATGGTGAAAATTCACTTGCCCTACCTGAATTTTTGCTTGCCCAACCATAAACAAATATTTTTTTTTATATACTGTATACTTGTATTTAAAAAAAATAGGAAGAAAAAAACTGAGTAGAACATGCAATCCTCTGTGCCCAAGATTAAATCTACGACTTAAATATTTATCTTATTTTTTTTTTTAAGTCACTTGCCCATGGGCAAGTGGTCGTGGTATCAAAATATTATGCTACACCGGGCGTCGGGCAATGAGATTTGTCAGCCCCTGATTTGTATCTTAGCGTATGAAGTTTTGATTAAAAAATCTTCTAAGGTGACTTTCAAGGTCATGTAAAGGTCAAAGCCATAAGAATTTAGGAAGGTCAAGGTCAGAAAATTATGACAGATTTTTATTGCTCTAATCAAAGTGCAACTTTGTATAAAGTTTAATTAAATATCTAGAAAATAAAGGTCATAGGGAAGGTCAAGATCAGGAAATTATGATCCAGTTCAGGGATTTATCAGCCTGTTTTGGGAAACGCCATTTTTGGGGAATTGGGAAAAATTATCGGCTATTTGATGAAATTGGGAAAAATAAAAAATCTAGCTTACATCATGTATTCAGGTGTAATTCATTTAACATTTCAGCATGAACTCTAATTTGGGCAACCAAACAGACAATTAAATGTTATGATCCAACTTCATCATACAAGTTCATTTATGAATAATAGACTAATAAAACTAAATATGATTTCAATGAGTATAAAGCATATACAACTTAGGGTAGTACATGTGTGTAAGAGATTCCAATTTAGGTCATTAGAATCTGTTTCTGGAGATTATATATATATAAATCTTCGGGGGGGGGGGGGGGGGGGGGGACAACTAAGTTCCATTTTAATATGTAAAAATGCATTGAAAATATATTTTCCTATATCTGAAATAATGCCTACAGTTCTTACCATTGACTCATAGATCAATGGAGTAGGTGGAAATAACTTAATAAATCCCTATTATCACACAATATCACCATTTTCAGAAAAACAGAGGAAATTCGGATTAAAAGTTGGCGATGTTTTACAGTGTTTTTAAAATGTGTTATGACTGTAACTTTGCTAATTGAGTTAAACAGAGGAAAATTACAGACAATCTGACAATTTTACTTAGTGTTTTTCCAAGTTAATTAAATATAAAAGCCTTGTTCACCAATTGGGAAAAAATATTGCCAAATTGGGAAAAATTGAACTTATTTTCAATTGGGAATGGGGCCGAATTTCGGCCCCTGAGAAGGTACTGATAAATCCCTGCAGTTGAATAGTTCCATCAATATGAATCATTGTGTAAATTTTGATGAAAATATAATGAACAATTTCTTCTGAACTGTTCTAAATTCAAAATAATTAATAGTCAAGTCAAGGTCATATGGAAGGTCAAAGAACAGACAATTTTGACAGAGTTGGATAGCTCCCACCAATATGTATCAGTGTATGAGTTTTGATTAAAATACATGTATCTTGAAAAGTTACTTTGAGCTAAACATTAAATATAGAATAGTAAGATAATAGGTCATAGGGAAAGTCAAGGCCAAAAACATAATGGCATGATTTAAAAGCTCTTACTAATATGTATCAGAGTATGAATTTTGGTTAAAATAGCTTGAACAGTTTCTTTAAAACTAAGCTAAATGCAAAGTGTGACAGATGGACGTAAGGACAGAAGGTTGGAAGGACAGAAGACGGACAGGACAAACACTACATGCCTTGGCCACATTCGCGGGGCATAAAAATAGTCAAAAAGTGGCTATGCAACACTTACTATATGACGATTAATGTGCAAAAGTTACTTACATATATTTTTTCCCCAAATCTTTGTGAATTGGTAGCAAACAAGCACTATCAAAAATTTTGACTGGTGCCAGCACAGGTTTTATTTCTGGGACCTCCGCAGGCCGGGATTTCCTTTTTCCCTTTGGTTGATTTGACACCTTTAATATACAATAATAAAATCATGTAATGGAAAGTATGCAATAAGTATGCCTCGTATGCAATTTATTATCCAAAGAATGCATAAAAAATCCATCTCATTAATGAGTATTTTTTTTTTTGTTATCAATGCAAAAAAAAGAGTCAAGTTTGGTTGGCATACCCTAAAATGACAGGAAGCATGTTACTCCTGTCTTTCAAAAGAATTGAATCTCATGAAGGAAAGTTGGTGCATGTATATAGTTTATGTACATACAATTTTCTTTTCAATTCAACTATTGTTTTCTACCCTTTGGTTTGAATCCCTATGTTTTAGAAAACTTGATTTCTTAAATACATGTAAGTTTACTATAATAAATCTTACTGTTGTTCTCAGGTACCATGAAGAGACAGATACATTTTCTGGTGCAGGTGTAGGAGGACTAATAGAAAAGTTGTTAAAGAATTTTTGTGGATTGCGAAACCGACTTTTGGAGGCAAAATCTGTCAAATCACACAGAGACCTACAAGTAACACAAAGACAATGCATTGAAGAAACAAGTCCACATCTATTTTTACCAATCACTGCAGTGCCACATAACAAACACTGTGATTGAAATTGACAACAGGCCCATGGGCCACAGTGCTCACCTGAGTCACCTTGGTCCTGCTGTTTTTCAGAACAGTGGCTCCACCCTACTCCCAAGGGCTTTGGCTTGTACAAACTTGAATCTACACTACCTGAGGATGCTTGCATATAAATATCACTAATCATGACCATGTGTTTATTGGGATGAAGATTTTAAAAGATTTTTTCCAATATATATTCTCATATTATTTCAATCATCTACTGTGGCCCATCCTACCCCTGGTGGCCATGATTTGGAGAAACTTAGTGCTACACAACCTTAGAAAAAGGAAGCTTTTTAAAGATTTTTTTAATATATTCTCATGCAAAACTTTGACACCCTATTGTGGCCCCATCCTCCCCAGGACCATGTGAAAAACCTTGAATCCGAACTATCTGAAGATACATGCACATTTACGACTATCATATCCTATGGCCCTGCTGCTAGTGAGAAAATTTATAAAGATTTTTTCTACTTCTTCCCCTTTAAAACTTTAAATCTAGTAATGCCACTAATCATTGCCCTGCTGTTCTTGAGAAAATTTTTAAAACTTTTTTTTATAGATTCTCATGTAAAACTTTGATCCTTTATTGTTGCCCCACCCAACCCCCTGGGGCTGTGATTTGAACAAACTTGTATCTACACTATCTAAGGATGCTTGTAATAACAACACAAACCATTGCTCTGCTGTTCTTAAGAGGATTTTTAAAAAGTTTTTCCTTCATCAATCTTTTATTTTCCATTGCGCCCCCACCCTACCCCCCAGGGGCCGTGACTTGAACAAACTTGAATCCATGCTATGTCAGGAAGCTTTCACAAAAGTTACATCTTTTCTGGCCTAGTGGTTCTTGACAAGAAAATTTTTAACAATATCTTCCATATTTTTGCACTTCCTTGATTCTTTCTTTTTTCAAGAAGGTTTGGCCCTTCATTTGAAGAAACTTGAATCCCCTTCACCCAAGGATGTTTTGTGCTTTGTTTGATTGAATTTGGTCCAGTTTCTGAATATGAAAAGTTAACGGATGGATGGACAGCTAAGACAGACTGATGGACGAAAGATAAACATTGATCAGAAAAGCTAACTTGTTGCTTTAGCTCACATGAGCCAACAGAAAATGGAAACCTGAGCACAAATAGAAATGTTGTATAGATGCATAAAGTGTTTTGTACTTTTCATCGCTTCTGGTGATTAGATACTATTTACGTAATGTTTACATACTTTGGTGTTACTTCTGCCCAAGATGGTCCTTTCCTAGCTTCATGAGACCGACCAAACACGACTAAGTACCCTATGATTTTAAACAGCCATAAATAGTAGTGTTTCTATTTATTACGTCAGATTAACATAATTTTTAAACACCTTGAATTTTAAATATAGTAATATTAAAGTTGAGGTCTCAGTTATACTACGCTGTTACGTTTATTATTTTATTTATTTATTTATTTATACATAATTTTATTCACAAAAAGTGAATGGGGTTGGGCAGCAGGCAAAGCCTATTTCAGCCCTCTCCCTATCTACCTGCTGCACAGAACTTTGCTCCACTAGTTCTAGGAAATGGAATATTAATGTCCTGCAGTCCCGACGCACTGTGCCAAGATAAGTACTGTGGTTTGTTTGGGGGCCCCACAAGGGTGAAGGGACGGGCAGTCTCTGTTTCAGGAGTCCTTCGTTCCTCTGTTGGTAACTACAAAGAGGTCAAAATATGATAAATATACCTCATAAAATATTCATTCAGTACATCATACCAGCATCTTATTCTTTGCTAGAACATTGTAGGAAATCAAAAGTAACACATTTATCACCTGAAAAGACCTTATCATTATGGCACTTTTTATATAGAGTCTCCCATGGTTTATCATTGGATACATTTTTTTTTTGAACGAGTATACTTACAAACAATTTAAATTCTGTGGCCTCAAATGGTTTTAATATACTATGACCCTATTTTACCTGAATAACTGAGTTAGAATGTGCTTATGCTTCACAGAAAACAAAAATCTAGCACGAATCAAATTAGAAAATCTGTGCCAAATTTATTTTGAAACAAGTTGCTGGTGCCCTATAATTCATTTGTGCCAATACTGTTGTACATGTACTTGCCTTTGCACAAAAATATGTAAAATTTTCATGTTTTACAGTATTTCTTTACATGATATCAAAGTCGCTAATATGCAAAATATATACAGTTGAGTGATATCCTCTGTATAAATAGGAAAGTAATGTGATAAAAATAAATATTTGATCATTTATTGAGTACTAGTTATTCTAAAATGACCTACATTCCAGGGTTGATTAAGAGCTTGAGATAACTGCCTTAAACATGGCTCCAGACAGCTTGTGTTCCTTCTGACATGCATTGATGCTGTATCCAGCAGCACCTATAGTTAAAGAGTGAAAGATTGCTGAAGACAAAGGCCTATCCATTCATCATTTTAAACAAACCGTAAATCCTTAATGTACCTACATGTATTTGTAAAGAAAAAACAAACATAAAAAGATAATGTTTAACATATGCCACTTCTGGTTTCAATATTTTATATCCTGCATAAAATATACCACTCTCTGATTTATTTAATATCCTGCATAAGTCATGATAATAATTTATCAAATCAAACAAATAAATGTCCACCTTGTGTAACTTATGTTTTATGCTTGAGTTCAAGTTGGGATCTAGGAATTCAAACGTAGGTGGCTCAGTGTAGGGGTAGTTTTCAGGGAACAACATCCTAAGACCAACACTGAAGTTCCCAGAAACAGCCAACACACGGCAGCTTCTAGAGGCAGCGTCCATCTGTAAAATACAAAAGCCTGTATTCTATATATGGTTCTACAAATACATGTCTTTTATATGTACTTTTAAGACTTTCCACTTGAAATTACAGTAAGAATGATTCTGACACTATCTATTACAGGTAAACCAGTCACTACTCTTTTCAAAATTTTAAAACAATACCGACGTCATGTATATTGTCAGCATAGTTGCCAACTCACCCGATTTCGTTGGGTTACACCCGATTTTTCTACCCTTAACCCGATTATTTTTTATGACCCAGCGGGTCATGCTTTTCACCCGATTTTCACCAAACAACCCGAAAATCTCCTGATTTCCGGATTTGGTTCGTAAATTAGGTTGCACTTTTAACTTCCAGTTACAACCCAAGCTGGATATATGTAAACAATGCCAATGGCTATGTTCAGTAGGTCGTGTACCAGTTAATTATCAGTGCAGGCGTAAATAATTACCTGAGAGTTGTTTTGACAAATCAAAGTTTGAAGTCAATTTAAAATGGCTTCTGATAGAAAGAGATCGTTATCAGGGCCAGCAGGAACAAATTGAACCAAGAAAATGAGAAACGATATTTATGTACATATCAAGGAATCTTGGAAAAAAAACTTTCATGAGATGAAATAAAGTGTTCTAAGATAGTGTAGGCATAACTGTACATTTAATAGCACTTGTTAATTAAATTAATTCGGGAGAGGAAAAATAACTTCAAAACCCAAAATGAGAATACTTTCAAATTTAGCACAAACTTTCCATGTACTTCAAATCAGCAATGCAGATTCTGAAAAGACTTTCCTTTAAAAAAAAAATTGCACACTTAATTAAGGTCAATACTGAATAATGAAACCTTCAATGCTCTTTTAACATGTAAATTTAATCAATATATTATTAAATATTTTATCACTGTAATTAAAGCCTATTTTTAATAAAATAATTTCAATACACAAATACTTATATATACATATATATTAATTTAATCATGGTACAAAATGTGCCGTGAATGTCGTTACGCACTATGACCAGATTTTTTACTTTCCAAATTTGGTCATGACCAGATTTTTACATGTTGGAGGTTGGCAAGTATGATTGTCAGATCATAGTCTGTACTACAGGTACTTTCATCAATGTACATGTACTGTTTTTACTTGCACACAAATGTATCAGTGTTCATTGGTTAACTTTATAGGTACCTCTTCTACTTGAACATTAGAAATGTTTGTGTTCATCAAATCAAACTCCTGTTGGAGTGTCTGGGGCTGTTGGAATAATACCCCCTCTGGACTCATGGACATTTGTCTCTGTAGGTCCCCATTCCCAAGATCATTTTCTTTAAAGGATTTGTCTTGGACCGAGTCCTGGGATATGCTATCTCTCCCGGTCTGTCCAGACTCATTCTCCGAGGAGTCGTTAATATCTCCCAAGTCATGACCACATCGCTTAAAGAAAAGATTCAGTTTTTATTTAATTCTGTTTTCAACTCAACACCAAAGTTCTGAAATTCTGAAATACAGTTAACAAAATATTTGAAATATCACCTCAATCAAAGAAAAATTTTATTTGTACACACAACGATCGTACCTTCTGAAGATGTGGATCAATGTTCCATATCCGTAAACTCTGATCCTTTGACCACGTCACAAGCTGATGATCCCTCGACCCTTTTATCAAAATTTTAAAATTTGAATATAAAAGCACAAATTATAAAATTGTACACACTTTTATATAACACCTAGTTATTTCTGCAATGCTAAAATAAGTTCTTTTCTTTTTAAATGCTTTGGCTTTTAAATCTACATGTAGACATAGGATTCCATTTATTCTTGAGTTTATTTCATTTCTAGATCACTATATTATGTTGCTCAACAAGCACATACCATTCAAACTTAACTTTTTCTGTCCACAACTTGTTTTGCTATCAACAAACCACCCCTGATGCATTATGATCAATAAATAAAGAATATTTCTACATCATACCTGAAACCGATTCATCTCAAAACCTGAAGAATTTTTATACTTCTTCCATGTACAGTTTCATTGAAATCCAAATTTAAAAAAAAACAGCTTTTCTTACACAATTATCAATCCTAAGTGTTACCTTCCTGTTGCTTCCTCCACTGGAACTCCAGAATAACATCCTGGTGTCCAACAAACTGATAAATTGGATTGTTCCTGGAGGTACTCCATAAGTGTAGAGAGTTATCCCCCCTACGTAATTGCTGTGGCACCACTACCGTCACAATATTTTGCCCAAATGGCTGTTGATAGGTAAAAACAAGAGTTTAATTGAAAATTACAGGTAAGCAAAAGCCAAACGAAAATGTTTATTAGCATTGGCTTTAAAAATCTTGTCAACATACTAGGTGATTCCCCAAAACAAGCAATACTTACATGTATCTCAATTTTACATCACAATGAAATACAAGTATACTCACTGAATGTGATTAAAACTAAGAACATTTATAAGTTGTACGAAATCACTTGTACATAGTTGTAAAGAGACAACATAAATTCTATTAACGGATTTTGAAAGTTAGTACAAAACTTACAGTGTATCGGGCTCGCCACACAGGAGACCCAGGACTTAATGATCCCTTGCATTGCCTTGTGTTTTTAATGTCCCAAAACTGTTGTGAAAAAAATATCAATAAACTGTCTCATAAGAAATGTTTGTAACTGAAAAAGATTATTCACACATATTTAATGTCACTAGAAATCTGTTCAGTACAATTTAGCTTATTATGTGTTTCTCTTTAAAACTATCTAAGGAGTGTAAAAGTTTTTAAAAGTCTTCGAGCCCAGATACATTGTACTTTGATCAGAAATTGCAGTAAAAATATTGAACATGTAGTACATAAAATATCCTCTTATGATATACATCAACATACCAAAATATTATGACCTTAGCTCAAAAATTAAATGAAAACCAGGTATCAAAGTCTCTCTTGTCATAAAAAACTGTCTAATTACTTAATTTACATGTCTCATGTGGCTCAAAGTTTTATAAAAAAATATTTTCTTGTGATGATAAACTCACATGCTAAAATCATTAACTTAGTTTAGAATAAAGTTCTGGTCCAGACAGGGTTGTACTAAGATGAACAAGAATCTGGGTAAAGCAGTACATGAACATCTCCTTTTGAAGTGGAGACATAATACATGTTATTACCTTTACAGTACAATCCTGACTGCATGTGGCTAACTCTGAGTCAGAATTAGGACTCCAATCCAGGCCATGGATTTTAGATAAGTGGGCGGCAATATAGTGTGAGGGCATTGTTTTCCCTTTCTGCTCAAAAATGAAAAAAAAGTCCATTGCATAGATGGTCTCATATGGGTTATCAATAAATGACATAGTTTATAATTTTTTTTTATATAGAAACCAAATGTACCAGTTGATTGATTTAATTCTTGTCCTTGCTAGTAATGATGTATTAAACATGTGCAAACTAAAATACATTAAACAAGATATGCTGGAGAAATGTCTGTATATTAAATTGATACTGTGCAGGCTAGTCCTACCCTAATGTCCCAGATCCGAAGTTCTCCCTCGTGAGTTGTCGCAAACATATTGCTCGTCACTTTATTCCATTTTACCTGATAAGCTCCGGCTAAAATATTCATATTCTATTGTTAAAATTATCTAACATTGATTCACAACAAATGAAGCAAGTTCAGAGGTCACAGTCCCCTTACACTATTTTTAAAATTCTTTTTTAATTGTAAAATATGTCTCAATGACATCCCTGCTGCAGAACATACTTACAGACTGTCTGGAAGGACTGTGAGGGCTTCTTTGGATCCCTAGAAATACAATAATATCAGTATTATACATGTAGTGTTTAATATATCAGGTCTGTTGAACGTCTCTCAGACATTATCAATGATATCCCACCATACATCTGATACCACACAACAAGCAGGCCCCTGGTATCACATACAGATTTTATACCATACAACACACCTGATAGAACAGACATGACAATACACTATTAACCTGATGTAATCACACTTACATAGATTTGATATCACACTACTGACCTGATAATATCACATCTACTAACCTGATATTTATATAGAATTGATATCACACTACTGACCTGATAATATCACAACTACTGACCTGATATCCCACAGATTAATGAATGAGTCAACAGAGCAGGAAGCTACTACATTCACATCAAATGGATTCCAACCCACATCACTACAAAATTGAAAAAAAATCTGAATGCCAAAAAATCTACATTTATTAATATATACTATGTGTGTGGATAATTTTACCACATTGCCAAAAAAAAAAAATTCCTTTCCATTAATGTTATAAGTTCATAAATATTGTGTATCATGTAGTGAAGAAAAATATTTGGAATACAAATGCATAATAAATTTTTAGCAATTTTTGGAATAACTTTATTCATTTAAATGAAAATATTTCTGATTTAATTATAAGCAACATTTATTATTAGCCTCGCCAAGACCATTGATAATTCTGTAGATCACCAAATTTTTGCGAGACCCTATTTTCCCTAGGTAGGCATTTGATACTTGGGACAAAATTTTCAAATATTCTGGTTGCTGCTATATGTAATATATACTGTACTAATAAAAATATACATGAGAACGAAATTTTCATGATCAGATGGTCTAACGTAATTACACAAATATAAAGTTCTCGTGAAAAAAGTGATTTACAGTAATGCCAAAATTAGATGGTCGCTAAAAATTCCCGTTATACTGTATCATATTCATTCTCTGCAAATTTAATATGATTTTGAATTGCAAAATGAAACTTGCAAACCTAAGGGTATGTGGGATTAAAAGGAAATCAATTTACATAAAATGTTGTTTTGTGACTTCAAAATCTCTAGAAACAAAACAATGCATGGATTTTATTACTTGAAAGCAGAATTCAGTTATCATACTTAAATACACCCAAACCTTGCTTTATTGGCACTTTTTTGTGATTTTGCCAGGATGGCTATGACTAATCAAAGCATCTCTTTATAAATGTATGTAATAAATATGTGTTGTGTTGGGATGATCCGCTCCACTCCTCTTTTCAAGAGAAAGGAGGAGTGGATTATCACCCTTTTTTGCTGCTTTTTCCATTTATATAAACCCAATGAGAATATATAGCAAGGAACAAACATATAATTTTTAGATGTCAATGATTTAATATGTTGCCTGATTGGTAACTTCATTGGTTGTCTAGCTTTTGTGGCTTTTGTGGTAAAATCATGAAAAACAATAGCCAACTGATAAAAACTGCCAATAAAAAAAGCGTAAGCATTTGAATGCTTAGATGCAAAAAAAAAAATATTAAGAGTAAGCTTACCTGACAGTTCTGGAATGTCCTTTCATTGAACAAATGTGAGAAATGTTGGAATCTTTCCATGAACACAGATCTAATCTTTGGTTGTACTGTAAGACATCATCAAATCAAGAATTGTGTACCTGATATTGCATATATGTATTGCTATGAATTCAAACTGAGATGGGGAGAGTTCGAGCTCTCATTTATTCATTATGAAGCAAGAAGTATAATCAGAAATCTTAACATGAGAACAGGACATTACAAAAAACAAACATCATTATACTACAAAAAAAACATGATTAGTCAGGGGTTGAAATTTTCCTGGAAAACCCACTAGCCCAGGGGCTACTGATCAGTAAAAAATTACTTGCCCAAACATCAAACTAACTAGCCGACAAATTTTTTAAGCAAAATGAAAGCACAAGTTAAAGTTTCAAATGCTTTGGCGACAGAAACAAATTAAACTAGTTCTCAATCAAAAGCAGTCCTTACCAAAACTATTTTGTGTCATGGGCCTGTAGGACCTGTCAGTCAATGAAAAATACAGGCCCCCGGAGAAATAAGAAGGCCCACCTCAAGTACATGTAATTCAATCATTATCTTCAATTTAAAGTGCTGTTTTATGAAAAGAAATCTGCAGGAGTCTAGCTCCTCTGACTGAGTCCGAAGTCGAGTGACACACTTAATCAGTTGTTGTTTTTTTTTTTTCATTTTTCTTTTTGTATTAAATATTTTAAATGTAAGTGTACATATATTTTTGTATCTGAAATAACTCATATAACACTTCCTCTTTAGTTGATTGAGTAAATGAAAATAATATAATGGCATATCTTCATGTATTTCGTATGAACAGAGGTATGGAGGAAATTCGGATTAAGAAAAAAGACGATCATTTTTAGGAATAAATAAGTCATATAGCACTGCTAATTGCATTAGCTGAAGGAGATTACCAACCAATGAAATCATACAGTTTTGGTTTTTTTTTAATTGGTTGGAAATTTTATATCAAAAATATGGGGGTAAACATGCTTTTTAGCTTTAAAATTTGGGCCTTAAAAAATCCTGCAGGACATACTTGATTTTCAACTTTACTGGCCCCTAGCCAATTTTACTGGCCTCAGACCTGTGAATTTTGGTAATGACTGCAAAAGAAAATAGTCTACGTAGAAAAGCAAAAGTAAATCATATAACAAGATTTTTTTCCATTCTGCTAGTCCAACGGACTATCATTACATTCAAATTACCTAGCCCGAGTCTTAAAAAGACTAGCCCCAGGCGTCTGGCTACCGTATATTTCAACCCCAGATTAGTAAACCCTCCCTCATCACTGATTTTGACCATTAGCCCATGTTTTGGTCTTAGACCAAATACATATCTTCACACACACGCACACACACACACACAAAAATAAATTAAAAAAATAAGAACCCTTGAGTTACTAACATGGACACATAATCTAAAATTGATAAAAATTGTGGAGAAACATTGGAAATGGTTAAAAAAAAAATAAATCAAACTTACTGCAGTGACAAATAGATGAGCATGTGAAGATATGGGATTCCACTGCACACAGCTGACATCCCATTTACTCTGTCTAGGACTTTTTATAGGCTTCTCCTTAGGTTTCTTCAAGTTCACCATGGTAATGGCCCTCCTCCTGTTATTATAAAGATGATTAGAAATTATTACAGTATGGCATCTATCATTCTTGTCGTAGACTGAAGTTGCGTTACACTGTCTATAACTTCATTACTGTATGTAGACTTGGAGGATGTTTTTGTTAACAATATAGATATGCAAGCTGCCTCAAATTTATTTTTTGTTGGTAGTGAAAAGTAAAATAAAATAACCTTTGCATTTATAAAACAAATAAATGTTACATACCCTGCCAAGGCCGCCCACTCTCCTAGGCAGTCTAACGCCATAGCACTGGCCTGAAGAAAAAAAATATTTTGTAAAGTCAGGGACCTATTTTTAGATATACGTTAGGTTCCCTGATCTAGTTGAGAAAGACACACAGTTTATGTCTAATTTGCTTCTTACCTGCACATCCTGTAATTTCGCTACCACTTGTTCTCCGCTCCATTGCAGTGTCATTGTCTAATAATCAAAGGAATACATAAATATTATGTGGTTTTCTACTACCACTGGCTGACTGACTAGGGCAGTGCCACCATAACTGTTGTGCATTTCGAACCCGAACTAATTTAGCGTCACAAAAAAGGGGGGGGGGCAAAAAAAAAACAAAAAAATACTGACCGAAAAAAGGCCTAAAAATTAAGAAAATAAAAAGAAGAAAATAGGCTCTTTCATAAAACTCAAATTCTTGACAAAAAAAAAAGGGGGGGGGGGGGGGGAGGTGGTCCTACGTGAGAAAGATAAGGTCATGCTGCCATGCTAAGAAAATTTTATTAATTAAAATAGATCTACACAAAATATATAAAATGTAAGTTTCCGATTTTATACAGGAGAGGGGCAACTCTAATCATGAGACACTCGGAACTAATCTAAGGCTAAGTCGTTTCGCACACTCGACAAATGTGCGGCCGGAGCGCCGAGGACTGCCAAAGCCCGGGAGATCAGAAAGTTGTGAGCGCGAAAGCACGTGAAATTTATTCTTAGTCACTCGGGTGTTTGGATAATAAAAATGGACGAAACAGGACGCGGTGGTTGCTTGAATCAACAACAATATGATGTTGTCGTAAGGTTTTTGGCACACGGGCATTTTCCTAGTAAGAGAGAGTTAATGGAAGCCAAATTTGCCAGCCAAGAAGATAGCGCTCGACCAAGACCTTTTCGAAAATTTAAATCATGGATGCAAAGGCTGTTGTATCGCGAATCAGAAAATGCCCTTATCCATTTGCCCACAGGAAAAGTTGTAGTTCCCAAAGAAAGATTTGTCCAAATCATTGTCGAAAACCATTGTGAACTAGGTGGCCACTTGAATGCATATGCCACTATGAGAAAGGTGTGCAGTTACTTTAACATAGCATAATATAATAGTTTCTTTATTAGAAAAGTTCATTATTAATTTTCATTATTAAACCTAAATAGAAAATAGACTTAAAATTTAGTTTTGAATAAAAATGTTGTATTTTTGCCATCAAGTGTATCTTACATAGTAAACTGTTGGGAAGAATTGAGAATTTTTATAATCTGTATGAAATGTAAAAGTACATAGAAATGGTTATTTGATAAATAGATACATACCGATATTCAAGAAGGTATCCTTTCTGGCAGCAGTTTTTCTTATAATTCTGTGAAAAAGTTGGGAATTTCAATAACCAAAGATAATATTTAACTGTTTTGAAATAAAACTGATCAATAATGATATAAACATCTTATTTAAGATAAAACATCTTACTAAATAATTATTACAAAATATATTTTAACATGTTGGTTTTACAGTTGTTAAAAGTTTGAATTTGAAGTGTATTTTGTAATGACAGTGAGTCATGAACTTCAAAATAGGTTATAAAACACTCAGTTTTTATAAAACTTGTACATTAAATGATTTACAAGACTTTTTTTTTTTGATAGACTTATTAAAGAATCCAATATATGACATATAGCTTTATAAAAAATTGTATCATATCAAAATTTTTTGCTCAATACACAATATTGATGAAGTACCGGTACATTAACTTTATCAGCCATTCCAGTTACAGACCAGAAGTGCTATATGCATTGGTAAATTGTCTGTCTTCAATCTCAAACTGTGTCTCTGATGTACTGGTGTTGTAGAGTAGGATTCCCCTCTTAGTTTTTCCCCCAGAATCTGTACTCTAGAGTAGGACTTTCCCCTGAGGGGAAATCTCACACTAGAGCCAAATTTTCCCCTCTTTCTCTGTCAGAGTAGGATTTCCCCTATTTTATCAATGCTAAAATCATATCACAATATTTTGGCTTTAAATTTATGTGTGAGTCAACTGATTTTTCAATGGAAATATGAGAATTTTTTTTTAAACCAGTTTGGCCAGGTGCAAAGAATAAAACTGAAATGCTTCAAAAGAATTGGTTGGGAAAAATGAGTATCATAGTAAATTAAAGTATGTAAGTATTTACTATAGGTAACTATAGAAAATTTTGGTCAGGATGGTCACCATTTTAAAAGATTTTAAATGTTGAATGCACAAGACTTTTTGTTTTTATGAAATTTTATTAATAAGGTTGTCTACTGTGGGAAATTTATAGAAGGGACACTTGTAACAATGTGTTGCCTCCTTCCTCCTCATATATAAGTACAGGCATGATATTTTATTTGGAGAAAAATTGACTTTGGAGGAAATTGCACTTTATAACTATGACACAGAACAGGATTTCTCCCTAGAAAATTGAATCTGGAATGGGATTTCCATAGGGGAAATCCTAATCTAGAGTCATTTTTTTCCTGGGAGAAGTTCTTCTCTAGGGCCTATTTTCTGACTGCATGGAGGTTAAGGGGGCCCATGTTCAATTCACAGTCTGGTCTGTTGCATTTTTCTCATTTCGTGTTACATTTGGTGCTGTGCTATGCCCTGGAACTGACAGGTGAAAGACCTGCCAGGGAAGAGTAGGGCTGTGTATTGAGCAAAATATTTCGATACGATGCGATACGATATTTCATAAAGCGATATGCGATATATTGGATTCTTTAAAATGTCTATCAAAAAAGTCTTGTATATCATTTAATCCATAGATTTGATAAAAACTGGGTGTTTTATTACCAAATTGGAAGTTCATGTCTCACTGTATTTACAAAGTACACTTCAAATTCAAACTTTTAATGATTGTAAAACTAACATGTTAAAATATAGTTGTCTATGTATTTTGTAATAGTTATTTAAGAGAGATATTGTGCTATCTCCTTAATGTTTATTTCATTATTGATCATTTTTAATTCAAAACAGTTAAAGATAACCTTTGGTGACTGAAATTCCCAACTTTTTCACAGAATTATAAGAAAAACTGCCTGCCCGATACGTATTGGAAGTTATTTTTCGATACGATACATTCCTGAATATTCGATACATATTGATTAATCGATATATTGACACAGCCCTAGGGAAGAGCATGGGTTGATGTCCTCAGGGGGAGAAAACCAAAAATTTGGCAGTTAGACAGATTTGATTGCCAGTGACCAGATAGCTCAATTGGTAGAGCACCTGGCTGGAGATTCAGGGGGCCCAGGTTTGAATCCTGGTCTGGTCTGTCACATTTTTCTCCTTTCTTGTTACACATGTATAAATTAAGCCTACTAAATATCCAACTCAATTTGACGTAATTTTTTTTGTTACATTACTAAACATAGGAGTCTGTAATGCTACCAATCCTAAATGTTTGTCCTATTTCATTCTAACTTTGTTAAAGCAAGTAGACTACAACAGAATACAAACTGATACTCCTGTACATTGATTTTCAACTGAAATATTAATTGGTCAATTGTTTCAAAATTCTACTCTTCTTGCTGTAGGGGTTTTGTTTGAATCTAATAAATCATGATAAGTGTAATTTATAACTATATACTATGCATATATATATATATATATATATATATATATATATATATATATATATATATATATATATATATATATATAAATTTTGATGAATTTGTTGCCATAGATACTGGCAATTTTTCATTATGTTACAGCAGCTAAACTTTAATTGGTAGAAAAGGGTTGTAGTTAATTTAATGAGGGGTTACTACAATTTTCCTTTTCTATATTAAATGTTACCTTGTAGATGATTTGCTTGATTCAGATTGCATGTTGTTTGGCATAACAGTCTTGGTACTTGTGATCTAAACCTTTTGTAATATTTATTTTTTTGAAAGGGGGGGGGGGGGGGGAGGTCATGATACTTAAGTTATGGTGTACAAGTAATTATGCTTAAGTTATCATCAATGAAAGTCCTAAAACGTATAGTATTGTTACAGATTCAAAAAACATACACATTTGGACGAAGAAACTTTGGAATGAGTGAAGATCTGGTAAGAAGTGTGATTAGAAACTGTCCCAACTGTGAAAGACCAATTAATGCTAGACAAGGAATTCCATTAGGTAAAGTATTAAAGTAACAATTCTTGACAATATATGGATTAATTCATACTATGAGAAAGATAGACGAATAGACTACAAAATTGGTATTTGAAAAGTAATTGCTTGGCATTGACACTAAAAGAGGTGTAAATTTTGTAAAATATGTTAGTTCCTCTCTATACACAAATAATTTCAGATAAAGAAGGATTGCACCCTATTGCCAAAGCATGCAAACAAAATGATGAAGAAAAAATGTGTGAAACCCAGAGGAAACCAGACACTGTTTTGTCAAACACTAGCACAGGAGCTTCTGCAGCAACTAATCAAGATGTACCAACAACTGCACAAACAACAGACAATGACAACCAGAAAGGGCAACCAATGGAAGTGAATAAAACAGATGACAAAAGAAACAAGACTGATGTCAAACAAAGTCATCCCATCATTCATAGCTCTTTGTTGTCTCAGTTGATGACAACAAGGCCAGGTCAGAGAACCAATACAGGTCTGAGCACCAGTTCATCTGTACCAGTGCCCTTGTTATGTCCTATCAATGCACCCATGATTCCACTTTTAAGCATTGCACAAACTGCAAAGCAAGAAAGTTTGGCAATAGGTGCTAGCAATACAGCAAAACAGGTTTCAACTGCCCAAACAAAACTCACATCAGCCATTGCATCTAAGCTGATAGATATCAATTCAAATTTGGGATCATGGATGGCTCAAAACATGCATAATGTTGGATACTATGTAAAGGTGCCCAATTCATCTTTACCCTCAGGTTTCTCCTTATCCTTTGTGACAGCTCCATTGATGCATTTAGGAACTTCCACTCTGTGTTCACCTTCCACTGCTTCAGTGCCCACTCCCAGCCCACTTCCTCCACTTCTAAGGCCCATGGATGAAACAGCTAGAAACAAACATCCAAATTCTTCAGAGAAAACAGAAGAGAGTCACCCACAGGCAAAGACAGCCATTTCAAAAATGGCTACAGCCACTACACAATCTCGAGACATTCTTGGCAAGATTCCAACACCTACAAAGATAGCAATACCAAGTTTGGCTAACTCAACCATGCAGTCCAAGTCCTTGCCACCAATTAAGCCAAAAGAGGAAACTGAATTAGGCAAAGCCCTTTTAAAACCTGCAAGTAACAGGGCAGGTTCCAGCAATGTTTTGTCCACACCACCCAAAAATCCCAAGAAAGTAACTAAGAAGAATCCGTCCTCAGGAGTAAAGAGAAAGCTGAAATTGAAGCTGGAAAAAATGAACAGAAAAGTTAACTCAGGAGGTAAACAAAAGAAACTTGCCTCTCTTAAGCCTGGAAAAATGGGATCTGAGAGTAACAGCAACAAAAAGAATGATAAAGAAGAGGTGGATAAGTTGGATGACGCAAATAAAAATCCTCTCTGTGAAACTTCCAAGAAGAAGAAGATCATAGTTGTTAACCCAGAAAAGATGAGAAAAATACTTAAAAACAGCTTGAATGTTCATATGAATATTAATTTTAAAGGAAAGTGCAATGTCAATTTCCACAATGAAGCTAGTGGTATCACCACTTCTTTTCTTGTGGATGATGGTCAAAATACATCCATAACAAGTAAAAATGTTGCCTCAAACTCAAATGAAGGAACTTCAGCTAAAGTGGATTTCCAAAGTAAAGATATAAAGCAAGAAATGTTGGATTATCCTGGTAAAATAAAACAGGAGCATTGTTTAAAAAACAAGTCAGGTGTCACAGAAGGACAGCAAAATGCTCAGCAAACCAAGACAGATTCTGATGACATGAATCAGAAAACTGAAAACCTGAATGATGGAGATGATAACTTTACCCAAGACATGAGAAGTCTTGTAGGGTCAACTTCAGCTAAATCATCAGGTATCTGCTTACTTAAAAATAAATTACATAATACATGACATTGTGTACTTCCTTTCACATTTTTAAAACACTTGAAATCAATATTTTTATGCAATTTCTTATTCATTCAGACAAAGCAATTACACAATCCTTGTTCCTTGATCCTGGTCCAGTCCCTAGCCCCACAATATGGACTTTTTCTGAAGGTACTGTTATTAAAATAGAATGTTTAAATAATAATTTCATGTCATATTCATATTGATTGCAAACATGAAACCCTTTGATATAAAATATGAATTTTGACACAAAAAACAATGCAAATTTAATTTACTCTAACTTTCAAAGATTCTTTAAATATTATAATCTTAACAGATATGCTGGCAGAGAAAAATTGTTATGGAAGGTTGCTGATTGCGATTCAAGACATGAGAATGGATGTCATGAAGTCTATTTTGTTTGATCACCATGCAATGGACAGACTGAAAAAAAGTATTCTACATTTTTCAATTGTTTTTGTTTTCTACCTTTAAATGTTCCTTGATGAACATTTAGTATTCTTTCAAGGTATACCTAGTTTCCAAATTGATTGCTAACATTATTTATTCTTTCACAAAGCAACTAAAGCTTGGTACATATTTAAGTATCAATGGTAGAAGATATGAAGCATTAAAAATTAGGATCAGAATTCTTTTAGTTTTTTCAACTTGTTACAAAGTTTTTCTAAGTGTATATTCACTTTGTTTGTATGCTTTGGGGTTACACACCTTAAGCTATAGTTTTCTTTTCAGAAATATGCTATGCAGAAACCCTCATCAGAAAGCACAAAGAGGATCGGTGTTCAGACTAAACACGTAAACTGAGAGAATGTAACTATGAACATTTCAATAACATGTATACCGTTCAAGTATATGCTTAAACATATAGAAACATTTCTGGGTATATATATGTTTGTTTTTGGTTTACATAAACAATTTATTTACTCAAACAGAGGACCTGTTTTGCTTTTTCACATTGCATGCTTCTTATTGAATGTAACTGACAAAAAGTTTTATTCTAAAAAAATTTAATAAAATATAAGTTGAAAACAGTCATTAATCTTGCATGTAAATATATCAAGATTAGACAAAATAGCATCGGATTCATGATTATCATTAATTATATTGTAGACATAATTATGCAAGGGTGTATAAGATGCTCTTAAATGTACAGTTATATGTATATACAACCTTGTATCAAACACACAGTGATAATCATTTTGAGTCACAGTTCTGTACAATATGTATGTACATGTATTATTGAGCTTGTACAGTGTTTACCAAGAACTTTCTACATTTATGTGTAAAGTTACCGAAGCAAAACCTGGGGACAGGACAAGACTTTTAAAAATTTTCATACTTTTGGCAAAAGTAAGTTAAAACTGCCTATCATTAATCAGGATGCCAATGATCCAGTCCCTACAGCTTCCAGAAAACAATTTTATGATTATTAAGTTTCCAGTTATCCACACAACTTCAGTCATGAAGAAGCAATTGGAATTGGCAAGGCACTAACGTAACTGTACAGGATTTATCAAAGTGGGGGAATTACAATCCAGGCACTTGGTGGTGAATCTAAAACAGTTTGCTGCACCATTCTTGATTTTTATTTATCAAGAGTTTGGTTTAATAACAAATACTGCATCATCCAGTGCATAAAATGATTGATGTAGGTCCCCTTCACAAAGATATGGCAGTCTGCTGAATTTTTCTACGATAAAACCAGCAGGTTCAAACACCTTTTTGATGAAGAACTGAACTTGCTCCTCAAAGCTTTGTCCCTGAATCAGCAAATTTTCCTCAGGTGAGTGGTCCTTTGAATCTGAAGTGAGAAAGCCAGCATTATCATTTCAGCAAAACTACAAAAATGGGATTTTTTCCCTTGCATTAACATTTAATAGGTGAAATTACATGTATATAAACTGTATATACATGTAAACTGATGAAGATTTCTAATTTAAGTACCTTGTTCTACATATGGTTTGAATGGCAACACCACTGCCACTATAGCTTTTCCAACACCAGGTGTCAGCACCCTCCTTATAGAGTGGAGAATTGTCATTGGCTTGTTGCATCTGTCCAAGAGGTTAAGGCAACTAATCAAATCAAAGGAAATGCTACCATTGTCCCATTCATCTAGCCCCAAGATTCTGAAAAGGTAAATGCAATATATGACTTCTAATGGAAATAAAACTTGGACTTCAACCACTGATATCAAAGCATTCTCAGAGATTCAATACAGTAAAACACGCTTATAGTGAACATGTGTATAATGAATTAATGCATACAGGGAAGTGATTTTTATTTCCCGTGGCTTTAAAGTATAATTATATTGTGAACTTAACAGATATGACTGATTACACTTATAAGGAAGCAAAATTGTCCTGTCCCTGGCATATTGCTGTAAGTGTGTTTTACTGTATATGGAATTTTCACATTGCCGTCACTTAAAAAGACATTCCATCTTTTTATTTAGCGAGTGTGTATATGCTTTACTTGTAGTTCTTCTGCTGCAGTCTCCATACCATTGTAGAGGAAACTTCAGTGGCATAAACCTGTCTGAAGTATTTGGCCATTTTTTCCGTCACACGTCCATCTCCTGCACCTGTTATGAGAATCAAGAATTGTGGTAGAAAATTTCTTTAATGACAAATTCTTAAGGACCACTGATCTCTCAGTGTAAACATAAAAAGTTTTGAAAACCTTTCAATTTAGACTGCTTAACTACAATCTCATTCCCATAATATTAGCCTGGTTACATAAAATGCAAATAAAAGTAACTGCCATTGCTATTATATACTAAACATTTGTTACAACTACATGTATTGCAGTGCAATAAAAGTATAAGGGAAAATGAATTCAGACATTCTATCAAACTTGAAGGTATATTATGTTCATGTCAATAATGTATTCAGTTTTGTATCAACAGCACACAGACATTGTAAAGAGAGTTTATACCAAGATCTAGCATGTTCTGTCCTTCCCATCCCACTCCAACCTGTAAAAGCTGCCTCAGCTGTTCATCAGAGAAGACAAACATTGAACCTCGCTGGAGAAGTCTGGAACATAAAGTCTTATGTAAGTCTTTTTTTTTTTCTTGTCTAGGTGATAAGTTTAGATCTTTTACAGGAATGGTTAGACAAATAATACCACCACTTGATGCATATTGCACATAAATTCTCTATTATTTCTATGCTGCAAAAATCTTTAAAATATTATATAAATTTCAGGGTTGGATTGATAGAAAGTTTCAGAAAACTTGTAACATTTAAAATCACAAATAACATCGATTATTATATAGCTAATAAATAGTCTATAATAAAAACCTACCAAAAAGTCAACAGAATTTTAGCGTTCAATATCTTGGTGTATTATTGAACGCAGAGTTTGCAATACATATGCGAATATATGCTCTGAAACATTCTGAAAGCAAGCATTCAATATTGAACATTCCATTGTAAACAAAAAATGTCCACTGATCAACTGCTCATCGGCAATATTTATGATGGGTACAGTGTAGTGGCAGTTGGTAAGATGTGTCTATTTTCACACAAATACACATTTGAAATTATTAGTTAATGATTTAGTACCTATAAGCCTCAATGAACACCCCATAAGCAAATCATAATGCTTGGTAGGGTCATTGGAATGATGTGATATTGAACACCTCCAGGACAGATGCTGATATTGCACATAATAAAGGAGATATTGAACTTATATTAGTGAATATTGGCAAGAGTTGGCTGTACAAATGCACTCGCAAGCTCATGCATTTGTACATCAAACTTGTGCCAATATTCACCAATGTAAGTTTGATATATTATCAAACTCTCAATAGAACCATCAGGGTTACCCATCAATATTGTTAATTGTGACATACCCTCTTATTCATAATGATGAAAAATTCTCTATTTGTTGCTATTCAAAGTAACCTTGAGCATCTAAAACTGCACATAATCATTCTCCATTTAAGTTATTTGTTTGCTTACCCATTGATTGAAGTGCTGGTCATGAACCAACTGAGGATGGACTTGGCAATAGAGTGATAAAGCTGTGTAAATATCCAATCAGCTTTCTCGTAACAGTCGGACAGGAATTGCTCTGTTTCTGCATCCTGATGGAACTGAATGAAGCACTCGCAAACATCAGCTGACACTCTGGCTCTGTCAAAACTGTACCACTGTAAGGACAAACAAGATATTTAGAGATAAAACAGTTCACCACTGCAGGAGAAAAAAACAACCCAATAGACAAAATCAACAAGAACTGTCCTGACAGAACTAATACCATTGCAGGACAACTAAAAGAAGATACTTTAAAATAGCTTCTGTTCAGGAAGACCAGGGGCATCTAGTTAAAAAATATCTATTGCAAAAAGATATGAATCTTGTTAAAATGTAATTGGTTAAGGGCTGCAACACCAATAATGAGAGCAGTAAGTATTTGTGTTGAGTAAGACAAATGTATTAAAAAGCCATGGAACATGAATAATTTACTACTGAGTACTGGTAATGAGTTTTTTTTTATATAATTCTTTATTTTTGTTTTACACATTCTGCTATTTCATACAAGTTAAACATATATTTAAAAGAATATACAGAATGTGTATTTTTTTTATTTCAGAGAGAGAGAGAGGAGAGAAAGAGTTGGAGGAGGAGAGAAAAAGGGTTGCAAACATGCATTCATAAAATATAAACACATATATTTGTCAGAGTCATTGAAATAATTGATTCCAACAGTTCCAGCAGGTGTCAAACATATCCTTTTCACCTTTATTATAAGCAATATATTTTTGTGTTTCATAAAATGTATTCATAAGCGATATTGCAGCAGTTACATTAAATGTCTTCCCTGTGCACCTCATTGTGTAGATATAATATTTAAGCCATAGAAAAAGATTATTTGGTACATGTATCTTTTTCTTTTCATCCAAGAACCCCAAAATGAAATTATTTTTTGTTATTGGTATTTGAAGATTAGTTTTATTTTCAAAGTAATCTTCAAATTCTCTTAAAAAATGTTGTACACTATCACACTCCCAAAGCAAATGTTCAATTGTCTCTTCTTCCACCTGACAGAATGTACAATTCTTATTTTCTGTGATTTTTATTTTAAATAAATATGAGTTTGAAGCTAAAATTCTGTTCAAAATTCGATACTGAAACCATTGCAGTTTACAATTATTTGTAACTTTAAAAGGCAATTTAAAAATCATTTTCCATTCTTTGTCATTCAATTCAAATGTTTCATTCCACTTTCTTTTACCAGTAGGTTCTGTACTATTGTGATTGAGAAGATTATAAAATTGCCTTGATTTTTTACATTCTAGAAGGATGTGTATATTTGACATAACCAGAGGGTTTTGTAATTTAGTAACATTTTCTTTAAAATTAACTTTTTTCATCCATGCCTTAAGAGCACTTATAACACTCATATATTCTAAAAAATTAATTTTCACTTGAGGATAAATATCACAAACAGATTCAAAAGTCAGGAACAAACCTTCTTCATTAATAAGATCATTAAGGTATCTAATATTAGAGCGATACATGGATTTATTAAAAAATATTTTTCCTCCCACAAGAATGTCGGGATTGTAAAATAGTGGAGTGTTTGCTGTTACTATAGTTGGGTTTTGTTTATGGTGTAGCTCAATCCATGAATCAAATACATCAACCCAGAATTTGTTTTTCAGTGATTTCTTTATATTTTTGATATATTCAATTCCGCACGTTGTAACTTTATTTAGATCTAGATTTGGTATAAAATCATGCAGCCGTCTATTTGACAATAAGAGTTTTCTTATCCAAAATAATTTTAAAGAAGATATAAAAGCCTTTACATTTATCATCTTTAATCCCCCATCTTCATATTTTTTAACAATTACATCCTTTTTTATTCTATGTTGAGAGTGGTTCCACAAGAAGGAAAAGAACAGTTTATCCAATTCTTTATAAAAGTTGTCATCTGGATTTGGAATCGCCATAAAAATATGATTTAAGAGAGGCAAAACCAAAGTTTTGATAACAGTAATTTTTCCTATTGGTGTTAAGTGTCTTTTCTCCCATTGATGCAAGATTGATTTTATTCTACTTAACTTCGGCTGATAATTCAGTTTGGACATATTTTGAAGTTCTACATCAAAATTAATTCCAAGTAATGTGAATTTGTTAGTCCCCCACTTCAGATTAAAATCTCTAGAAAGGATATCTTGACTATATTTTTTTGATCCAATCCATATGGTATTAGTTTTCGAAAAATTAACTCTTAGTCCAGACATTTCAGAGAAATGTTGTAATACTTTAATTGTTTCTGAAAGTGATTCCTTGCTACCATCAAGGATAATTGAGGTATCATCAGCTAGTTGTGAAATTTTCTTTTCATTATTACATACAGTAATTCCTTTAATCCTTTTATTTTCTCTTATTTGTATAGCTAGAATTTCTGCACAAAGTAGAAAAATATATGGTGATAAGGGATCGCCTTGTCTACAGCCTCTATGGATATTGAAGGATGCTGAGAGATTGCCACCTTGATTAATAGCTGAAGTAATGTTATGATAAAATAATTTTACCCATTTGTGAATGTCAGGTCCAAATTTAAAATAGGTTAATGTCTTTTGTATAAAATTCCATGAAACAGTATCAAAGGCTTTTTCAAAATCAATAAGTAGTAGAAGACCAGGAATTTCTTCCTCTTCAGTATACTGCATTATATCATAAATTAGCCGAGTGTTTTCCCCTATATACCTGTTAGAAATAAAACCAGTTTGATCAGGATTGATAAGTTCATCCAAATAAGTCTTTAATCTATTTGCAATGGTACCAGAGGCTATTTTATATACAGTATTTAAAAGTGTAATTGGGCGCCAGTTTTTAATATATTGTCTTGGTTTTTCTCCTTTAGGTGAAAGGGTAATAATTCCATGTCTCTGTGTGATTGACAGACTATCATTTTCATAAGCATAATTAATTGACCTGATAACAAAAATTCCAAGATATCGCCAAAAGACCTTAAAAAATTCTGTTGAGAACCCGTCAGAACCAGGTGATTTATTTGCCTTCATTTTGCTAAGTGTTTTAGAAGCTTCCTGTAATGTAATTTTACCTTCTAAAGACACACGTTCATCTAAAGATAACTTGGGAATATCTTTGAAATTTAGCTCAGAATTTAGGTCATATTCATTTAACTCATTGTTAGTTGTAGAGTATAAGTTTTCATAAAATTGCTTTGTTTCATCCAAAATTTCAAACTGGTCTTGAGTTAACTGCCCATTGTCTTTAACAAGTTTGGGAATTATTTTACTAGTAAAATTTCTTGATTCTAAACCACAAAAATAATGAGATGGTTTTTCCCCTTCTTCCACCCATTTTACTCTACTTCTTATATACATTCCTTGAAGTTTATATTTTCTAAGTTCTTCCAATTTTTGCTTTTTTCCATTTAGTTCCTCTACATTGTGCTCAGAAATATTTCTTCTAATACCTTAATTTCTTCTAATAATTCTTTTTCTTCATTGACTTGTTTCTTTTTTATATATGCAGAGTATGAAATACTTTTCCCTCTTATTTCCATAAGTAGAGTTTCTAGAAATAACTGATCATCAATGGTAAAATATAAATTTTCATCTAGAATAGTATCAAGATTATCAAGGTCATACACAGGAAGTGCATATTGCTTTTGCACATTTGAAATAACATCTCTGATACAATCTAGGTATTGCTTATCACCAAGTAAAGAATTGTTAAATTTCCATAAGCCCCTTCCCTTTTTAAAATCATTGAAAGTTAAAGTCATTGATATCATAGAATGATCGGACCTGTAACTTGGTTCGACTGTACATGCATTAAGACAAGGTAACAATGACTCAGACATTATAAAGAAGTCTAGCCTACTTTGTTTAAAAGGATTTTTTTTTCTCCATGTGTACCTTCGAAGTGTTTCATGGAGTTGTCTAAAGGGATCTACATAACCATATCCTTCCATTATTTCTAATACTTTTTCTCTAGCCTTTGGGTTATTAATTGATTTATAATTATAGCAGTCCAACTGTGGATTTAACACTAAATTAAAATCTCCACACCATATGATACTGTTACAGTTTATTTCTTCAATGGATTGTTGAATATTTTCATAAAAATTTGGTGTATCAGTATTTGGGCCATATACTGTGCATAAAACAACCTCATGACCCTCTATACATATTTTTAGAATGTGATAGTTTCCATCTTTATCACCCTTTTCCAGACATATTTTAAAATCAAAATTATTATTGAAAAGTATTGCCACCCCTCTTGAGTTCGAAGTATAGGAACTAAAATAACATTGATATCCCCACATGTTTCTGACCTCATTTTCTACATCATTGGAGAAATGTGTGTCTTGAAGACAATAAATATTATAATTTAGACTTCGTAAGTAGTTAAAAACATCTCTTCGCTTTGTGATATCGCCTAAACCTTGACAATTAACAGATAATAATTTAACCCCCATCAAAATTTAAAGGCAAAAACTCTTGAGACCTGCTGGAAGATGATCCAAATAGGTAATTTCATGCATGCATGTATATAGAGAGGAGAAAGAGATAGCAAAGAAGCACAGGATAGTACAGAAAGAAAACTGAAAGAAACAAAGCATAAAAAAGTCTATTGTAATGACAACAAGCTCTCGTTTTTTTCTAAATACAGGCAAGTGTCCTTAGGCCAACATTTTTTTATTTTCTGTTTTACGGGAATTTTTTTCAAAAATTTGAGTCGGGGGGTCGAAATAAAAATAAAAGCTCAAAATTTAAGCAGTCGGTCAGAAAAATAAAAATAAAATGAAAAAATGCAATAAAATTTTTTATTTTTAATTAAGGTTGGAATTTTATTTGTATGACCTTAATTTGTTAGAAAAACAGTGCTATTTGAAAAACTTATGTACACAAAACACAGAATTGGTACTGTTAATGGATCAATGAACTATTTTAAATTTAACTTTCTCTTAGATATTTGGGGCAGGGGTGCATTTCTAGTATAAAGCTTGCAGTTTCTAACATTAATGCAAATCAAACATACAAATCTATAGTCTTCTCTCAGTTGTCAAATATCATATTGTCACCACAGTAAACCTATAGGACTTCTGTCACACCCCTCATAAACTTTTCAGAATCTTCTATTTTTCGGTATTCAGCAAATTACAAGATCTGAGGATTTTGGACTAGTTCTGGCAAAGTTATGGAGAAAATGCAGTGAGACATTCAATGGATCAGCTAAAATAAATTAATTCACAGAAGTGCACATGAGACATGAAAAAAAGAAAAGTTGTATAATATTAATTTTTTTTCAATGCACTTCCAATTAATTATAATATACGTAGGTGGAAAAAACGTACCACAATATCTCTATTGAAAACATATTCAAACTTCCTCAATCTGTAGTATATATATCTTTTTATCCTTATGTTTTCTTTCTGAGCATGCTAACTTTCAATATAATTGTAGAAAATACATGTCTTTCCCATAGTATACACATGTAAAATACACATGACAATATTCTGTTTACTGCAGAATTTAAAAATTTAATTGTTGAAAATGGTTCTAATCCACAACTGTTGAATGAAAAAAGAAACCAGGTCTTGAATTGAAATAATATTTGTAAGGGCGTATCATTTACAACAATACTTTTCCCTAGTGGTAAAAAAAAGTTGTTTTACTAAACAAGAGTTATACATATACACTACATCAGCTGATATGAATACGCTGAACAATCAATGTACATTAATTTGTTACATAGCACGCAAAATTCCATAAAGCGATAAAAAAGGAGATAATGTCTTGTGTCAATCAAGCATATAAACTGATATATCTTCGTAGGTAATTCTGAATTCCAATATTTGTCATAAAACGAGTGAAAGTTGTGACTCGAATTTCCTCAGTCACGCCACTTTCTACCAGTTCTACATAGTTCTAGTGTTCTGTCGTTACTTGTAAAAGAAAACATTTCTGTCTTAAAATTAAGTTTAAAAAAATCTTCAAGACGTATTTCAATGTATTGAAGCAATTGTCAAAGATAATACGTACTCAGAACCTTTCAAAACAAGCGATTGACAGAACCTCGAATTCCACGTGGCCCTCCGCATGACATTTGATCAAGATCACTGATTCGTCTATTTCATTCAATCTTTCATTAAAATTTATACCTTTTCTAATATATAATATTGACACGTCACTTTTTAAACTGACTATTTAAAAACACGTGAAACCCTCCGATTCTGACATTTTGGCGCTATGCTGTGCAGTGACTCTTCACGCAAGGAATACTGTGATTGGATGAATCTATTTACCTCAGCCAATGACAAATCGCATTTTGAAAGGCTTGTAAAAAGGTTATTTATATTTCTTTTATTTTTTCAGAGACTATAAATAAACTATCGGCGGGAGAAATAAAAATAAAACTTGAATTGGGGACTTTTATTTTTATTTCATTTTAGCCCAAATTAGGGTCGGCGCTCCCGTAAAACAGAATATAAAAAAAAGTTGGCCTTACTGATCTTTAATCTCTCACAATAGTGTAAACCGGAAGTTGTCTAGAGAGCCATAAGTTCCAAAAACACCAAAGTATACATGAACGGAATTGCTATTCCCGGAATAGAAACGCATTAATTCAAGTTGGCTATTTTCTCTTCAATTTTGTCAAAAATATCGAACATGACTCTTTCATCTCCAATTTGTCCATACACATGTCCGTTGAAATACCAGGCTGCTTTGACTTGTTCGTGTTCCAGCAACTCGTTGATAAGCTTACCGTTGAGCAGTGTCACGTCGTCACTTAGCCTGATTTTGTTTTCAGTATTTTTCTTCACAGTCGAACGGTGTTTCATAATTCTGGCTTTTGAGGAATTGTTCCTAAGTTTCATTAAGATCGGTCGCTGATATCCTTTTCTGCCAGGAATCCTGTGAATTGCCATAATATCGTTATCCGTTATTTCTACACCTGAATTTTCACGGATGATATTTTGTACCAATTCCTTAGCATTTTCCTCAGGTAATTCTTTCACTCTGTGAATTTTCACATTATTTTTCCTGGAATACTGTTCGTTCCAGTTGGCCTTACTCATCGCTGACCTGGCTAGCTTTTTCAGTTCATCATTTTCTATAGACATCACCCGCATTTGATCTTTCAATTCCTCAATTTCAGATTTTTGTGAATCAATAACGCCCATTAGGACTTTGTTTTTTTCCTCAATGAGATCTTCCATTTCTCTTTTGTGATCGGATATAATCTCTCTCACAATTGAGCCAACAATGTTTTTAATATCTTCCTTATTTACTGTATTGCCAACACTTTCTTTGAGGGATTTAAGATCTGCCATTATACTTCATAAAGCATCGTCATGGCTGGATTGTTTCTCATGTTCACTCATACTTGTGTTTACCGATTTTGATCTGCTAGTATTTGTATTCTTAGTTGATCTGGTATTAATGTTTTGGGCTGACATGGCTCAAATATACAAAAAATCACACAAACTGACAACTTCTCTGATGTGGATACGTTAGAAAGAGTTTTAAATAAGTACTATTCACCCACTATTCACACAATGCTCGACTCATGAATATTGCATATTGCATGTTCATACCACAATGTGCACTTTGCGTGTCTAAAAATTATCATAAACTGGCAACTGTATATACCTGGATACTATATATCATAATATAGCTGCCACACATTACACGAATACACCTAGACACTTGCCTTTACTACGGAGCACCCTAAGCGTGTATATCACACACGGCCATTACCGGAAGTCTCCCTGGTAATGTGTCATTGACCTTATAAAAACAACTATGGTTAAGAAATCAATCATAAATGACCTCTGGTTATAAACAACATTGCTAAGTGTGACCTCTCTGTTAATTTATAAATGAATTTTACATTTCTGAGACCTTCAGATTTCTTCTGAAATCTCTGACCTTGACCTTGTATAAATGAAAAAAAGTAAAGATAATGAATTGTGATCAATCTCATAAATCCTGTAAACAATACAAAATATGAACAGGGCAAAAACATGGACCTGTGGATGCACAAGAGGTGGGATCAGGTGCCTAGGAGGAGTGGGCATCCCATGTCATTTATGGTTCAAAGCTGAAAATTTAGACTTGTACTCGTCACTTACGGCCATTGAGCAGTGAAGATTTTTTTTATGTGCCAAAAAGCTGTTGTGATCCTGATCATCCAGGACATAGCTTTTATTGTCTTGTCCAAAGATCTGTCAATTTAAAGTGCCTCACACTAGGAGTCCAATCTCTGCTGAGATTAAATGGGAGTCAAACTTGTCGTTTAAGGATCAGCTCTTTGCTTCAGATAAATAATGGACTTGAAATATTTTTTTCTTATTCATTGTGGAGCATTAAATTTCAGGTAGCCTACTGTAAATACTGGCATACATTTACTGATTCCAGCATTTGGTTCCCATGTTTTATTCTCGATCGTTCCAACATGAGACCCATACAAATTATATATATATAAAATGCTTATTAAATAAAAAACATATAAGAAAACATCCGAACGAAATTATTCAGTAGATTTATGCATGAGCTGTTCAACAAAAAAAAAAGAAAGAAAGAAAAACGTACATAATGATGATCGTCATTCCGTTGTCTCTCGTCTTCCTTCAAACGTTGATACACTGCTCTGACTAATGGACTCCTAATGTGGCTAACTTCATTCATTCTTGCTTTCCATGCATAGTTGTGTACAAGTTTTACATTCAAAGACAAGATAAAAAGTACACAGGAAATCATATATGCCACGCACACGTTCACGTTGCATCATTTGCGAGTCGTGTGAAAACAGCAACAGATTAGAGTTACGTCCCTTTTCTACTTTCATTTCGTGTTGCTGAGGTGAGAGTGTGAGCGGATCATACGGGAGAGTGTCAAAGGGCTGAATTTTTTTCTTTATTTATTTATTAATTCATTTACATGTGTTTATTTATTTAATAACCTTTTTTACTCAGTGGTAAATAAATATTTTGGAGCCAGGATTCTCTTTTCACATTAAAAAAAAATATTACAGGTGGATCCTCTCTTAATGTCTCTGTCCTTCATTCTCTCTTTATCCTCCGATTGTTTTCTTCCTTTTTTCCCTCTTTCGATTTCTCCTTTCCTTTCTGCAACCACCTCTCTCTCTCTCTCTCTCTCTCTCTCTCTCTCTCTCTCTCTCTCTCTCTCTCTCTCTCTCTCTCTCCCAATACGTGGAATTTGCTTACCAGGATATCATCATTAATCCGCGAAGTTTAATTTTGAACACACTACTTTGATAAAATCTGAATACTATTAAATGAGTTCTTTATATAAATCAGTGCATTTTTTCTTTTTTTTTAATTACTGTACATTTTAAAATAATTTAAAGGTAGGATACTATATGGATCAGGCTACATGTATCCATAAATAATAATGAGCACAATGATAACGAGTTCATTGCATATTTTTTAAAATTTTTCAACACTTTTTGCGAGTCTACTTCCACTTCTGTCTACCTCCATTTGTGTAGAAAATATTAACTTAAAGAATGGAATGATAATTCTTAAAAAGTCTTATATATACAAGAGAAAATGTAAATAAAATGGAAAGATAATTTTATATGAAGTCTCATTTATATATACAGAGAAAGGTAAACCCGCTCCCTTCCCATGTCTTCGCGAGCCAAGGGTTTTCGGCCCGCTTCGCTCTTCTCTCTCTTTCCTTGTGGAGAGCGAAGCGGACCGAAAACCCTTGGCTCGCGAAGATGCCCTTCCCAACACCACCACCCACCCATCCCTTGAAAAAATTCTTCATTTCGTATAAATTGTCTATCCTTTCAAACTCATGCATATATGTATATAGTAAAAGTGCATATCCTTAATCGATGGAACTTTTAAAAACGCTTTGAAAATTGATTTCAAATATAGGCAAAGACATGAATGTTTGTAGTACCTTTGAAATCCTGGCATCTCAAAACTTGCAATGCATATCGAAGACCCCCTTTCATAATTGCATAATGTTAATAAGTGGTCGAGTTAAAAAATAAAGGTGCATAGTCCATATACCTAACGAAAAAAAAAAAATCAGGAAAAAAAAGAGCTGGGTAACTTAAAAATATAGCCAAGAAGAGCAATTCGAATACGTGTACAAATAATTTAAATATACATTTTTCCCTCATACTCTCAAGTAAAATAGATAAAGACCCTCGATTCGCTATGCGGTATAGGAACTGAAGACATGTAACGAATAATGTTTCTACATGTAGATGCTATTTGAAATGTTCATTCAATTCAGGGGTGTGCAATTAGCATCGCCCGACGCCCGGGGCTACCATTTTTTGGGGTCGGGCTAGTAGTTTTCTGCACGGATGTAGCCCCTTGGGCTAGTAAAAATTAAAACTACCAATGTAATACATGAAAATCACTATCGGTATTTTCTCTCATTTTTTGCTATAAAATTCTTAAGCAATGAAAATTTTTCGGCAGCATGCTTCTATTGTTCGTAAATCTCCATAATCTTATCTATTTTGCAGTATTACCTGACTTATTTACTTCCAAAAACGATCGTCTTTATCTAATCCGAATTTCCTCTATTCCTCTGTTTATGGGAAATACACATGCAGATATCTCATTAAATTATTTACGATCACTCAATCAATTGAAAGATAAGTGTTATGTGGTTTACATAAAATATACTCCAGCGTATTTAATGATTTAAGATGAAAAAAATGATTGTCATTTCATTTTAGATAAGATAATTTATTTGAATTCATTTTTATTTTCTATCATAATTATTGATTTATACATGATTTAATTTTACTAGTGAAAATTAAAAAGAATCTCATTAAAACCCTAGCTGACGTTTTCAACAATAAACTATTTTCTTTTAATATTAGTTGTTACCCCCCCCCCCCCCCACACACACACACACATTTGGGCTAGTAACTTTTCACTTGGGGCTAGTAACTTTATTTCTGCCACTAGCCCGTGGGCTAGTGCTTAATTTTTTTAATTGCACACCCCATTCCATTTATAATAATTATGAATGTTCGTTGTTCAAACACTGTCTTTCGCTCTAAACTTTTAATTTTTCAGTTATTAAAATATTAAATGAAAAAAAAACTTAATCAAATAAAAAAAAAATGGAAACCCGTCAGTTTCCTAGAAAAAGTATATGGTTGCTCTTTAAAAAAAGAAAAGGAAAAAAAAACTTCGTCGCTTGTATGCTATGCTAACAATAAAACGAGGAAGAAACACAACAGATCAACAAATCGATAACTACACTAAATGAGGCGGGATGTCAGTGATCAATAAAAATTGTATTTATGTTAAAACCAGAAATGATTTCAATCGGGTGCTATTTTAACTTGGCAAATTTTCTGCTGCGATTACTAATTTTGTGTAGACCTTTCTATACCCTTGACGAATAATAGAAGCGCCGCTCTCATCATGCTTACGTACACTGGTTCATTCATGGTCGCGAAGCTCTGACGAAAATACTACGCTGTGTTTAGCAAAGGGAGAATTTAATACAACATGCCGAAATCTAAAGGAACTTCAGAGAATGATGCTGAACTGATGCATCCATTGAACCAGGAAGTCATCATAGAACAGGAAATTCTTGACCATGAAAGACCAGCTTGGGGAAGTAAATTTCAATATTTTGGAATGGTTATATCTACTGCTGTGGGACTTGGTAACGTGTGGAGGTTCCCTTATTTATGCCAGCAGCATGGAGGAGGTTAGCTCAAATCTTTTGTTTATTTCGTTGAAAAATGTTTAGTTGTACTTTCTACCATATCCATAACATTGTCTTTTCTATGACGTCCGCGATTTTCCACAAAACATGAAACACGTGGTCTTCCTTTGATCACGTACTCCACTGCCAATGTTAAATATACTAATGTATGCACCCCTTTTTTTCTGTGTCACTCTATGGCATTGTGAATTATAGTAACTGTAACATTTCGTGCATCTAACATAGTATGAATATTGTTGATTAGCGTTAAATAGATAATTTATTTTTTAAAATCAAGTGGATTTTGATGGATCAAATTACACACACGTGTCAGTTTCACTACGAGTTGCTTCCCGCTTGGAGAGGGGGGAAAGGAGGGGGGGGGGGTCCAATGCATATGTCTGTGTCAGTTGGAACCATTATGTATATTTTTGGTTGTTTCTTTACTTTTGGAAATATGAATGTATGTATACATGCATGTATAAGTGCTTAAGATTTGTGTATATCTGGAAAGAAGCTTAAGTGATATTTTCTACATTTATAAACATTTTGGAATTATAAAGTATTAAGGTGATTTATATGCCTTGACCTCACGTTATCCCCAGTTGAGGTGTGTATATTTTTAACGTAATTAAGTTTAAATACTAGTATTATGAACACAGTGCCAATTAAGGCTCAGTTACCTGTAAATCCACAAGGACAAAAGGTTGAATGTATTAATGTACTTAAAGGAGCACAGAAAAAAATAATGCACAAGTTAAGAAGTTTACCTATAAACTATTTATTTATTTTACTTATTAATTTTTGATGTTTTTTTTTTTGGGGGGGGGGGGGGTTCAAGTAATGGCACCATTTTAAAATAAATTCTAAGCATTAAATTTCCCTTTTTTCACTATAGAGCAATCAATCAAGTTAAATTAAAAATTTAAAAATCATAGTGTTTTAAATTTGTGGATTGCTAGTATTTTTCTTAATTAATATTCATCATTGATGAATTTCATTTTTTGGTTGCAAATACTTTTAACAAAGATAATTCTGATGAGTAGGTTCCAAATATTTTAGTAGGTCATTCATGAATGACACCCACAGAAATTTGAAAAATTATTATCTTATGCTGGCACAGTTTTTGGATGAATTCCATGACTAAGTACATATGTGCTAGATACACTTGATTGCACATGTTTGACAATATTGTGATTTTAGGAATGAGATCTTTTATTAAAGAGGGTTCAATGTATATATTGACTACTCAGATAATAGAGATATCTGCCAAGTTATTTGCTGTATTTAACAGTCATGGTGTTTCCCAGAGTGACATCTGCACTATGTCCACATTTCATTTGGTACAGTTCCATTGCAGTCCCTCATACTTCCCAACTCCCTCCTCCAATGAAGTTTTCATGATGTTTAGCAATCTCTTGAACAATAATCAAAACATAAAAAATAGTGAAATTGGTATGGATTTTACCTTTCATGATTGCACATTCTTTGTAAATTAAGATCATTTTAAACATTTTAAACAAAATTATGTTTTTTGTCCAATTTCCTCTAAAAAATGTTATATATATGATGCCATTGTAACAGGAAAGGAGAAAATGTATGGCTAGACTGGGAATCGAACCCTGGACCCCTGCAATTGATTACTCAGTCGCAGTACCAATTGAGTTTTATCATTACCATTATAATTTTATAGCCAATTTTACAAGAAAATTGGTAAAGATCAACTACCATTACTCGGTTTCACAGTATACCAAACACCACACTCGATCAGATTTAGATTTTGATAGCTTACCAAAGATGTATTTACAGTGTTAAAAAAAATATAGCTTTATGCCACGAATGATCAAGATGGTATTATTGATGAATATTTTTAATATATATTACATATACTATCATTAGAGGATTAAAAATTATATATAAAAAAATATTTATGAATAGATTTATAAATATATATTATATAGATTAACTCAATTTAAGTTGTAATTGAGAGCAATGCACTTTATGACATTGAGTTTGTATTTTAGATACTACTAGCATAGTAGAGTTGTAGATCCAAGTTGAGTTCATGAGAGCACTTCTGTTTAGAGTTATGGTCCTTGATTGACTGAAAATGGACAGAAATTTGTAATCTGGTAGGATGTATAAAATTTTAGATTAAGGTATTTTATAGATATATGGAATGCTGTTGTGCATAGCAGAGTTTGAGTTCCATAGGATTGTGACCGTTAGAGAGAACTAAGACCTTTGGATGACTAGAAATTCATGAGAATTCTGTTCTCTGGTAGCTTTTTATGAGATTATAAACTTAAAGATATTGGATAAGACTTTGTATACTTCTGTGCTGAAACCATTTGCTGGCAAAGATTGTGTATTGAGGAATGTTGACCCTTTTCAACTAGATTTTGGACATTCATTACAATAATTCAATATATAGGAAATTTTTAGAACTCCTCTAAGGTGCTAATATTTGAATGCATTTGATTGAAATTTGCAAAACTTTTTTACAGTAATAAGAGAGTAATAATAAACTACATATCACAGGATAAAAAAGTCAGTCATGATGACTTTTTGTAGACATTGCTACAAAGCACATATTTATAACCCTCTCCCCTTTTCCCCCCAAACTTTTTTGAGTTTAATGGGGATATGTAAGAATTGTATTGTCTGTCTGTTCTTCTGTTTATCATCTTTGTGCTGTCTTTAATGAACCATAACATTGAATTATTGCAGAAACATTGGAAACCCCCTTTTTTGTTAAACATTTTTTTTTTTACTAAAACGAGATCATGTGAGCAAGCTCAAGGTAACTGGCAGGAAAAATGTTTATGATTTGTGTATGGTCCATAACTTTCTAATTGAGAAACTGGAAAGACTAACTTCATACAAAGTTTACTTTAGAATTTAGAATGTGACGTGACCTTGACCCATTACCATTATATACAATTCAAGGTCTCTGGAAGAATAGTATATAATTCCTATCTGGCCATTTCATGTAAATGGAGAAACATTAGAAGCTCATGGAAATAGGTATGCTATAACCTTGGCTCAAGGTCTGTTGGATAAGTTCAAGGTCACTTACAGAGAAAGTGTATTTATAAATCAATTGTGTCTGGTCCATATCTTTGTATGAGAGAAACAATGAACACTGGTTGTTCATCTGATGACCAGAGTTTATGCCATGGCTTATAGCCTTGAGATATGCTATGACTTTGATCCAAGGTCATTTAGACAAGGTTATGTCACTAGCAAAAAGTAGAAAAAGTTTTTAAAAATTTCTATCTGATGTATATCTTTATAAAGGAGGAACAATGGAAACTATTAGTTGGCTCAAAGATGCTTAGGACCTAGACATGTATCTTGACCATATACTATGCCAAACAAATCATAGCAATAGCACCTGCAGTTTTCAACATGATTTGTTATTTCTTTTTATTTTGTTATTAATACAAGTGATTTTTAAATTCCTGTATAGTTCATTCTATGAGATTTATGAAAATCGTGACCAAGGAAAATTATGTTTGGTCTACCCACAACATCACTGATTGGCCAGTATAAATGATGAATCTTATACTACAGAATTTTGTAAATAAGATCTGATTTTGAAGGAACAAAAGTAGAGTTATGAATGAAGATTTACTAAATAATGATATATTTTCAGGTGCGTTTCTTATTCCCTACCTCATCATGTTGTTTGTGGAAGGAATGCCATTACTTTATTTGGAATTTGCTGCAGGACAACATTTCCGCAAAGGAAGTATGGGCACATGGAACTTGGTCCACCCCATGCTGGGAGGGGTGGGTGTGGCCAGTGCTGTGACCTCCTTCATTGTGGGGGTGTACTATAATGCCATAATCATGTGGTGCCTTTTTTATCTGGTGCATTCCTTTACGGGGACACTGCCATGGTCTTCGTGTCCTATGGAACCCAAGGGTAATATAACAGTACCTGTACTAGAGTGCGATGTTAGTGGACCGACTTCCTATTTTTGGTATCGTAATGCTCTAGAGGTTTCCCCAAGCATTGAGGAGACCCAGGGACTTAAATGGAAGATGCTCCTTTGTCTGATCTTTGCCTGGTGTGTGGTGTATGCTTGTATTTGGAAGGGAATCAAATCTTCTGGAAAGGTAATTATAATTTCTGTTGGCTCTGTCAAATATTGCATGACCTTTATTGCAAAATTATTTTAAAGCAATTTCAAAAAAAATGCTACGTGTATAGTTATGATGAGAGCAATCATGGTACCTCTTTCAAAATTGTGAATTTCGTGGCCCAAAACATGAACCAAATTCAATTGTTGGAAAGTTGTTACATGATACTCAGGCCCGTGGGCCTCTTGTTCAAATTATAGTCCCTTGGAGAAGGACGGAGCCACAATAGGGGGTCAGAGTTTAACATGGGAATACATACTCAGAAAACCTTCTTCAGAACATAGGGCCACAATTTATCATTTTGATACCCACTTATCATTTAATGCACATTATGCATTGTGATAATGATTATAACAAGTCTCCACCAATCAGTTATAAGTCTCATGAGTCCAGGGTTGTAGTCCCTGCAGTTAGAGCTGAAATGGCTTATTTAATGAGAAACTCATGATACTCAAGTGACTTCCAAGGTCTATGAACCTTTTATTTAATCAGATTATTGGATTTCTGTATTGTTTTCAATCTGCGGCTGTATTCAGTATCTGTTTTAAATTTTTGATGAATTTCGAAATATTCCCACCAATTGAACCAAAGATTTCTAAAATGTACTACCAGTTTTCGGTTATATTTTTGAACTACATGTATTGCAAAATAGAGACATTTAAATAAATTTAACCAAAATAAGCAGATCCTAGCAACCATTATTTTAGAAGCTCAATTCACACCAGGAAAAAGAAAAAAAAAACAGAGCTCCTTAGATATTAGATACAAGGTGCCGCTGACATTAATGTAGCATTGTATGTCTTCTGTTTACTTCAGACATCAGTTGTAGACACAACAAAACATGACAAACATGTAGCCTTCTATTTAGACACAGACAAAACCTCAAAAAAACATTGTTGTAGGTGGGGGTTAATGAATTCATGTCTAAGAGTTATTTTTCACAACAAGAATTTATTGCAATAAACTTGCAAGAAAAAGTGTTTTGCTTTTACTCCCACATAGCTGCCATTTTGCTATACAAAGATTTTATATGAGTTCATATTGTTTGTGCATTTGTTTGACATATTCTTCCATTGAAAACCTCAGGTTGTATTGTTTTCTTAACCTGGAACTGTAGGTTTGATTTTCAGTAGAGATGTCAATGAATATTCAACTTTTTGAGTATTCTTTGATACATTGACATTCAACTATTTTTAGTGCAACAGTTGATAAAATGATTGTGCATAATTATAATAAGACTGAAATATTTTGATCCACCACCTTATTTATGAGAGTAACTCAGTGTCGTTACTCTGAATTCACTTAGCCAAAGAAAAATTACGTACTAATATATTGTTTCCAGTTCTGTTCAAAATGCCACTGAAACCTAGTGTAGCACTTTTTGAAGTGTGGTGATAATAATGTATAATTTACTTTATGTGAACCTGTATTATTTTGTGGAAAAACTAGTAATATGTTGTACCATTATAAGAAAAAACAGAGTTGGCAATTCTGTTCATCTCAAAGAAACATGTGGCATAATATAAATGTTTGTTATACCTTTAAAAATTGTTTCCTATATAAATCTATGCTAAAAAGTCTAACATTTCCAATGTATTTTATTGAGCGGTCCCAAAAATCAATGTTGGACCGCTATGTGAGATATTGGACCTGTCGATGAGATATTGGACTGCTTTGATGTTTTTTATTCACACTGTAGGTGGGATAAGCTATATTGTATTTGCATTTGTTGGTGTTCGACAGTTATAAAATTGCCTGAGTTAAATCTGCAGTGCTGACAAAGGAAATTTACATCAATTAGAGCAAACATAGAAGCCAGGGCAAGATTTGTCAAAATAAAAAGTAAAAGGTATAAAAAAAACATTTATTGAATGTGTTCTTGAGCAAAATGTTGTTTTTTGTCAACCCCTCAAACCAAACTCTTTGGTTCTTGGGTCCGACAAAATGCATGTTGGCCTCAAACCCAGTCAATAAATGTATAATATTTTATCATGTTTACTCCTTTATACAGTGGATACAACTCATATGGTATCGATCGCCCGCATGGTGCAGTGGTTAGAGCGTCTGCTCTAGAGTCGCGAAGTATGGAGTTGATCCTTACGTCGCGGGGTCGAATCCCACTGTGGAACGTGGAGACTGGTCCTTCGGATGAGACCGTATAAACCGAGGTCTCGTGTCGCAGTAGGTGCTGGCACGATAAAGATCCCTCACTGCTCAATGGGCGTAAGTGCCGAGCATAGGACAAAATTTGCAGCTCTCCACCGGCAAGTGGTGGCGTCTCCATATGAGTGAAAAATTTTTGAGAGGGACGTTAAACAACATACAAACAAACATATGGTATTGTTTCATATCTTTGATTGTGATGTCATAGTGTTTTTTGCTCAGGGATAAATTGGATAAAAAAATCACATCCAACCAGATACCATGGGAGATCCTATGCATACTTTTATATAAGGAGCATCACAGTACCAGTTAGTAGTAAAAATAAGTTAAAATAATCGAATTTTCTTCAACTAAAGCTTTCAATTGACTTAGAAATTAACTAATTTTTATAGCCAAATCAGATTCAATATTATATACTGGTAATACATTTATGATATGATCGTTAAATTCACCACAAAATTGTGAGAGTTATAGATTTTTGGGATGAGGTTGTAATGTTTTGTTTTTTTTTAACTAAAAACTAATTGACATTTTTTTTGGAAGGGGAAGGTGTATAATGCATCAATGTAATTCATGATAAAGCATAAGCAGAGTAGTTGTTTGACCTCTGTAATGATAAACCTTGCCTTTTAGAATTTTAAGTCAAAGAGGAAGAGTTGTCAACTTTATTTTTCGTTTTTTGTTTATTGTATGTAATGTGAATTTTTGTAATATGTGAATTATATCTCTACTGGATCTGAGAGAGTCATGCATGCTTTGTAATTTTGTTGGTTTAAATTACAGGATACTAAGAATGAAATATAGATAGTGTTGAAAAGATTTTAAACCCAAACCTAATATCTGTTTTTTGTTGTTTTTTTTTTGCTTTTCATTGAAAAAGTTAGTATATTGAAAGGAAATATTTATAAGCATACAGATATTTAGATATTCAGGCACTAGAAGCGTAAGGATGTATTAAATGATGGTCGTTCTTTTTGTTTTGTATGATGTTTACTTATACATGGAGGGTAAAAGAAGTTCAAAGGGGCAATTAATAATTATATAATTAAAACCTAATTAATATAAAAAGCAAACAATATTCTGTGATTTTTCCTAAGAAACTACTTGACATTAAAAGAAAATATATATACCGGTAATACAAAGGTTCTCATTTTGTTCTCAAAACAACTTCTAAAAAATTGCTCAAGGTGTTGAACAAATTATCACATATTATTAAAATGATATGATTACAGTAAAACACGCTTACAACGAAGTGCCAGGGATGGACGAGTTTGCTTCGTTATAAACGTAATTCATTATATCCGTTAGGTTATAAGATAAGAAAATAGGAAAAAATAATTTGAGACATTGTGAGGAAGCAAGATAATACCAGGTATGTGGGCTTAAGTTGGGAGGGGGATGGATCGCAATGAAAAGAATAGTTCCTTCATGCTTTAATTTTTTAAGGCATAAGCAGTGCAGAAAAGATTTTTCTCAATGCAATGTTTACTGTTTTTAAAAACACTGGCTTGCCAGTCATTGGTCAAAATAAAACTAGGAAGATCTTTCCATACTCGTAGATTTAATGTACACTTATTTGTCAGTTTACAAAGCTTGGATAGTACTAGACTTGGATCATTGCCACACATACATTGTATAATTAATCAGACTTAAAAACTTGGCAAAACACGTGTACCTTACTGTTTATCAACATACTCTGAAAATTCTTTGTTCTACCGAGGAACAAGATAGTTTTTTTTTAAATAAGTCGATGAATGGAATTCATGCATTCCTGATTTTTTATTTGTTATCACCGTGTTAGTGTGTTGATTATTGTCTGTTAAATAATTAGCACTTGGCTTGGAGTAGGAGTGAATGAGAAATGTGTAACTTCAGTTGGCATTTTGTAAAATTCCTTACTTTTTATAGTATATGTGCATAAAGAAAAATTAAATGAGTATATATACTGACTGAGAAACAGAAACCTGACAAAATAAAGGTTCAACTTTGTCCAGAGCAATTTTCAAATTGGTGCTATAATAAGCAAATTTTAGATAAAGTATTTGTGCAAAATATACAAGGTGTTAGAATACTGTCATCATTATCTATTATGATAATGGATGACGGTCATTAAATTTACCTAATGGCATCACACATTCATCAACTATTTAATTTGTGCTAGTTTATTATCCATGTGAAAATGAGGTCAATGATTTTATTTTGTCTTTTTTTGGGGGAGGGGGTGGGGGTGGGGTTAGGGGTATTACTATGAATGGTCTGTGTAATTTAGTTTATTATCATTTTGATTTGTGTTTGCACCATTTTCATTATTTTTCTGGCGTTCAGATTATACTATAATCATGTTTTGCTTTCCCTTGTAGGTTGTTTATGTAACGGCTTCTTTTCCCTACATTGTGCTGTTCATCTTTTTGGGTCGTGGAGTCACACTAAGGGGTGCTGGGGCTGGCCTTGCCCACATGTTTACACCACGGGTAAGTTTAATGTAACAGAGACATTGCAACATACATCAGTGTGCATGTGATTGTACCAGGGACTTGAGCACACTAGTCCTGCACTCTTAAAAGTTTTAAATCAAGGTACAAATTAATCCAGTAGATGAAGTTAGTGAAAGCTCATGAATAAGGACCTTATAATTAATGATAAGAATCCATTACTTAAGCAGCCAGCTATTCAATATACACCTATTCATTATAAACAGAGTTGACTGTATTTAATTGATGATTTGATGACTTTTACCACTTCAACAAAGGTTGAATACATTTGTTTTGTATAGAATGGTCAGAATTAAAATGTCTTTGGTTGTGTGAGAACTCTAATGTATATACAAAAAGTTTGCATTTTCTTGGTTTATAATTACTATACATTTATCTTTGTCATAACATTTTCAGAAAATGTGAACTCTTGTTTTCTTCACCTTATATTCATACATATAATAAAGACTATAGAATGACAGCGTATTGAAGTTCTGGGTGTCAAATACATATACTGTACATCAATTCCATTGCAGGCATTTGTAAATTGTATATCAAACCTGATTGAAGAGATAAATGTTATATTGTAATGGAAACAAAATAAGCCCAAAAGGCAAGGGTCATGATTGTTATAAAATATTCTATTTTCCCAAAGCAGTCATTCATTTTGAGGTGTCATACTGAAAGGTTAATTACAAATGTTTTATACATTGTCTGATAAATAGGATGGATTTTGGATCCAATCTGGCATATACTTATAACCTCTTAACTCATAATACCTGCTGTAGTTGTTAACATTAACCTTTTGTGGTCTTGGTTCATTTTCAGGTAATTGCCCCTGTAATCCTATAGGTTGGTCCTTTATTTAATGTTAATAACAGAAAAGTTATCTGATGACCACAGAAAATGACTGCCCACTGTGGCTACAAGTCTTTCATCTTTAGAGGTCTCCAACCCACCCAGACAATTACTGGCCTCCAACAAAAGGTTTAGCTCGCTCCACTTCATGTTGTGGATTTAAAAAGGTTAAATTTGATGGTTAGATAAATACTTTTTTCACTCAAGTTACCTTTAGTTTTCCCAAAAGAAGCTATGATTGATGATGGACTTATTTACGGTTGAAGAAAAGTCACATGCTTAATGATAATTAACAAAATACTGTATCTTTTTTTTTTTTTTTTTTTTTTTTTTTTTTTATTTCAAAGAGTGACATATCAAGTTACATAATGAAATTTTTCTCACATTCTCTCACACATTCACACTTCCCAAAATACTGTATCTTGATATGATTGGAAAAAATATCCATAGATAATTGGAAATTAAGAGTGAATTAAGCAATTAAATGAAGATTTTAAAAAAAACTAGCTTGCAAATGAAACACTAGTTTTAGACTAAATTTCTCTCTTTACATGTCAAGTGAATGGTGTGGTACAATGGAGTCTTGTTGATCTTCATTCTTGGCACAATTAGAGGTCATACCTAATAGGTATGAAACAAAAATGCTTAAAACTTTGACTTGCATGCATGTATGATGTATATAATTGAGGAAAAGGAATAATGTGACATTTTGAAAAAGAAATAAATTTGAAAATATCAAGTTAATCATGTCAGATTACTTTCAACTATTAAATGCAAGAACTAATGCACTAAATTGATTGTAAAAATTTAATAGGACATAGAAAACAACAATTTAGTATTATCCTTGAAGAATTACTTCCTAAACAAATGACAAAACAAGCTTTGTTAATTTCTTCCTCACAATTTATAGCAGAGTGACATTGAAGGGAAACGACGCTTTAAGTGGTTTTTCCCACTCATATCATTTTGTTAGAAAGGTCTTGTATGTGGTTTTGAGAGCCCCCCCCCCACACACACACCAAAGCTTGATCTGTTGAATTGAACATATTTTATTGCAATATATATACAATGGGATTGGGCACAAGTTCTTAAAACTTCTGTTGATGGGTACCTCTAAGGATTATACCATATACTTGCCTATAAGTCAGCTTTTTGGTCCAAAACTATGTGTTTGACCTATAGGTGATGTCCTGAAAACATTAAAGTGGTATTTTTGTTGATAGCAAAATAAATGAACAAGGGATGTAACTCTTCAACAACATAAAACATGGGCGAAATGAATGGAATCAGGTTCCTTTTTGATTTGTTGAGAATAAAAGATTAAGTATCAATTTCTTATCCCAAATTATTAATATTTATTTTACACATGTAAATACATTAGGGTATTGATATGAAATTGATTTGTTGAAAATAAAACATATTAAAATATTGGTGTCATTTCCAAAAATATTATTGGAAACACAGGTTAAATGTTAGAGGATTGATCTAAATTTGTCAAATGATTTTTGTCAAAAAGTTGACCAGAGTTGTACTGATTTATAAGAGAGTCAATGGTTATTCAATAAAATTAACTTTAAAAATACAACCAATTAACTTGTATAAATGGACCAACTTATATATGCAAGTTTATTCAGTTAGCATGGAATTAAATTCCTTCTAATTTTTGGGACTCTTTCAGGTATGTGTTTATCTTTAAGTTAGTAGTTAGAACTTTCTGTTCGTGAACAACTCTTTTGTTTCCTAGTGTCATTGGCCATCATCTTCTGCAACATGATAGTTAGCGACAGATTGAAGAGACAAGAATATTGGTGTATTTGTTTGTATTATAGGTGCTCTTCATTATGTAGCAGAGAGCAGGCAGCATGAAGATGTAAGACTATAAATAACGAGGATGCTACTAAGCACAGGGGTTATTAATTATGTAGGTCAAAGCTAAGGAAGAATTCATCTCAGTTTGTATCTCAGTACAGTCTAACATGGTTATATGACAGTACAGTCTAGCATGGTTATATGACAGTTCAGTCTAGCATGGTTATATGACAGTACAGTCTAGCATGGTTATATGACAGTAGTCTAGCATGGTTATATGACAGTTCAGTCTAGCATGGTTATATGACAGTACAGTCTAGCATGGTTATATGACAGTACAGTCTAACATGGTTATATGACAGTACAATCTAGCATGGTTATATGACAGTACAGTCTAGCATGGTTATATGACAGTACAATCTAGCATGGTTATATGACAGTACAGTCTAACATGGTTATATGACAGTACAGTCTAGCATGGTTATATGACAGTTCAGTCTAGCATGGTTATATGACAGTACAGTCTAGCATGGTTATATGACAGTACAGTCTAACATGGTTATATGACAGTACAATCTAGCATGGTTATATGACAGTACAGTCTAGCATGGTTATATGACAGTACAATCTAGCATGGTTATATGACAGTTCAGTCTAGCATGGTTATATGACAGTACAGTCTAGCATGGTTATATGACAGTTCAGTCTAGCATGGTTATATGACAGTACAGTCTAACATGGTTATATGACAGTACAGTCTAGCATGGTTATATGACAGTTCAGTCTAGCATGGTTATATGACAGTACAGTCTAGCATGGTTATATGACAGTACAGTCTAACATGGTTATATGACAGTACAATCTAGCATGGTTATATGACAGTACAGTCTAGCATGGTTATATGACAGTACAATCTAGCATGGTTATATGACAGTACAATCTAGCATGGTTATATGACAGTACAGTCTAACATGGTTATATGACAGTACAATCTAGCATGGTTATATGACAGTACAGTCTAACATGGTTATATGACAGTACAGTCTAGCATGGTTATATGACAGTTCAGTCTAGCATGGTTATATGACAGTACAGTCTAGCATGGTTATATGACAGTACAGTCTAACATGGTTATATGACAGTACAATCTAGCATGGTTATATGACAGTACAGTCTAGCATGGTTATATGACAGTACAATCTAGCATGGTTATATGACAGTACAATCTAGCATGGTTATATGACAGTACAGTCTAACATGGTTATATGACAGTACAATCTAGCATGGTTATATGACAGTACAGTCTAACATGGTTATATGACAGTACAGTCTAGCATGGTTATATGACAGACACTCTAACATGGTTATATGACAGTACAGTCTAACATGGTTATATGACAGTACAGTCTAACATGGTTATATGACAGTACAGTCTAACATGGTTATATGACAGTACAGTCTAACATGGTTATATGACAGTACAGTCTAACATGGTTATATGACAGTACAGTCTAACATGGTTATATGACAGTACAGTCTAACATGGTTATATGACAGTACAGTCTAACATGGTTATATGACAGTACAGTCTAACATGGTTATATGACAGTACAGTCTAACATGGTTATATGACAGTACAGTCTAGCATGGTTATATGACAGTACAGTCTAGCATGGTTATATGACAGACACTCTAACATGGTTATATGACAGTACAATCTAGCATGGTTATATGACAGTACAATCTAGCATGGTTATATGACAGTACAATCTAGCATGGTTATATGACAGTACAGTCTAACATGGTTATATGACAGTACAGTCTAACATGGTTATATGACAGACACTCTAACATGGTTATATGACAGTGCAGTCTAACATGGTTATATGACAGTGCAGTCTTACATGGTTATATGACAGTACAGTCTAACATGGTTATATGACAGACACTCTAACATGGTTATATGACAGTACAGTCTAGCATGGTTATATGACAGACACTCTAACATGGTGAAATGACAGACACTCTAACATGGTTATATGACAGTGCAGTCTAACATGGTTATATGACAGTATACACTTATCCACTGGTTGTGAGTGGGATAGCTCTTTTATCAAACCCGCGACAGGAACTATTCCCCGAGGGCTTGCCCGAGGGGAATAGTTCCTGTCAAGGGTTTGATGAAAGAGCTATCCCACTCACAGCCAGTGGATAAGCGTTTTATTATACTGATGTATATAATAATTTCAGACGGTTTGTATTACCTAATACTACAGTTTCATAGGCAAAACATGAAAAGAATAATTAATATAGTTTTGAGCAGGTATTTTGAA